CCCCCCCCCCCCCCCCCCCCCCGCGCCCCGCAACGCCTCTTTCCCTCCCTTTTTTTTTCTTCTCCCCGGTCTTCTCTTTGCGTCTTGCAGTATGTACCAATATGGACTTGCTTGTAGCACGCTGACCCTTCCTTCCCTACCTAGTCATCGCCTTCTCCGTCGACTGCGCCATGCTTGGTCTGGCCGTTATCTGCGCGACCATACTGCGTTTCATCCTGGTGCGGCTGAACAAGAAGCTGGATCGGGGCGAGCACGTCGAGGGGGCCGTCAACGCCGTCCCAGGCCAGGCTGCCGACAGAGGTTTCCGCTTCTTGACGTAAAAAAAAAAACGCTCCATACAACAAACATGTCTTGGAGGGGGTCCATTTGCTGGAGAATCTTTGCAACTTGTGCATACATACAGGCGTCAGCAGACACAGATAATGTGCTTTGTGCGCTCGCTGTGCTATATCGGCCTGGTGTTCTATACCCCTTGGTGCCCGCTTTTTCCATAGATTCAAGTATCAAGGTCGCCTGTACTCGACGTCATGCTCTGTGCTACCCATGTGCCCTTCTTTGTTCAGGTCTATACGATGCTTGCCTTGTCTTCAGCCGGTTTCGGTGATAAAGTGAGCATGTCTATCCTTCGTAGCCCGCAGGCTCGGGCTTGGCTGGGAAAGCAGGCTGCCCGAGATTGCTTGCGCAACCACCCTTCCAGCTCTCGGGGGTGAACCTGTCGACAATAGACTTGAAAGCCTCCTGTAGAGCGCCTGTGAGTAACCGATCCATTGTGGTACTGACACAGTGCGGTCGAATACATACCAGAGTGCAAAACGATGTGTCGCCCTCCAGGTGCTTACCTGCCGGCTTGCAGCCGGGCACCTGCATGATACGGTCATTGTACCTCACACGCACGTAGTAGTCATTCATCGATTCCTTCTGCTGCGCCGTCAGCTCCTCCATCTTCTTGCGCGCGATGCCCTCGGGCCGCGGCGCGTCGCTGTGCTGCACGTCCTGCGTGCTGCCAAACAGCGAGGCGAACCAGCCCTGGGGCTTTTCCGACAGCCTCCTGCTGTTGCCAAGCGCGGACGTGCCGCCCGGAGGGACGACGCCCCGAGTCTGCTTGCGGAACAGTTCGATGGCGATGTGGCTCGTGAACGGCGGCCAGTGCTCGTTCTCGAAAGCACCCAGGCTGGAGAGGACGGCTGCGAGGGTGGTGTCGTGACAGCCGGACAGGGCGAGCTTGATGCTTTTCTCGCCGCCCCTGCCTTTACCAAGGGCCCCGTCTTCGCCACCCACCTCGACCACGCCGTCCCAGCCGCTCTGCTCGACGTTGCCCGTCATGCGGCTCACGACGTCGCCCATCAGCCCGCCGATGCCAAGCGTGCGGTATTCTTCCGACTCCCAGTAGCCGGCGAACCACTCCTCGACCACGGCCTTGTCGATGATCTCGCGCAGCTTAGGGTCGTAGAACTCGCTGGGTAGACGCACCCGCTCGTCATGGGCAAGAGTACCATTGACCGTGTCCATGATGCCCGAAAGACGGGGGTGCGAATCGACAGCGATGCGCTTAGAGTTCTCGGGCATCCATTTTGATATCTTTTTGTTCAGATAGTCCATGTCTGCCGTGTCGTTCCAGCGGTCAGCAGCTCTCTGGGCGAAGGCGCGACTCAATTGAGCGAAGCGGCGACAATTGCCATCGTTGGGGTACAAAGTCTCGTCGGCTGGAGAACGAGTGATGATGGTGGGCGGGGGAAAGTCAGCAGTCCGCGCCGACAGGGGGTAGAAGCCCCAGAAAGCTTGCTGTACCGACTCCAGGGCTCTCGGGATGGGGGTTGCTCTCAAGTATACCATGTCGGCGTCCGAGATGAGTCGAGGCATGAAGCCGAGCTGGTCGACGTAAAGATGTCTGAGACGCTGGCCCAGGGCGAGGGTCGTTTCTCGACCCTTGTCCGTGAGCTCACCAGGCTGGCTCCAAGCAATCAGTCGGACTTCCCGTGACTTGGATCGAGAAGACCTACCAAATGGCATCGAACTCTCCTTTGGGGCCCGATGCTATCACGGGGCCGTCATCGACGCCGAATGTCTCCAACCTCCTGCGCCATCTGAGCTCATCCCACTGTGAAGAGTCTTTGGTGCTCATGATTACGCTCGTCAGCCGCCGCGCCGCATTGCAGTATGGCCAGTCTGTGCCTTGTCAGAACAGCATTGGTGGCAGGGATATTGGCAAGGGGGCGTACGCGGTGGCAGTCCAGCCTGTACGGCACAACGTTAGCATGTGCCGAGGGAGAACGAGAGGACGAATGTGCTCACATTGCGGAAACGCGGCGAGACAGGGCTTCGTTCGCCTGCATGGGGTTAAGCTAGGGAGTCCTTGCTGGATCAATTCCACAGTACGTCGAGTACTGACCATGGCGGAGGAGCTGTGTTTCCGACAGCGATCAGCGATCAGCGACCAGCGACCAGCGGTGGGAAGTGCAGTGCGATCTGCGGGGGCATACCACTTGGACGAGCTGGAGCTGGAGGTCTTTGGGATACAGCTGGGCAATCTCCTCCTGAGAGTAAGGCGGGCGAGTGGTGAGGGTCGTCATGTTTGCGGGGTGCGGAGCGTGCGTGGAGCGGCGAGTGAAGCTCTTAAGACTCGACGGGAGCTGCGTCACCAGGCACCCACGCACCACCACCGCCGCCGCCGACCGCTGCCGCCGCCATTGGATGGCCCGACCGGCGCCGTATCGGCCCCTCGTTGTGCCGGGGCCGGGCCGCCGACCGCCGGTAGCCGGCCCAAGTTTGCGCGAGCTTCCCCAGGCGGTGCAGAGCTCTGCTCACGCTTCAATTGACGGGCCGCCTCACTCGACTGCACCATGAGCGCCCCGTATGTCTGCCCAAGCTGCCGTCGCAATGCACTCCGCCATGCCGGCGCCCTGCGTGGGCTCTCCCGCACCTCCAAAGCGACTTTCATATCCCTCCGCTCCAACAATCCCCGCCCAGCCCCGGCCAAGGAAACCACCGATGCCTCGAGTGCGCAGAAATCGAGCCCCTCCGAGCCCCAATATGCAAGTCCGTCCCGCGCCGATGCGCTTTCGAGCCTTTTTGGCGTCATTGGGTCGTCCGATCGGTACTCACGCCCCCATACCGCCGGCGAAGCCCTCGATAAACCTCCCCAGCGCCCCCCTGCCCCTCAGCAGAAAGCGACCCAGACGACTCGAGCTGCCTCGGAGTTGCAGGCGATACTTGACGATCCGGATAAGACCACCAACGACGCTTGGGAATACTTTCAGCGTCACTACACCAGTCCAACCTGTCCAGCTTTGAAATCATTTTCTCTACTGGACCTTCGTCGCGTAGTCAGTGGCTCTCAGTTCTGGAAGCTGCAATCTCGCCTTTTGAATGACTGGTGCGCTGGTAGGTCGGACAAATCGCTGCCGAGTCCAGTCGAGCTCGTGCAAAGATATATTTATTTGGGCATAATGAAATCGGAATTCTGGCATCAGGCTCTTTGGACTTTGAACATGGACGCACTGAAAAAGTTCAGCGCGACTGGCCGACCGGGGACGTCGCTTGCCGAGACAATGGCCCAGGCCATGGAACTATGGGACCTGCTTCTCAAGACTTCGTCTTCGGAGCCCTCCGCAGAAGGACCGCATTCATCCACTGGAGTGGAAGTGGAACCCCCCACCCGTATGTGGTCATCTCTGCGACTGCCCTGGAACACTGTGCGCCAGATGACCAGGCCTCATCGTTTTTTCGGTACACGGCTCAACCAATTCCTTTCGGCAATCGAGACACACCAAAACAACCGCATAGCATACTCGGCATTAGTCACCTTTGATATTCTCACACGAGACGGCGTGGAATCAGTACTGGGCGAGAAGTTTTTGACGGATTCAATGCCCTTTCTTACCTTCCTCGCGCACATCATCCCTGGATCCGTGCGCATTCCTCTGCGGCCCAATGAGAATACATCCAATGACATGATCAAGCTCTTGGACCAATACAAGGTCTCTCCGGAGGATAGAACTGCATTGTTAGGCCGAGTCATGGATTCGAACACCAAATGCATGCAGATCGTCGGCACTCATGGTGCGGAGAACCGTTCTGGAAGCTCAGGTGGCCTTGGAGGAGAGGATCATGACGGAGGAGGTTCACTAATCATTGACGGGGAGGTCAGGCCTCCAAATGAAGGTCTCGCAAACTTTCATTACGGACGTATCAATCGCGCCTACTTCCAAAAGAGAAGGCTGATAATATACGACTGTTGGTTGGAAGCTCACCAGGCGCTTTCTCGAAAGAAACAAACAAAGGCCGCTGACCCGCCGGTGCCGGCCAAGCTTTATGAATTAACCCTCGAAGCCCTCATGGCCATGCAACTACCAGAGCAAGCCATCAAGGTCTGGAACAGGATGATCGAAGACGGTGTCAGGCCGACGGTCAAGACTTGGACCGCCATGATCGATGGCTGTGGAAAGGCGAAAGATACCCGAGGAATGGAGCAGATGTGGGCGAAGATGCTTGACTCTGGCGTTCAGCCGGATGTGTATGCTTGGGCCGTACGCGTGTCGGGGATGATGCGCGCAGCCAAGTTTCAGGAAGGCCTTGCGGTTCTCGACGAAATGGCAAAAACATGGGCCGAGGCGTACAAACGTGCACAGTCGGCAGCAAAGAAGAAGAAGAAAACGCAGGTGGACATGGCTAACCTCCCAGTAAAACCCACCACGATCGTCCTCAATGGAGCGGTTACAAACTTGGCGTCAACGGGCCACAACCGGCATATCCTTGGCCGTATCCTGACGTGGGCCAAAAGCCTCGAGATCCAGCCTGATATTTATACTTACAATGCTTTGATTTCCCTGTCTCTCTTTGCTGGCGACACAGAAGACGCTATGAATCTGCTTAAGCAAATGACGCAAGTCCAGATAAAGCCGGATGTTACGACATTCGGCATTATTCTCAATTCAATCTTCCGCAGCGGCTCCACAGCCAAACTTTCGCGGGAAGAGCAGAGCGAGAAGGCCATGGCCACTCTTCGGAATCTCGAGGCCACCGGGGTCGAGCCTACGGCCCATATCTATGGGACGTTGATCGACAACTTACTCAAGAGGCACGACAACGAAGCAGCCGCCAGGACAGTCCTTGACCACATGGTCGCAAAGGGACTTGAAGTTCCACCGCAGGTTTTCACAGTCCTCATGACTCACTACTTCGATCGCCATGACTTCGCGGCCGTCGATGCGCTGTGGGCTCATATAAAGGCGTCCAAGGTGGTTCTTGACACAATTTTCTTTGACCGCATGGTCGAGCAGTACGCCAGCATCAACAAGACAGAGAAAATGATGGAATTCTTCAGACGCATGTCCGCCATTGGCCTCTCGCCTGGCTGGCCTGCGCTTCAGCAAGTGGTTGTAAAGCTCGCTGACATTGGAGACTGGGATCGGTTCGAAGAAATCGTAAATGATGTCGAGCAGGGAGTTGGCATTGCGACCAATGGCATGAGAGATTCGCCCAATAACGTCGTCCAACGGTTCTGGAGGGCTGTTGCGTGGAAGCGGTCGCTGAAGCCCAAGCCGGAGCAATGGCCGGAGGAGGACTTAACGCACACGGTTGACGAGGGCCACGTCTCGCGCAATTGAGCAACAGCCAATAGAAAAAATGAAACAGACTTGAGCTGCAACCCGGGAGTGTTCACCTCTACACGCACCAGTCACGTCGACGCTTCTGCGCCACTCGTTCTGCTGGCTGACGTCACACGTCACACGTCCCAGTGTCGCCCAGGGTCCAAACTAACCTGTTTTCCGGGGCGGAGACTTGTGGCTGTGAGTGGACAAACATATATTATCTCTTCCCTGACTTGATCGTGACCACTATCTGCACATAACAATTTCTCCGACCAACTACAAGACCCTTTTCCATCCTCCAAACTCCCAACCACCACCACCACCACCAAGCCTCCACCACCAAGCCTCCACCACCAATCCTCCCACCACCACCACCACCTCGCCACCAAACCCAACAACAACCAAACAAACCAAAACAGGAAAAGAAAAAAGGGGGAAAAAAAAACGCAACCATGCCCGTCGGCAGCAGCAACGAATCCGGCATCTCGTCGGGCGTCAAGTTCGTGACGAGCACCGTCGGCAACACGGTCGGCGGCCTGGCCAACACGGTGGGCGGCGTCGTCGGCGCGGCCGGCCGCGGGCTCGGCGAGACGCTCGAGGGCGCCACGGGCAGCGCGGGCAGGCCCGTGGCGCGCGGCGTGGCGGACGCGGCGACGGGCGTCGAGGACGGCAGCGCGCGCATCGCGAGGGGGGTCAAGGATGCGGGGCAGGGGAAGTGAGAGGGGGGGGAGGAAATGGGGGAGGAGGGATGGGAGGAGGGGTGGGAGGGTGGAAGGAAGGAGGGAGGTGCATGTGTCGCTTTTTTGGATGTTCTTCTTCTTTGAATTTTTGAGCGCTGGGTGGGTGGTCATGATACCAATTTGTCTGTGGATCGGTCGTTCAGCTGGCCGATCAAGTTTGGTTGTTCGAACAACCCTCGTGATCTGTGTCTGCAATGTACGTATCAGTATGCACTGTAACGTAGCTCGGCCAAGTCGGATCGAGTGAGGCGAGATAGCATTTGTGTTCCTCTCTCTCGCATACAAAACAATACTGTTAGCACAATCCCTTTGACCCACTCAGGATTACCTTTAGCCAAAGAGAGGGAAAGGCCCTGACTCCCTATCTTATAATTGTAGCAATTGGACGGGGAATTGCTAGGCCGTGATGCAGTGGAATAAAATTTGAGATTTATAAACATGTAGCTGCTCACACTCATTTGCATTCTACTGGTTCGATTAACAGATATGCGACGGTTTGTGCAGTAAATATTCTACAGCGATGTTCACAGTGTCTTTCTGAACATCAGGTATTATATATTGTATGTATATTATTGCATGAGTAACAGCCGTCTTATCATCTCTATGATGCTCATGAGGCAAGAAAAAAAAAGGAGAGAAAAAAGAGAAAGAAAAGTCGACTCAAAACAAGAACAACCCGAGTGTGCTAACCATCGAAACAGAATATAAAAGGATATATCAAAAAGCACACTGCCTCCTAAGAAGTAACAAGAATGCAGAACGAACCCCTCACTCAGAACCAACCAAACTAATACGAACGTTGCTTCATCAAGCCCACACAAGCTTCTTCAACGAATAACCGATCTGCTCGAGATATCCCGTACTCTTCTTCGCCTCCGCCAGCGAAACGACATCGCGGTCTTCGATCTGCAGGTCTTCGCCGTCTCTGGTGGCGTCTTTGCCCTTCCCTCCGGCATCCCTGCCTCTACCACCTCCAGTCTCTTGGACGGTTTTTAACCGCTGTACCTTCGCGCGCTTAATCTCCTCGCAGATCATACCCACGAGCTCGCGCTCGCTGGGTGGTTCGGCGTCTGCGTCGTTGCTGCCGCTGGTCGTGGCGAAGCTCGACTTGGGTGGCAGCGCCTTGAACGCCAAGTAACGGTTCTCGACGCCAGGTGGAGGGGGCGGGGCCGTGTTCAACATCGTGGATGTCTTCTTTTTCAGCAGTGCCAGCGGGGTCGGCTCGTTTACTTTTGCCGCCGGGGCGTCGACGTCCTTCACAGATGGCTTGTCGCCTTCGGGTGCCATTTGCATCTTTCCGCTTTCACTCTGCTCCTCGGCCTGATCTCCAAGCTCTCCGTCTGCCTTCTTCCTCTCCGCCTCTTGCTTTGCCTCGGCCTCGGTCTGCGCCCCGGACTCGCTCTTCTCGGTCGCCAGACTCCTCGTGTTCACGCGCATCAAGTTCGCACCTGTATGCACATACTGCACGACGAAGCCCACGTTCTTTGACTCGTCCATGTGGCGTGGTGCCAAAGTGCTCGTGATGTATGTGCCCTTGGCCAGCCCCTTCACGTCCTCCAACTCTATCCGCTCAAACTCACGCACCTTCTCCGTGCCCCAGTCAAAGCGGCAGAAGTACAGAGCTCGTTCGGTGAGAAGGAGCACGCATTCTTCGAATGGGAGGGAACGAAGGGAGCTGGACTTGGCAGGACACGACAAGGTCCAGCCGTGAAGCAGGTCCTCCTGCGGGTCTTCGATGACCAGCTCGGCGCAACGGGAAATCGCTAGCTGCCGAACCTTACGCAGGTCGATGGCGTAATCCTGGGCTTTCATGTCGTCCTCGAAGTCGAAAAAGATGTCCTCAGTGGCGCGGCCGAGGAGGTAGTCGATGACGGCCTGGGCGAAGTAGTCATTGACGATGTTGTTGTAGTAGCGCGAAAGGGTGAGACCAAAGTCAGTCAGGGCTCCAGTAATGTTGCGCTTCCTGGTGCGGGTGAAGTCGCCCTTCAGCGCTGCCGTTCCGGCGTACTGCTTCGAAATGGCGTCGCCATTGTCTGCCCAAAGGGTGTTGAACCAGGAAGTCCGAGGATCGGTCTGGAGGTCGATGCTCACACTCTGGTCGGCGAGCTGCTTCTCGAGAGCCTCACGAGCACAAGCCGATTGCACCACGTTTGTGCGATCCAGGCAGTCCATGCAATTGGTGCGGAGAATACCACTCTGCATTTGGACTATTTGTCCACGATCCTCGACAGTCCATCCGTAGGTTTTCATGTTCTTTCCCAGAGAGTTCATGAGCAAAGCAACGTTCTCGAACTTCATTCCTCGGCATACGTTGTGGAAGTCAAACCACTCGAAGCCAAGAAGCATGCCTCGACCATCAATGCCACCCCTTTCATTGAGGGCCTTTGCATACTCCTCATACGCTGCTCCTATCTTTTGCTCCGTTCCGTGCTTGTCAACCAGCGAGGCAACCTGAACACCGCCGTACCTAGCAGCAAGCTGAGAGAAATGGAGTTTGAAGGCCGTCGCGTTTGTCTCCGGTGAGCCCCAGAACTGGGCGATGGGCTTCAGGCTATAGGGCGACTGTGAAAAGAAGAGGGGTATGGAGCCTCTGAACTGCACAAAGGAATATATCTTGCCATCTGCCGAGTCCCACGATTGCGGTGACAGAATCTGCTCCGTTTCGACACTGTTGGCCACATGACCGTCCTCGTCAATACCGCGACGGAGATATCGCAAGCCTGCGCGCTGGATGGATCTCCGAGAGATCAGTGTCAGCACGTAGTCCTTCTTAGTGGAACTGTGAACAGAGACCGGCGTCACTTGAGGCTGGGACAGGCCTGATTTTGTGTTAGATCTTGAGGGAGGCCGAGGGGATGTGGATCTCTTCGCAGCGGCGTTCTCCTGAGCAGCAACAACTTCTTCAGGCTCCGATGCCGCGCCTACTACGGTGGACCCGGACGATTCCGAAGCCACATCAACGGAGAACACTCTCTGTCCCACAAATCCTTGAATTACTGGTAGTACGAAGCTGTTCTGCCCGGCTTCAATGAAAGGTTCGACAATGTGTCTGTTCCAGAAGAACTGCTCTCTGTTAGCAAAATTTTTGCTGTCGTGATACGAGCATTAAACGTACCAAGGGATCATAGAGCTTGAATAAAGGGAGCGAAGAATGGGCTTCCGCCTGCTTTCCCCAACTCCTCGAGAGATCCAGGTCGTAAGAAAAGAAGAAGCTTCTGCTGCTGAAGTAAATCTTGGTCGTCTTGAGGATCTTGGGCAACAGAGTCCCGGGGGTGTTGTCCGCGGGCTGAGGCAGGTTCCCGGACAGATTCTGGGCAGGCTTCACCGCGGCTTCAGATCCAGGAACCGGCGGTGAGAGGGGGGCAGCAGTTTCGGCTGCAGCGGCGGGATCGTCCTGGGGAGCGGGTGCTGGAGATGTGGATTCGGGTTTCTTGGACAAATCTTCGTCGCTGCTCATGCCTTGCATGCGCCGACCCTCGGCACTCCAACCCTTCTTCGAGAACCATCTCTGGGCAAATCTCCCGTATACCCCTTTCCGTCCGATAACGTCCTGGGCGACGCTTGTTCTCCGGCCGGTGGTGGCAGTAGTCGCATCCTTCTCGGCTTCGGGCGGTGGCGTGTCCGGCAGCGACTCGTCAATGGTGAGGTGATCCGACGAGGTGTCTGTGTCTGAGTCCGTGTCCGACTCGGAACTGGAATCATGGCCGCTGGCATCCGAGCCCCTCGAACGCTTTAGACTTTCGCGCGCCTGCACAATCGCATTGTTCGCGTCGGCCTGCGAAGCAAGAGGGATGAGGACGACATCGGTGATGGCGTATATCGGCTTTCCGCGGACCTGAGCGACGAGCTCGCGCCGAGAAATTGCGACCAAGAAGGAGGCTTTCGCGACTTGCAGAAGACCTGGCGCAAATTGGGGACTCGATCAGCAGCGGGCCTTCTGCATGGGCGGGGATGCGGGATCTCACCAACGATTCCGTGGGCTTCCAGGGCCTGCGGGGTAGTGTCCTCTTCGCGGCGGTCCTTCAGCAGTGGTTGGATGTGGCCCTTGTAGTCGATCTTGATGGCCTGCTGGGTGGCCGGGGGATGGTTGCGCGGCGGGGCGGGCTGCAGGATGAGGCCATCGACGGCGGCAAAAATGAGCAGCTTGCGAACGAGGCCGGGCATGTTGTCCTGCGCGCTGCGTTGTTGAATTCAGCGGCCGAGCATGTTGAGAGGGTGGTATTGGCGGGTTGTTTACTGTGCGGCATCGGAAGAGGCCTTGGGCATCATGACGTCGTCAGCTGCGTGCTAAGCAACGCGCTGCAGGCCGCTAGCGATCTGGCAATCAAATCTCCGGCCTGACCTCTGCATCCGCTGTCAAGTGACCAGCAGACCGCAGACCGTATATTCGCGTGCTCGAATGTCTTGACTGAAGCCCAGCACCCATCTTCGCCGCATTTACATGTTCCGCCCCTGTCACGCCATGTGTCAGAGATGGAGAGCGCGTCGCACGAAGAGGCTCCCGTGGGCGTGTGCTTGCGCCTGCGGTTCGCGTGAGCTCCCAGCGCTGCGGTACTTTAATTTGTGCAGGGCAGATTCATCACACCGTTCGCGCACAGGAACGCGTCTCGCGTAGCAGCAAAATCACCAGCACTGTTCAGGCTCAGCGGAATCATGATGCATCACGAATCATTTCTGCCTCAGTTGTGGAACTCGCCCTTGCACTGCTCCTCCTCATACTCGTAATCTGGCTGGAACTCCCAGTACAGCGACTCCCTGTCCGCGCCCATCTTGAACGTGTATGCCGCCGCATCGTCAGGCACGAGGACCTTGGGAACACCGTTTGCTTCCGCCGCCTCGACCATGAGCTGAACCTCGCAGCTCCTCTCCATCAAGGTATACAAGTAAGCCGCCTCATCGACCGTATGGCCCACGGTCAAAAGTCCATGGTTCCTCAGAATCATGCCCTTACCGTTGGGACCCAGGGCGCCCGCCAGCCGTTTGCCTTCCTCTTCGGAGAAGACGATGCCACCGCAGTCCTTGTAGACGGCCTGGGCGTCGCCGTAGAAGTAGCACACGTCCTGGTTGAGCATGTCGAGCGGGCGGGCGAAGGTGCTCCATGCCTTACCGTACTTGGAGTGCGTGTGGCAGGCCGCGTTGGCGTCTGGCCGCGCCTTGTGCACCGCGCTGTGGATCAGGAAGCCTGCCGCGTTGGCCGGCCGCGACATGTTTCCACCGATGGCCTTGCCGTCGTAGTCGACCAGAATCATGTCCGACGCCTTGAGCAGTCCGAAGTGCCTGCCCAGCGGGTTGGTCCAGAAGGTGTGGGGATTCTTTTGCTGGAGTTAGCCATTCCCTCAACTGAGCTTGAGAACGGGGCTCCATTCACCTCGGGATCTCGCACGGAAATGTGACCAGACATTCCCTCGGTGAAGCCCTTGCGGGCAAAGACGCGGAAAGCGCATGCCATGTGTGAGAGGATGAAGTGGCGTTGCTTGTCAATTTCCGAGTAGAGGGGAATGCCGGGCAGAGAGACACCCTGCGAGATGGCTTGCAGAGGCGTCATCTCCTCCTTGCCATGGGGCTTGAAGGGCACGACGGCCTCCTTCGTCTCCTCAATTGCCGATGGCGCCATGGTTTGGGCTACAACGGATGATGAAACTAATTGCTCGTGGAAAAAATATGAGAAGTTGCTCGAGTGCCGTTAGCAGGTGGAGACGGATGCTCGGGGCTTAAAGGTGGTCCAGTCAGGACGGGGTGGCGAAGATGCACGCCCTACGTTGGCAGATGTGGCAGCTTATCAAGCTGGCCACGTTATTGGCAGAGAAGGCAGCTGTTGGCGGGCCAGTCGCAGATAGGCCGGCGGTGAGTACTGGCTATCGGATTTCAGCGCCGTGGCTGGGCAGAACCTCAGAAGAGACCGGAAGCCTGCGACAAATCCGCCGTCTCCCACATGTGGGGCACTTTGCGCGAACGAATGAAGAGGCGCAAGGTGGGGGCGTCCAGATCCAATCGCTTTGGCCTTCCCAAAACAAACCACCAGAGCATTCCCTTCAAAGCCATTCTACGCCGTCGACCAGACGCAGCTACTGTCAGGATCGAGTAAGCTTAAATAGTGGGAGCCTGTAGAAATTCTAAAGTGTTGAAAACAGTCCGTCTCCTGCCGGTTCGTCAGTACAGTTCTAAGCAAGGCAATACACTCCAAGACTTGCCTCTTCGAGTCCTCGCCCAATCCCTTCACCACTTCAGCCCTAGAAGTGTGCTTTCTTCCCTGACTGCGGTCGCTTTCCGATGTCATTTTGTGCTTTGAAAATTCGATTCTGCTGGCTTCCCTTGTCGTGTGAGGAGATATGACGAGACAATCACTTCACTGCCATCCGCCCTTCAACCTTGAAGTCCATTGTATGAAGGCTTACGCAGATGTTGTTCACCTAGCCAACAGCGCGCTGCCGTTCTGGAAATTCCAAAATATGAATCGGATAGTACAGGGAGTCATACCCACTGTTTCAAGCACCGTAACGTCAAACCATATATACCAGTAATGGTTTCGCAAATCCCATTAAATCATTCCTTACCACCGACCCGTCGTTCAAAATCATCGATCAGCCTTGACCCATCCACGACCTCTACACCCTTGCCCAGCCCGACCATGGTAGTAGTCTCCCACCACTTCTTCTCGTTGATTCTCCCGCCGCCCTCACCTTCGTCCTCGGTATCCACAAGCCCGAGGCCAACACCGCCGGCACCAACAACAATCATGACTTGGCCAACCCAGTTTCTGATTTGCTCGACATATTCTCCCTGAGTTCCAGCAAGATCCTCGGTCACGTAGACTAGGTCAGGCGCCAGATGACGGAGCATGTGCACGTGGCCACTGGGCGTCGTGAATGGCATGACCATCGTCCGGTCTTTGACCAAGCGGAGCGCACGCGCATGGATGCTGCTGTAAAGCGTATTTTCAGAGGCTGAGGCTGACATGGATGGGGTGTTCCCAGACTTCGGCGTGTTGTGGCCACTGCCGTATGGCTGCGGCTCAAGAGACGACATCTCGTCTCCAGGAGTTTGAGCAGGAGTAGGGATGGCGGCGTACGAGGAACCGAGGGAGCCTGACTGGTTGCTGTCCCTGGATCGGGGCTTCAACGACGGCGCATAGATGAGAACAAAAAGGTTGGTAGTCGCAAAGTTCGTTGGCGACAAATGCGACAGAATAGACTATAGAAGTTAGAGGGACATTTCCAGACTAGACCTATATAAACTCACCGGAATCTCTTGGTACGACGCATGATCATCATCTCCTACGGCAGAGTCCGCAGAAACAACAACCACTACTGTCTTCTTCCTTGCGCCTGGCCGTGGAGGTTGAGCAGGAGGTTGAAGCGTCGCGTTGAACGCATCCGTATGCGCGCCAACAGCCCTAGCACTCTCTGACGACTGCGCCTCGACATGTCGGCGTGTAGCCTCCTCAGACCATCTGGAGTGGTCGCCGTAATCCTCGCGGTCCTCCTCGCGGATAGAGCTGAGGGCAGCGCCAAATGCGGTGCCAGCCGCAGTTACACCTTGCGCTAGCCTTCTGCTCGCATTATCGAACATTTGCTGCGGACTGGGCGTGCGACGAATAGCTCCAGACATGCGCGCCACAAAACTTTCATCCTGTTCTCTGGTCACGCCAACTGATTCCGAGTATGTATCGTCCGCGTAGCCTGGAGGCGGCGGACGGTATGTACGCTCCTCCTCGCCATAGCTAAGGTCTGCGTCGTCATCGTCGTCCCCGTCTTTGCGCTCGCTCCAAATCCATGCTGCAACGCCTGCGGTGGCGATGGTAACAGTGATGACAAGAGGGACCCAGTATCCGAACGTGGATCGGCGCGAGCTCTGCTGCCGGCGGTCGTAGCGGTCGTAGGAGAATGACATGATCGCTCCTCACATTATTCTGCGCGCGCGATCGTGGAAATGCAACAGGCTTTGCGACGCGTTTCTCGGAATTTAGAAAGCTTCGCGGGTTCCGGAGGTGGCTGGGCGGGCAGTCGGGCGGGCAGTCGGGCGGGGAGCTGTGAGATGGCACCTGCTTGTTGTTTGTGGAGGCTGGTTAGCACCTCGCCGAGGCCCGGGGAAGGAAAGGCTAATTAAACGTGGCCGCCTGTCCCGCCCATATAGGCCCAAAAGCGGCAAGGCAACCGGCAAGGGTCGTGTGTGGCCGTGCACAGTTTAGGTAGATCATGGCAGCGTGGCAGCGTGGCAGCGTGGCAGCGTGGTCGAAATTCACCACGGCGCGCTAGCGCCGCTTTTAAGTCGCGGCCGCTGGGAGCCGATGCGTCACAGCCCGTCCCGCGGCGCATTTTTTGAGCTTCACGACAACACCTCGCCCGCCAACCCAGCAATCTCCCCGTCTTGCCCGCGGTCAGCGCTTTTTTTTCCAGCTGGAGCAGTTCTAGAGGTGCAGACATCTACCTCGGCGCCTCTACATCTATCCAAGCAGACACCACACCAACGAACGATTTCACAGCCGCGGGGCAGTGACTCTACACCATGCCTCACGCCAACATGCCTGCACCGGGCTTCCAGGCGCTGATCCTTTGCGGACCTGGCGTCTCTCTGGACACCTTCACCTCCAGCCCGAAGGACTTCCCTAAAGCCCTGGTCCCCATCGCCAATCGCCCCATGGTCTGGTATCCGCTGGAGTGGTGTTATCGCATGGGAATTACGAGTATGTGATTGTGTGTTGGTGGGGGCTGGTCTGAGAGTATCTGACAACAACGCTCCGCAGATATCACTCTGGTCACTCCTCCGGAATCCGCCGAAGCTCTTGAAGCCGCCTTATCCCAGAATCCGCATTTGACCTCTTTGCCTTCCCCGAAGCCCGATATCCTTGCCCCGGAGGACCTGACGCAGACCACCGGAACCGGAGAGCTGTTCAGGATAAAAGAGGTCCAGGATATCATCGAGGGAGACTTCATTGTCTTGCCGTGTGACTTGGTGTGCGAGCTGGACGGCGCAAGCTTGTTGGAGTCCTGGATGATTGAGCAGGGGGGCCTTGGCGGGGCTACCGGTGGTAAGGGAACCAACAACTTCATTCCGATGAGCACCGGAGGTGAAAAGAGCGGAAGGAGGGGCGGCATGGGCGTGTGGTACCAGACCAAAGGGGAGCACGCTGTGAAGGGCGAAGAGACCGATTTCATTGCGACAACCCCGTTACCCAAGTCCGTTGTGCCGCCGCATTCTGGATCGCTACGCCCGAGCCTAGCCAACCTGGTCTACTCAATTCCCACAGACGTGTTGAACGATATTACCGAGACCAAAAACTTCCCCATCAGACACACACTGCTCAAGAAGCATGGAAGAGTCAGGATGTTGACAACAACTCGCGACTCCCACGTCTACTTTTTCCCGTATTGGGTGCTGGAAATGATCAAGAAGAACGAGAAGTTCGATTCGCTTAGCGATGCTCTGGGGTGGTGGGCAAAGGCTGGGTGGCAGTCCGGGCTGGGGGAAAAGCTCGGTCTAGGCGAGATCCTGCGCCCCTCGGAGAGCGAGGATGGGGATGATATCATGGCCGCCACTAGCATTCTCCAGGATGATATCGATATTGCAAGCCTCAGCAGCACATTCCAACACAAGATCAACTCCGGAGAGCCACAGCCAATTTTTGCCTCAAGAGTAGTAGATCCGGATAGCCCATCCCTTCAAGTTACCCCGCCCGATGTTGAATCCCACCTCGAAGTTCCTCCTATCATTGCCTACGTCCAGCCGACCGAGGTCTCTGCGCCTTTCATCCGCCGGGTCGATACGGCCGCCCTTCTTCTGAACGTTTCGCTACGCCTGGCCAAGCTGCCATCGATCGAGGAAGCCGGCAAAGGCGCTGCCTCCCCCTTCGCTCACCCGGCTAAGATTGCGCACCCCGACTCTGTGCCTAAAAGATGCCGCGTCGAGGCCGAGAACAGTCTCATTGCTGAGAACGTTATCATCGAAGAGAAGTGCAACATCAAGGAGTCGGTCATTGGCGCGAACTGCAAAATCGGCACCGGCGCGCGCCTGCAGCGGTGCTTGCTGATGGATGGCGCCGAGGTCGGCGAGAATTGCCAGCTTACTGGCTGCATATTGGGCAGGAGGTGTAAGATCGAAGGTGGCCCGGCGAAGTCGGAAGAGAAGACCATTCTGAAGGACTGTGAGGTGCAAGAGAGCCACGTTGTCGAGTGGGGCAGTAAGTTCCCTGAGATTTCCAAGTTCGACCCCGAAACTTTACTGACAGCCTTGCAGAGGAATGGAAGGATGAAAAGTTCAAGCGTTTTGGTGGGGACCTGGATGAAGATGAAGGTGATGATGCATTTGGAGGAGATGACGGCACGGATGATATGATGGCGTAATGCTACTGGAGGCTTGTCTCAGCTAGAGCATGATTAGAGAAATTATATCAAAAAGTCAAGCGGAATATATAGCAAGGGAAAGTTCAGTCGCATCGAGCACGGTTTAGGACATTCGCGAAAATAAGTGTGATTCCATGCATTTGTATCTCATAACATACTGGCAAGAATCAGCGTGGGCCAGTCAAGGTCAACCCTTGAACTCCACATGCGCATAAGCTCTCAAAGAGTGATCGTGTAATATAGTACATAGGGCTCGCTGAGCCAAGTTCCGAAATCGTCCTCAACATTCCAACTTGATGATCCAGCCGTCACCTTCGACGTCCTGCTTAGGATTCAGGCCACCCCAGAGAACCACCGTCTTATCATCGATGTTCGAGGCTGCGAAGAACGACCTAGGCCCAGGATGGACCTTACCTTCATGCGCGAACTCCTCCTGATGCAGCTTCAACTCAACCTCGGCCCAGCTGTCTTCGCCAGAGTCCATTCCAAGCTTGAGCCTGGCCGCATCTTTGGCGCTAGCAAGAGTGGTATTGTCGGAAGGAAGCTGGAAGGTCCAGGCATCGCTGAACAGTTCGTCGGACTTGGGTGGAAGGCTGGTGGGCCGATCGCCACCGTGCTTCTGACCGAACAGGTACAAAAGATATTTGCGACCTTGTCCGGTTGAAAGAGTGATCACGCCAGCCCCGTCTCTGGAGGTATCAGGACCAGGGACGAGGGGGTTTGAGGGCACGGGGATGGTGTCCCAGCGCGCATCGGTCGCAGCGGCATGGAGGTCGTAGAAGTGGACTGGAGCCTGGAACTGCGAATCTATGCCGACAGTGAAGACCTTGTTTTGAGAGAAGGCAAGACCTGAAGGTGTACCGACAGGTGACAATGCTTGGTCTTCGTGGGCTTGCCAGACACCAGTCGTGACGTCAACCGAGCTAAGACTTGGAAGTGTTCGCAAGTCATTGGTGCCAGCCGGTTTGCTATAGCCTCCGTAGAGTAGAAGGGTGTTGCCGTGGACAGTAGATCCATGGTAGAACTGGCACTCCTTAGGACCTTGAGAAGTGCGAAGAGTCCACTTGAGCGTGTCGGTGTCAAAAGACCAGAGCTTGGAACCGTCCTCTACTGAGTTGCCAGCCTCATCCATTCCGCCGTAGATGATGATGTCCTTTCCGAACACCGAGGCAGAATGGCCCGCGCGAGGTGGGGGGACGGAGGAAGCATCATCCGTGGGCAATGCTGGGATGCACTTGTAGTCGGTATCCTCCTTGTCCTTGGGAGGCAGGGTCACTTGGTGGAATTCGTTGCCGGCGAGGGTGCCGGCTTCAGTGAAGCCGCCGAAGATGTAGGCCTTGCCGTTTACCACGCTGACGGTATGAGAATGGCGACGGATAAGTTCGCTTTGCAGGCTGTCAGCAAAGCTCGTCAGTCCACGAACGATACAGCAACTCACGATACTGCTATGCGGGTGAAGGTAGCCTTCAGCGGCAAGGTCTTCTTGGCGATAGCAATTCCGGCCACGGCACCACCTTCAATGGTGGTCGAGACGACCTGTTCGGCGACGACAGCTCCAGCAGCAATTTCGGCCATGGTGAGCAGAGTGTTGTTTGGGTGAAGGTGCGGGGAGAGTTATTGCATCATAGGTGGATGCGCCTTTGTTCCTTGCAGGGCCAGGAACGCCCGCCGGGTGGGACGCGGGCGGAAGGCGCCAAGGGCAGGGCGGCGCTGTTTCCGCGCTGGCGCTAGCCCTTCACGTTTACGCGTTTGTGGAGCCGCATGGCTTCCCCGACCCCCGACATCATCTCCACCACCCGCGCCCGCATCCCAGACCGCCCGTCGCACATCACCGACCGCAGACTTTGCTCGGCGCCCCTCGTTTAACCGCTGTTGCGGCAGGGCTCGCCGCTCGCCGCCGGGTTGCTCGCCGCTCCGCGAGCTCCCTGAGATCTGCACCGCCGTTGGGATCACCGCATCTCACATCTCACGTCGCGACTCTTTGCACCCAACTATAACCCGACTCATCTGCCATGTCGACCGCCGGCCCGGTACGACCTATGCAGGCTCTGCGCCAGCGTCGTGAGTCGCAGCGGCCTTCTCAGCTCCGCAGCAGCACCAGGAATGCACAGGGTGATGCTGAAGAGGCAGCGGCGGCGGACAAGGTTGTGGAAAAACCACTTGGTACGTTTCGACAACCGTCATGGCTTCAGCTGGCTGGCTGACCTAGCAATAGTTGTAAATGAGCAGTACATATTGAAGAAATTCAAGGGCTCGCCGCCGTCTCTGATTGTCCACCTCCACCAGCATCATTTTCGCTTCGAGCAGCAAGATGGCAACTTCCCATACAATTCTCCAATGCGCCCGCTGCTGCAACACATTCGGGATGGGACAATACCGCACTTTATACTGGAGGAAATGCTGCGCGCTGGCGTCACGTTCTACGAAGGCTGCCTTATCGTCCAACTGGTTGACCATCGCTCGGCCGATGCCAAAACCCAGGCCGGAACCACGAACACCACTTCTAAAGAAGGAAAGACCGACCAGTTCTCTATTCATAAGTGGAACGAGTATTTGACTCCATCGCCATGGAGGCCCTACCCTTCGCCTCCCAAGTCGTCTTCCGACGAGTCCACACCCCCGAAGTCCGACCAGGCAAACCGTCCAAGCTCGTCCGCGGGCGAAAATAAAACAAAATTCGAAAGCCCATCGGTTGATGAAGTAAATGCTGCGAATAGAAGCCCTAGGGTGACCACCAAGGTGCTGTTTCCGACACCGCTATCCTACCAGACCGAACTCGAGCTGTTGGCAAACACTCCAATGCCGGATCTTGCTGCGGCAAGAAGACAGCAGTCCAGGGCAGCAGCTACTCCTCTTTCGGCGCACCCGCCTACGCCATTGACATCCATGCCTCCGACACCTTCTACAACACGTGGGCCGGCACCCAAACGACAGAAGATGATATTGGATGAGACCAATGTGCACGATTTCGAGGCCGATGTGATCAATGCAGCTGCTCCTGCGCTTTTCTTGGAACCTGTCCATAGCTTGTTGGAAAGCCAAGATATAATCGAGGCCACCACCCATTCCATGCACAGAAACGCCCCGCCACCTCCCAAGACGCGGAAGCGGACGACGGCTGAGCTGGCGGCTGACGAGGCACAGTTTGCGGCCGACCAGAACTTCATGCTGTTTGGGGACAGCTCTGCGTCAACCTCTAATGCTGCACAGATGAATGGCGATGGTGAAGGTATGCGCAGCGGAGCCGCCGCCTTCGAGCCTCGCTTCTCCCGTTTCAAGACTTTGGAAAACATCAAGGCTGTCCATGAAGAGAACGAACGCATCAAGAAGGAAGAGGAAGCTCGCCAGGCCCAGCTCAAGCGGGAGCAGCAGGCGAATGCAGAAGCAATGCGCAGGAGAGACGAAGCCAGTGCCCAACAGGCCGAACAGGCCAGACTCCTGGCGCAACGGCAGCAGCAGCAGCAGCAGCAGCAGCAGCAGCAGCAGCAGCAGCAGGTCATGCAGGCAGAGCAAATGCGACGTCAAGCGCAAGCTCAGGCTCAGGCTCAAGCTCAAGCTCAAGCACAGGCTGCTGGGAACTCGATTGGAACCCCCCTTCATACTCAATTCAGTCAAGCTCAGCAGAATTCCCCAATGGTCCGCCAACAAACGCCTATGCAGGCTTCACCGGTAATGAACGCAAACGCTGTCGCAAACCACGCGATGGGTGGTGTGCCAATGGCTCCCACTACTTCCAGTCAAGCAGGCAGCCCGCCACGCCCGCCTTCTGCCGTTCCTCACTCTGCAGGCCCGCCGAATATGGCCCGACAGATGAGCCGCCAACAGAGCAGTCAACATCCAGGAAGCGCTCATGGAACTCCTCAAATGCATTTGAACACGCCTCAAATGAATCAAGCCATCCCTGTCACCCGTCACATGACGCCACAGCCCGGTCGCGTCAACCAGCACGGCAGCCCAGTTGGTGCTATGCAGGGCACTCCTATGCTACCCGGAGGTGGACAGATGCCACAGAATCTGACGCAGGACCAAATGATGCGCATTCATCAAATGCGTCGGAACCAGATAATGCAGCAACAACAGCAGAACGCTGCAATGGCTGGCTCACCCCAGAACATGACACCAGAGCAACTGCAGATTTTCCGGCAGCAACAGATAGCCCAAGCTCAAGCTCAGGCGCAGATGGCGCACCACAACGGCCAAGGTTCCAACAATGGTACACCTACGCCATACAACGCACAGCTAGCTCAACAAATGCGCCAACAAATGGCTCAGTCCGCTTCTCCCAACCCCGGGCAGCAGCAAGGCCAACAACGTCCCATCGGCCAGCAGGGCATTATGAGTGCAAACATGAACATGGGCGGAATCAATTTGGCAAACATGACGCCCGAACAGCAGCAGCAGTTCCACCGTCAACGTTCGCAAATGATTGTCAAGCGCATCTTGTCCCACTTCAACGGCAACATGCCTCCGCAACTCCAACAGATGATCCGCAGCGGTCAAGTCATGCAGGCCTGGCAAATGGTCGTCGCCCAACAACAGCAACAACAGGCTCAGAACCAAGCGAACCAGCAGCAGCAACAACAACAGCATGGCGCCCAGAACAGCATGGGCATGGGAGGGGGCATGGGCCAGATGAACATGGGCGGCATGGGCATGGGCATGGGCGTTTCGATGGGCGGTGGCCAGATGAGCATGGGCGGCGGCGTCGGCGGCGTGGCGGCGGGCATGAATGGCATGGGCGGCATGGGCGGCGCCGGCAGCATGACGATGCAGCAGATGCAGCAGATGCAGATGCGCCTCCAGCAGCAACAGCAAGCGGCCGCGGCCCAACAAGGCGGCGACGGTGGCGGCCAGCCGAACCAGCAGGCGTACATGGCCCGCCTCATGCGCCAGCAACAAATCCTCGCTCAGCGTCAGGCCCAGCAACAACAACAGCAGAACATGATGGGCATGGGTGGCAACATGGGTATGGGCATGGGCTGGCAGGGCGGCATGGGACGTGGTCAAGGCGGCGGTATGGGTTAAGAAGCGGGCGGGCGTACACGCGTACTCTTGCGAGAGCTCGGTCTTGCTTGCTGGAGGGGATCCTAAGATGACTGGGATATATGCTTTTACCATCTGCTTGTTTTCTCATCTACCCGTCCTTACTGCCTGCGTCTCTCGAGGAATTGCATTCCATTTCGACGCCAAAGAATAAGAAAAAAAAAAAGGGTATCGGGGGTAAGGTTTCGTCAACAGAAATGACTTGCGGTACAGATTGGAAGGCGTCGTATCGGCACCTCATTATTTCTATCACTCTTACTCCCGCATAGCGATGGCGTTATTCCTGGAGTTTTGACCGCGACGCGGCCACTATTGATACCAGGCCAACTCTTAGCACAGTTAGAGCGCCCTTCGTATTGACTATCAATGAAATTCTACGCATCCTCCAAAATCTTGAGAAGAAATATAACATCGCAGTGAATTGTAAAGGAGATCGATCAAGTCTCTCGATCCTGGATTATTAGATGTCGCAATCTACCTCTAAGGCAGTCAAAGTTCACGACAGGATTGTTTGTATAGTCTAAGTGCCTACATCTACATCCGGATACTAGATTCGGCTGCATTCTCGTGCACGGAAAGTGTACAGTGTCTTGCAGATTAGGGGATGGCACATGCAGTCTTCTGCGACCCATCGTGACACTCAATTGAATGCTTGGTTTACGACTAAAATAACGCTGCTGCTCTTCGGTATAGTACATTAATGCAAACACGATGAGTGATTAAGAGGAGATAAAAGAATAGTAATGACGGGAAGGGAAGAAAGAAAAAATCAAGGCTCCTTCCACCCTCCCAAGGAAAAAAAGAAAGAATGTGCCCACCCCCGCTCGGCGTGGGCTAACGCTATGAGTCCCCGAATGATGCAATCAAACTGAACCCTCGCTCGCTTTTCATTTTTTTTCGTTGGAAGAAACAAATTTTCGACAGAAATGTGCACAGTGTCGTGACATCATAAAGAACCTGTTATAGACGTCGGATTGTAAAAAAAAAAAAAAGAAAACACACCCTCCCTTATTTCCCTTCGTATTTACCTTTACATATGTCACTCATCCCTCCTCTGCTCAGCCTGGCCAGGGCCAGAAGTTTGTTGTCCGGGCGCCGCCGTCCCCGTCCCCATACCGCCACCATCTGCCGCCGTTGCTGCCGCCGCCGTGCCCGTCGCAGGGTCAAAGAATGAGATGTATTCGTGAGGCACCCATTCCAACCACGACATCATGTTGTCACCCAGCGCGCTCATGTCGATATCCTGGCTTTCGACCATCATGTCGGCGAACGGGATGGGGCCGACGTGGGGTTGGCCCGGCGGGGCGGTCATTTGGGACGGGTAAGGCCCGGTTGGAGATTGCTGGTTGACGGCGGACGATGGTGCGGTGGCGCCGCCTCCACCACCACCACCACCTCCTCCTCCTGGAGGTGGTGGGCGGCCCCCGGCGGGCGATGACGTGGTCGAGTACGGGGAGTGGAGGTTGAGGAGGAGGTCGGCGTCGGAGACTAGGGTGGAGTCGGACAGGTAGGCGGAGGAGCCGCCGGGCGGAGGCGGAGGCTGCATGCTCGGGGCGGTAGCGCCGGGCTGTGCGAATATTTGGGTGCTGTTGGGGTAACGGGGTAGCGGCGTGGAGACGTTGCGTTGTTGTTGAGGCGAGGTTGGAGCCTGTGCCATTACTGACGAGATGGACGCGTCCATGCCGTCTTGCGGGCGGCGGGGACCGCTGTCTCTGGTTTCGGTAGGCCACATAACAGCTAAGCTCGTGCTTGGTGAGTTCATGGTTCCAGTAAGGGACCAGCCAATGGCTAACAGGAGTTTTGTCAATATCTATACGCTGGCCTTGACCCTTCAATGAAAGAAGACCATACCTTGACCTGGGTCTCCAATGACAGACCCTGGAATCCCAAAGTTTGCGCCTCTGCTGCTCTTGAAAGCCGCGACTGGGCCCTGATCTTTCTGGGCATGATCCTGGGGCCCAATATACGCCCCCCAAGATAGCTTGCGCCGCCAACCAGGCGTGTCGAACGAAGGCTCTATCTGCGGAACTTCCAATGCACATTCCATCTCTTCCCTGGTGTATAGGAGTGGATCCACAACACCCTTGGCCTTTTGGTCCAAAACGGTCAAAATGTATTTGACGCCAGCCCAGTATGTCTCTAGAGACTCGAGGGCTCTATAACAACGTTGGTAGTTTTGGTTAGCGGCCGTTGCTAGCAAGGTGTGTTTCTGCTGCTTCTCCGCTGAAACTGTTTGGGTCCTTCCATCCCTCGCATCCGCTCTCTGTACACTGCTATCACTGCTATTTTCTCGTCCCCAGCTGTTTGACGGTGGAGATCCTTGCCTTGAATGCGGATTTGACGAGGCGGATTGCATGGCAGTCTCCTTGAGGAAGGCGCAAGCGGCGATATAGATTGGCTGACTATGGACTGTTAGTTGCCGAGCATGGCATTGTCTGTCGGTCATACCTGGTAAATGGATTGCCAAGGCCGGCTTTGGCGTCAGCCAATTCTGCAAAAGCGAGAATATCTGCAATCGTCTTCGCTGACGACAAGGACAGCTCGTGGCTGTTGGGGAGAAGCTGTTGGATGCCTCCCTCAAAGGTTTTGAGAAGAGTGGGCTGATGTAGGAGAACAATGAGGGTATGGAACCAGAAGTGGAGGAGGATGAAATTCGTCCCTTGACCGTTTTTCAGGTAATGCTGGAAATTAAGAACGTTGAAATGCAAACGTGACGAGAGATTCTGATAAATGTCGGTCAAAAGACTCTCCATGAATGCTAAACGTTTGATCACGTCGGGTGTGACATGCGATACCTCCTTGATTCCGTTCAAGAGGTCCGTGACACGTCCATAGAGATGGATCACTCGGATCAGCGCAGGGTAAGGAACCGGCCATCCAGTACTCGGGTCCGCGGAATCAAGCGACGGGAACGACAGTTCGATATCACTGTCTCTCAAGGAAACAGGTCGCCCTGTTCCGGATGAGACGACGCGATCCAGGAAAAAGACGGCCCAGAACGTGTCGATTCGCTCTCTCTCTACGGCTCTCTGTTCCTCGGCAGCCTGGGGGTCAGACACTTCTGGCGATGGCGCCGCGGGCTCATCGTGGTGTACGTTTTCCTTCTTTCTGGAAGAAATGTATTTGATACTCCCTGGTGTGGGCCCACCTCTTCCCTCGTATCTCAGTCCTTGCAGGGTTTGCATACCAAGATCTTGAGCCATTCGGATGGCAATCCCGAGATACATCCACAGGCCAGAGTCACGGCTCCCACCGAATTCATCATAGGCGAGCAGCAAAGCAGCTTGAACGACAGCCACGCTTGGGCACGCGAAGGTGTCGACGATTGCGGATTTAGCTCGCAAGGCGAACTGTTGCCCGTATTCGGACGAGGGCGTCTCCGGCTGCTCCGCGTCTCCATCGCACTGGCGTGCGCCAACCAGCATTGGATCAGTGGAGAAGCGGGCAGCCAACGCACAGACCGAGTCAACAAGGATGGCGTCGACTTGCTTCTCCTCTAGATCACGCATAAATCGGACTTCCTGCAAGAAGGGAAAATTGCAACCGAGGTGCGCGAAGAAGGTCTTGCACAAATGCGTGAGCAACGGCGGCGGGGGGACTGGCGAGGCGTCGTATATTGGAAGCTCGATGGGGGTGGGGTTTTCCGTGGCAGATTGTTGGGAGGTTACGCGGCCGAGCGAAGCTGCAGCAGGAGGGGATTGTTGGCCTTGACTGCTCTTTGAGATCACGACTTTGGGATGCTAGAAAGCGCGCTTACCATCATTTGTTGATGTTCCTCCGGTGCTGTGTTGCTTGCCTTTGACCTTGACCACCATCTGCTTGAACCCCGGCATGATCGCCGTCGGCCCGAAATAGCGGAAGTAGGGCATGCGGTTTCGAATGCTCAGGCTTAGCGACAGGCGGCCTTTGCATGGGTCAGCGGAGGAGCGATTACGAGACGATGTCAACTACATACTTGAGGCCTGGCTTCCCTCGTCTCCGCCAGCGCTTGCCGGGCCATTGAAGCTGGACTCCAAGGCAGGGTCGATGATCGGGGAGTCGATCGGCGGATCGTGAGCTAGACGAGGATGTGCAATCCCCACACTCTCGGCTTGCTGGTGTTGGTGCTGTTGTGTCTGCTGCAGCTGCCCTGGCGTCGGCCCGCGGGCCACCGCCACAGATGGTCTCCTTGCGGGATTCGTCGCGACGCTGGTCCGTCTCTCGCCCACAGAGCCAGGCGCGGAGCTATCCTTGGGCTGGTCTGTATCGGGCCCATAGCCCCCGCACGTGTGATTGTTCTTGAGGCAGGTTTCGCAGGCGGGGCGCTCGCCGGAACAGCGCGTCTTGCGACGGCGGCAGGTCAGACAGGCCGAGTTTATTCTCCGTCTCTTCGCGTAAGGCCCGTCGTGGTTGGTGACGAAGCGTATGGCCTTGGGCTGGGGCAGAGCTTGGCCGGTCGACGGGTCTGGGGCCATGGCGGCCATGCGGGGGCGAAGGGTCTCGCGAGGCTGGGGCTGCAGAGCGCGTCGACAGCATGTGGTCGCGAAAGGAGCGGAATGTGCGGCTCAAGCGGGCGCAACGAAGGAGTGTGCTGGGGCTTTGGTACGAGTATCAAGCACAGCGGTCCGCGCCACGGGCCCGGCGAGCAGTTGGCGCAATGGCAGGCCTGCGGGAGAGGTGCGTGCGGAATGGGTCGACGGGCAGCTAGTGAGCTCGCGCGCAGGACCCGCGCCTGGTATGCGTGGCGGAAACTGTAATCGGCGGCGCAGCACTGGGGTTGGGAGCTGGGAACGGCATGGTGCCCTGGTGCGTAGGAGGCCATTGGTAGTAGCCACGGCCAGCCTCGCAACCACGGCGGAGTCGGCCAGGCTCACGGCTCACGCCTCCCGAAGCCTCGCTGCGTGATCGCCCCGAGCCCGCCCTCTCCTCCACACCATGCAGCCTGCAACCTGAACCCGACTCCGGGGCTGATCCTCTGATCCAACCTAGCACCCCTGCACAGGCCATCCGACCATCCCACTCCGAATTTCCAGAGCCGTCCAACAAGCCGCCCACCCCAGCGACTCCAGTCCCCGCGCCACCCACCATGCGCTCCCTCTCTACCATTGCCCGCGCCGCCCCACGCGCTCTTCTCCCCCCGGCGCGCTACACGGCTGCGTCCCGCTGTCTGCACAGCTCCGCTCCCAAGCCTGCGACTCCCCTGCCGCATCCCACTGCTCCAGGCCCGCCGCCAGACCCGCCGAAGCCTGCTGCTTCGACCGCCGAAGATCGGATCGCGCGCAAGCGCCAACGCGCCGAGCAGTTTCAGGAAAGCCGCAACGCAACGACAAACCCGTCAAAACCGGGGAGTGCCTTGAAGAAGCGCTTTTGGCGTGACGTACACGTCAAGCAGACACCAGGTAGGCGCATTGCTGAGCATCGGATGGGTAACAATTGCTGAGCGTGCGTGTGATAGATGGCCACCAGATTCTTCTCGATTCGCGACCCGTCCGGACTTCTTCGAAAAACGTCCTTACCATCCCCCCGAACAAGCAGCAGCTCGCCGCTGCCATTGCGCTGGAATGGGACCTCTTGCTCAATGCACAGCAGGCTCTCAAGCAGCACTACATCCCTCTCACATCCCTGACGTCGCGTGCGATCGACATACAGGCAGAAGATGCGGCGGGCGCTTCAAGTATTCGAGCGGGCATCATTGAGATGCTTATGAATTACCTCACGACCGATACGCTACTCTGCTGGGCACCCGAGGAGAACATTCATGAGCCGAAGGACCTGAGCGAAGGAGCGAAAAGTCTGCGCAAGACGCAGATGCAGACGGCGCAGCCCATCATCGGCTTTCTCACCACCAAGCTCTGGCCAGGCGTCGAGATCAGGCCTATTCTGGAGCCCGACAGCATCATGCCCGTGCCGCAGGCGCCGAATACCGTGGAAGTGGTGAGGGGGTGGTTGTCTTCTCTGCCGGCATGGGAGCTGGCTGGGGTGGAACGCGGCGTGTTGGCAAGCAAGAGCTTGCTGGTAGCAGCTCGCCTGATGGCTGAGTGGAGTCCCCAATTCGCCCACACCCGCGAGAACCAGCCTGAGGGCAGGCGATTCGGGATTGAGGAGGCGGCTGAAGCCAGCAGCCTGGAAGTTACCTGGCAAACAGGCATGTGGGGGGAAGTTGAGGACACGCACGATGTCGACAAGGAGGATCTGCGGCGACAGCTTGGCAGCGTTGTACTTCTCGTCAACGGGTAAAAAAGAGGATGGCTGGATCTGGCTGCGGGTGTATAAATAGTGTGTGTAGTCTAGGTGAATGCTGCGAGCCCATGTTGTAGATCTAGACGAGAGATAAGCTGCCAGCAACTTCAGGTGGAGCAGGGAAGGGCGGCGTCTTCCGGGGGCTGGAGGCGTTCACAGCAGGCGCTGGTGCTGCAAGAGGAAGCTGCAAGACAGCGACGCTACGTAGGTGGGAGGCGGCGGTTGGCGGGCTGGGATGCGGCGCAATCGCAACAGTGTCACTTGTGGCAATCCCAAAGCTTCTAGCCACGTACAGGCAAGCAGCGCGTCCTCGGGCGCCGACCCCTGTCGCCTGACGCAGTGGCACCGCGGGGACTATGTACGTGCGTGATGTGCTCCCTAAATCGCCTCCGCGCTCGCGCTCGCGCTTGCTACCTTCGACTCTGCGTGTACCCGGCTCTCGTTCTGCTGCGAGTCTCGACTGCGGGCATCCAGCTGCCCCAGATTGATGCGCGCCGCAAACGGACCCAGCACCCGCGCTACGCCTGCCGCGCCGTTGCCACCCCTGTCGCCGCGTTCTTGTCCCGCCCACGCTGCGCCCTGGAATCCATACATTGGCCATGGAGAGGTAACGTCCGCCCATTGTGGCAGCGTGCTGTGCAACGCCCGCGCCGCCGCGCCGTTTCCAAGCCCCGAGCTCTGCCGCCCGCAGCCGCTGACGTCTGACATCACTCAGCTCTAGCGCCCAACAACACAAGAGGAACAAGTCCTCGGTGCGGTCGCTCCTGCACCGCGTCTCGTCCAAGCAGGATGCCGGCGTGAATTCCGACAACGACGACCAAGCCTCCAACCCTGCCTCGTCCCAGACCTCTATTACCTCGCCGCCCCCCGCCTCTGTGCACGCCTCGCGCTCGAGCATCCAGGCCCCCCGCCATCGTCCACACCTGTCCACTACCATGTCCAATTCCAATGCGACCTCCTCCGAGGCCCTGTCGCCCCCGTACGCCGGCGCGCAGTCTCCGTCTTCCCCGACTGCCAAAGGTGCTTCCATTGAGCAGTCTGTTCGCCTGTTCCGCATCTTCGAGGCTCTCCGCAACGGTGACACTGCCGCCATTTCCAAGGCGATAAGGGAGGAGGGCTCCACGCAAGGCGGCGCAAGGCAGAGCACCTCGTCGATAGCGTCTTTGTCTACGGCACGGCTGGAGGGCACCTCAATACTGCACCTCGCCATTCAATGCGCCGAGCTGCCCGTCATCGAGTTTGTTCTCTCCAATGTCGGCGCCGGCATTGACTTGAACGGAAGGGACAGAGATGGCAACACCCCTCTCCACCTCGCTGCTCAGCTAGGTCGTGCGCCGGTCGTCAAGATGCTGTTGGAGCAGACTGGCATCAATGACTCGCTAGCAAACTACCATGGCCAAACCCCGCTCGATCTGGCGCGCACGCCCGACATTTTCCAACAACTACAGTTGACCCGATCGATATTCATTGACACCCACGTCAAGAAAATCCAGGAGCTGTCGTTGCAGGCGGACTACAAGTCTTTGGAGAGCGTGTTGACAGATCCTCGTGTGCAAACCACGTTGGATGTCAACGGCCCGGAACTTGCGACAGACCCTTCCACGGTCGAGACGGGAGGCACCTTGCTCCACGAAGCGGCCAGGAAAAAGGATACTCAGCTATGCCAACTGCTCCTCCTGAACGGCGCAGACCCTTTCCGACGAGATCGGAAGGGCAAGCTTCCTCATGAGGTAACCAAGGACGACAAGACCAAGGCGATCTTGAAGAAGTCCCCTGCCGCAGCAGCAGCTCAACGTGGCATCCAGGAGAAGACAATCTTGGGCTCCGCTGCTCAGGCCGCTGGGCCCGCTTCGGCCGAGGTTGCGTTGGGCTCGAAGGAAAGCCGCGAGATGAAGGGCTATCTGAAGAAGTGGACCAATTACACCGGTGGCTACAAGCTGAGGTGGTTTGTTCTCGAAGACGGAGTTCTAAGCTACTACAAGCACCAAGGTAAGCTTGCCCAGACTGTCGATATGCGCAAATCCACGACTGATCATTTGTAGACGACATTGGATCTGCGTGCCGTGGGGCTATCAATATGAGGATCGCCAAGCTCCACATGGATCCGCAGGACAAGCTCCGTTTCGAGATCCACGGCAAGTCCTCTGTCAAATACCACTTGAAGGCGAACCACCAGGTCGAGGCCAAGCGATGGTTTTGGGCGCTGAACAATGCGATCCAATGGAGCAAGGACGAAGCGCGCGAGGAGGAGAAGCGACAGACTCGTGAGACCGAAGCACTCCGCCAAGCAAAGAACGAACAGACTTCCAAAGAGAGCGATGCGATCAGCACGGTGAGTTCGAGGCCGAACGGTAGGAACTCAGTTCTCAGCCCGGTCAGTAGCGGGGCATTGGGTGTGCCCCAAACCGGCTCGCGCACTGGACCAAGCACTGCAGAGGACGATGAGCTTGGCAACAGCACCTATGATGCTAGCTTGGGTGGAGAGGAGGCTAGCCGATTTGAAAGCCGCACTGGCAAATCAATTGGGGGCGATATGGACGACGACGATGACTATGGCGATGATGTGAGCAGCGATCAAGCGAAACCTGTTAGCAAGGACGCCTTCAACATCACTGCACAGTCGGTCAAACTGCAGCTGGATCTTCTTGCGCAAGTGTCCGCAGCATTGCAGGCAGAAAAGGCCAAGAACCCTTCGATGGCAATTTCCGATCCTGCAGCAGCTCAAGCATTCTCGTCCTACGAGGCGGCTGTTAGCAGTCTGAAAGGTCTTGTTGGTGACTTGTTTCGTATCGCGCGGGATAGAGATGCATACTGGCAGTACAGGCTCGATAGAGAGGCCAATGTTCGTCGCATGTGGGAGGAAAGCATGGCAAAGGTAGCAAGGGAGCAGGAGGAGCTCGAAAACAAGATTGGAGAGTCCGAGGACAAGCGGAAGCGGACGAAGAAGGCGCTCCGTGATGCGCTACAAGGACTTCAAACAGGGGAGGCCTCCAAGGTCAAGAACGCCATTGCTGACACAGACGCAATCGCTGAAGTCGATGAGCCTGTCGACGACGCAAAGGCCTCCCGGAGCCGCAATAACAGTGTCACTAACCGGCCCAACCTGGCCGAACTTGCTGATCTCTCGGATTCAGAGTCTGATGACGAGGAATTCTTCGATGCTATCCAGGAAGGAGAGGTGGAGGTTATGGAGTCTTTACCCGTCACGTCGCCGCCGCCTTACGAAAGCGATGAGAAGCCGGCGGACATGGATCTCCGAGAAGCCAAGCTGGCTGAAATCTTGCCATCCTTCAAGGGTTATGAAGAACCCGTGCGCACACGTCTTAAGCTGGATGACGACGACCGACCAAAGATTTCGCTATGGGTATGTGGCCGTTCCATGATGACTTCAAGCCGTTGCTAACAATCTCAGGGTATTCTGAAATCCATGATCGGCAAGGACATGACCAAGATGACTTTGCCTGTGTCGTTCAACGAACCAACCTCGTTGCTACAGCGCGTTGCCGAGGATATGGAGTATGTTGATCTGCTCGATACCGCCGCCGAGCGTCTGGACTCGTGTGAACGCATGGTGTACGTCGCCGCATTTGCGGCAAGTGAGTATGCCTCGACTATTGGACGCGTTGCCAAGCCGTTCAATCCGCTGTTGGGTGAGACTTTTGAGTACTGCCGCCCGGACAAGGGGTTCCGCTTCTTTGTCGAGCAAGTCAGCCATCACCCACCGATTGGCGCCGCGTGGGCGGAGTCGGCCAAGTGGGATTACTACGTAAGCGATGGCTTTGGTTTCACCGTATTTGAGTATCCTAACCTTTTCCCAGGGCGAATCTGCTGTCAAGTCCAAATTCTACGGCAAATCCTTCGATATCAACCCTCTCGGCACTTGGTTCCTCCGCTTGCGCCCCGCGTCCGGTGGCGAAGAGCTGTACACATGGAAGAAGGTTACTTCGTCTGTCATTGGAATCATCACTGGCAACCCTACCGTCGACAATTACGGTCTGATGGAGATCAAGAACCACACGACTGGTGAAGTTTGTCTCCTTGAATTCAAGCCCCGAGGTTGGAAGGCCTCGTCCGCCTATCAGTGTGCTGGAAAGGTGGTTGGCGCTGATGGCCAGACGCGTTGGAGCATTGGTGGTCGCTGGAACGATAAGATATACGCTCGTCTTACGCCTGGCTACGAAGACGGCGACAACGTCGGCCAGAAGGACAAACAGGCTACTCTTGTCTGGCAGTGTCACGAACGCCCAACCGGCATTCCTTTCAACCTCACCCCATTCGTCCTCACACTCAATGATCTTTCAGATCGCCTCAAGCCGATCCTTGCGCCTACCGATACCCGTCTGAGGCCCGATCAGCGTGCCATGGAGGACGGCGAATATGATCTCGCTGCTGTGGAGAAGAACCGGGTGGAAGAGAAGCAACGTGCGACGCGCAGGGCACGCGAGGCGGCAGGCGAGGAGTTTGAGCCGCAGTGGTTCTCCAAGGCCAAGGATGAGACCACCGGCGAGGAGTACTGGAAGTTCAACGGCGAATATTGGAAGATGAGAGATAGGGTCGCCAACGGAGAGAGCGGCTGGGAGGGTTGCGAAGACATTTTCTGAGCCTCTATAAGCCACAGAGATCGTTTTCAGGTTCAAGCGGAAAAGTTCAACTTGTGAAGCGTTGGTGTTTCAGGCAGTGGAGCGACGGCGATTGTATTAACAGAGCGCGGATGGTCGTCACTTTCTTACCCCCCCACCCCAGTCTATTTCTCTAAACACCCCCGTTTTGCAACACCTCCTTTGCTTTTACAATTCCCCATGAGAATTTCCATCCCATTGCTTCTTTGCATTTTCTTAATGTCTTCTTCCCGCCCCCTCCACTCTGAAAACAACAACCTTACTCTAGAAGATGAATCATGAAAACAAAACCGGGGATTCCCCCGTCTTATACAACATTTGATAGCAACGAGAATGCCAAAACTATCTTTCGGCAGTCTAGCACATGGGTCGAAGAGACATTGAAGTTCCTGCAATACGCTACTGGAAAGCCTGAGGTCTGGCTCATAACGCCGTGTGGCTTTTGGTTCAGCTTCCACCAGTTCTTGCGTGCGCGCAAACGCGCTTGATTCGTCGACTCGCTGTCTCTCACTTGCAATAATGTAGTCGATTTGGAACTCGATCGCGCGAGGGCTGGTTTCCTGATACTTGACTAATCCTCGTCGAGCCAAAAGACGACCGCCGGTTGCTTGGCGGATTTTTTGCGCAGCAGTTTTTTATGACGTAGGTACCCCAACACATGGTAAGTAAGTAGCCCCGCAGCGGGGTAATATAAGCAACGGAGCAACAAAGAAGAAACCAACGGCGCCACCACGACCGTGAGCTACTAGTGCTTTTCGACCCGGGTATAGGTCCTTTTCCAAATGCTAATAAATGCGGACCCCCTGGCGCGTGCGCGCGCGCGTGTGTGTGGGGGGGTGGTAACGCATGACTACATATTCGTCCGTACGATACAGCTGATCATCCGCAAGGGAAGCAAGAAAATCTAGTTCATCAAATAACTCATCCCGTAATATCCATCACAGCGGGGGTTTTCCCTCCCCAATCGATTTGATAAAATAGAAAAGGAACCTCGTAAGATTTCCACCCAACAACACACCCACCTATCTATTCTCTCTTCTAACTACAAAACAACAAAGTTCCAACCCCCCCATATCTAAAAGATCCCCCCACCCAAAAAGAAATAGAAAAGTCAAGAAGAAGAAGAAGAAGAAGAAGAAGGAGAGGAGAGGGGAAAAAAAAACAAGTCGGCCCAATCCTTCCGCGCCCTCACCGGCATCCCGCCCACGACGACCGGTGCTACCCCTCGCGACTCCGTCCCCGTCATCATCGACGCACGCCCAAAACAAACAACGCCTCGGGGGCGCGCTCGCGGTCCGCGGCCTCGCGCGCTTACCGATCAGCCGGCAACGAGGGCCACATCGCGCACGTCACGCACGACCGTCGTACCCGATCGACGGCGCTGGCCGACCGACGAGGGAGGCGGATCAGAGGGGGTTTGGAGGCTGTGGTAGTGGCGGACGCGGTGGGGAGATCGGGATATCCCTTGGGAGGTGGGAGCGGGGAGGAGGTAGGTTATGAAGGCGAGTGACGAGATTTGAGGAGGGTGGTGGTGGTGGTTGTGGGGGATCCTTTTTTTTTTCCTTTTTTTTATTGGCACTTTGGCTTTCGTCTGCTTCTTCTTCTTCTTCTTCTTCTTCTTGGAATTTGTTCTTTGGATGTTGCTACTGTTGTTTCTTTTGGCGCTTTTGTGTGTTTTTTTTTTGTTTGCGTCGTATATGGTCGTTCTCGAGTCGTGCGTTTCTCTTCTTCTTCTCTTTTTTTTTTCACTCGTTCTTTCCTACATGCTGCCTGTTTGGCAGGTGCTGCGGTACTTGATGGTTGATGAAAACCGATTGCTTCGCGGATGAGCCAAAGCTAACGTGTCATGCGCTGTAGTGGGTCCTCGCTGAGCTGGGAGATGCTTTCGGCACGATTGTGAACAGTGCGGATATCAAATGAAGGAACGAGTCGAGCTGAGGGGCCGCGATGGCTGTTTGACAGACCCGCGAGATAGCTGGGGCTAACTGGAGGTTAGCTGTGTATCTTCACTCGGCCAGTAACATACCGTGAAGCCAAATTTGTCTCTGATATATATGCCCGCGAGATATTACAGATCACTGGTCTCGCGTCTTTCCTCGCTTTTTTTTCAAGGGGTATATTCCCTCAAACCAGGTTGATGACTTGATATTTGTCATCGAACATGGAGTTCTGGGTGCACTTCCACAAGCCGACGCGCTCGTACTCATCGTTGGTCGAACCCGCCCTCCGCCTCAGCAGCAGGCCGTCATGATGGCCCCAGGAGACGGAGCTCGGGGCGTACTCGTAGAACCTGACGCAGTACAGCACCTCGTACTTGACGGCGGCGAACTCGGCGGGCGAGAGCCTCAGGTCGAACAGCAGCTTCAGCTGGTCGTTGCTCCACCCGAGATCCTCCCACACGCGCAGCTGCGTCGCGACCCAGTCGCGGTCGGGCAGCTCGAGCCCGGCCCGGACGGCCTTGCGGGCGCGGGCGTCGGCGATGATGCAGCCCTGGAAGACGCGGCCGCCGGTCATGGTGCGGTCGCAGTCGCGCATGTCGGCGACGGCCAGGACGGGGCAGAGGGTGCAGCGGAGGGTGATGACGCCCTTGATGGGGACGGTGACGGGGCCGCCGTCCTCGCTGGAGCGGGAGCGCGCGCGCAGGATGCGCAGCTTGCCGTCCAGGCGTGGGAAGCCGCGCTGCTGGGGCGGCGGCGCATCGTGGGCGAGAGATGGTGCTTGCTCGGGCTTCTGGCCGAGCGGCCACGGCACCTCGCTCCGCGGCCACAGGGCGTCCCACGAGACGTAGCCGCCGGAGATGGAGGCCCACGACCAAGACGGCACGGTGCCGGTGGGCAGATGGCGCTTCCCGTACACGACGAACCAGAGCAGACTGGCGGGCAGGATCGAGGGCCACAGGCCGGCGCAGGACAGGCGCGAGATGGCGGGCGACGGCGGGGCTTTTTGGAGGCGAGACCTGGACGAGCATCCGGCGGGGTCGGGCAGGGCGACCAGCCGGTCTGCGGGCGGGCCGTGGGTGAGCTTGGAGTAGGTGGTCACGGTCGAGTGCCAGGGCAGTGCTAGGGCGTCGGGCTCGGCGCGAGAGGACGGCGACAGCAGGGCGGCGAGCGAGTCCGCCTCGGACGGGTGCGACGACGAGGACGACGGCGGGCGGGCGAGGCTGCACGTAGAAGACGTCGTCGACAGGCGGCCCCTCATGGTGGCTTGTCAAGCATTCGCTGGAGAGGCGGCCGGGGGAGAGGTGGGATTGTTGTGGGCTTGACTCAAGAGGAAAGTAGGCCTGGCAACCCCAGGCTGGCCGGGATCCATGGCTTGCGAGGGCGATGAGTTGTAGCCTGATCGCCGGCCACGCCCCACCGCCGACAACAACACGCCCCTTGGCGCAGAGCTGGCACCTCCCGCTTCTCCACATGGGGCCTCGAGAGACGCCCGCCGACTGGTCCACCAGCCCTGCCGCTTCCGAAACACTGCGGCGTACCTGCAGTGTTTCGCAAATCGAGTAACGCTAAGTTGATAAGACGTGCCATTAAGACCCACTCGCGAGAATCAAAGAGCCTCAAAGTGTCCAGCATGCTAATTGTTCCTTCCCGTCTGCCCTTTTTCTGCCCGGCTTATTATCCGCCCCTACTCCTCTTTCTCCAACACCTCCAACTTGATCCCAAATGCCTTCTCAGCCTTGTCGCTGTGGATCCTCACCTGACTATGCGTGCCCACATGCCCATGTGCGACCTTGACTTCAGCGTCGCATTGTCTGATGACTGGTACACAATTCTTCCTATTCCAAATCATGGATAATTTCGGGGGGGGTTTTGAGAGGTAGATTGGTATATCATTTATTATCTTCTCTACCGCACCGTAGCCCAAGGTCTAGTCAAAACAAGCGGACCAGTTTCCTCCAGACCGGGCAAAGTCCAAAGTGTCGATGAAAGCATCCAGCTTGCACTTGCCGTCGGAATCGGCGCAGCTGAGCGGGATGACCCGGTCATTCACAAGGAGTCTGACATACTCGTCCGTCTCACCGCTGCACGCAAGCTTCTCAATGTACAGCCTCGCAGCAAACGGCACCGTCCATGAAGTGCTCCAGCCTCCACTCTCCTCGGCCGTCTGCACCTGCGTGTTGTTGAGAGGCTGCGTGTCGTTGTACAGGCCAAGGGCGAAGAATATGGCCGTCATGTCGTTGTCGTGGGAGAAGTCGGCAAACAGGACGTTGCCCTTGCCGATGGGGAAGGTCTCGGGATCCGAGTCCAGGGTGCTGTTCGTAGACGTGTGGTCTTGGACGGGGGTGTTGGTCAGACGTGCAATGAGCTCGTTGACGTATCCCACGCCCTGGGTAGGGCCGAGGGGATCACCAGCGCCGTAGTGGTAGTACTTGCCCAGAGACTGGTAGTAGTCGTACTGCTTCCACTCGTCCTCGAAGAAAAGGTCACAGAATTCAGAAAGCTTGCCCTCGGGGTCAGCAACAGTGTAGAATGGGCACAGGTCCATCAGGTACGTGACCTCGGCCTGGGAGAGGTTGACGCCGGGCAGCTGATCGTTGATGCGGCTGGTGATGGGCGGCAGCCAGATGTCGTTGAACGGAGCCTGGCCACGAGCGTCGATGACGTCGTCATCCTCATTCTCGAAGTTGGTGCATATGGCGTGGCTCATGGTGTTATTCATGGTTTCTTCTTCGCTGATGATGAGGATGTCGTAAGGGTAGTCTCCAGTGAGGTTCGACTTGTCGTCTACCATGGCGTCGTGGAAACCCTCGGTGAAGTGTTGGCCGCTTGCAATAACACGCGACTCGCCGGAAGCGCGGACGAACATGTGGTTGGAGCGGGCGAGGTCGGCGTATCTCTTGTAGAACTTGATACCAGAGTGGTACAGCTCTTGCTCGCCAAAAGTGGTGAGCTCGTCGGCGCCGAGCGTATACTCGACGTTCTGCAAGAAGGCGGCATTACCCTCGAAAGAGGTCGAGTTCTCCTGGATCTTCTGGATGGTGGCGTTGTACGCCTCCGTCTTGCTGGCGGTGGGGTCGCGTGCGCCGTGACGAGACAGGACTTGAGCAAAGGTGACCTTGCACTGGTCCGGAATGTCGGCCGAGATGTCAGATGGGACCTCGAAGTAAGGCGAGTACTGGCCCCAGAAGTGGGAAATCTCAGGGGAGCACTGGTAGCCGTGGAGAACGGTGTCGCACGAGGTGGAGTTGGCGGCAGTGGTCGCATTCGAGGCCGCATTGGCCCACGTGGCCGCGCTGCATGGCGGGGTGAGCGCGTGGGTTTCTTTTGAGCTGTTTGTCTAGATGCCTACCCAAGGACGAGGAGAAGCGCAGCGAGCATGGTGAGAGTGCGAGGCCCGAAGGTCGATGCAGGCGAGTTTTGTTTCGACGACGGCGAAAGACATTTTATAATGCGACGAGCCCGAGAACTTGGGTCCTGAAACACGCGACGGACACCGGTCGCACTGCCCACGAGGGGCAGGTATTGATCTGGGAGGCTCGGTTCAGGCACAATGCAAACACCTGGGCGCCGGCACCGGCGCAGCACGTGCAGGGCGGATCAAAGTGATTGGGCCAGGCGAGCATCCAACACCTGATGGAGAGCTTGCGCCGTCGCCGTGCGCCCGAACGGGAACTTACCTTGAGGGTCATCGGGGCGTGGCTCGTCCCAGCTGCTGCGACGCGAGTCCAGCAATTCGACTTCTTCCTCATGCATGACCACAGCCTGTTTCAGGGGCTCCGGCTTAGCAGAAAACATTATAATAGCAGACGCGCCAGCCGCACAGCCGAGGGAGGAAAACTTGCCGCTGCGGGTCACGGTGGGCAGCGGTGTCGCAGGCGTGAGCACCCTCTCGTCGGCCGGCGCTGGGCGAAGCGGGAGTTGAGGTGAAGTCTGAGGGCGTCCATGCGCTAAGGGCGAGTAGTGCAGCGTAGTGCAGCGCGTGCAGCGTAGGGCAGCGCAGGGCGGCGCAGGGCAGAGCAGGGCAGAGTCCGTGGCTAGGTAGCGCTAGCACATGCAGTGGCAGCACCTCGGGCGGAGACATGGCCGGGCCGTGGCGTCATGTGACGTGCGCCGTGGCTGCTGTGCTTGGACGAAAAGCTTGAGTGCGCCGTCTCGCCTTGTCTGCGCCCTGCGCTTGTCAGCCCGTTACGTGACCGCAGCCTACGCGTCGCCCCGGCTGGCGACCAGAGGCGAAAAGGCCCGCTCCGCCAAGCTGATAACCCCGATGCAGCCCTACCGCTGGCTGCCAGGGCCCATCCCACGGTCGATAGCCTGCGTCGGCCCTCTGCGGCTGGCCGGCTGCTTACCTGACAAGACGGCTAGCCCGGCGATCATGACGGCAGCTAGCACCCAGCACGCTACCGGTATTTGGCCGACCGCGCCGCCGCTGACCGCAGCCGACCGTCTGAGACGCTCGACGCGCGCTGCGTGAAGTCGGCACCCGCTGCCCCAGAAAAGCCCATCCCCAGACGGCAGCGACGCATCCCGAGCCATCTCTCCGCAATCCACCGCAATCCACCGCAATCCACCGCAGGCCTCGCTCTCGCCTCGACCGCTCCCTCAGCCGCGCGTTGCTGGATGCGGTAACTCTGCGGAGCCGGCTGCCGCGTGATTGGCTCCGCGACCAAGGGGTTTGGTAACAGCTTTCTAATTTGATCACTAAGGCCCAGATACAAATCCGCTAGCTCCAGGCACAAACAGCGCCCATACCGCCGAACGCGGGGGCCTATCAACGCCGGCTACTCGTACGCCGCCTCTGCCCTAACAGGTATTTACTTGCCACCTCGCTGCCCGCTACACGCCTTCTTCATCCGCCCTCCTCCTCCTCCTCCGGCCCCTCCGTCTCCGCCCAGTCGACAGCATGGCGCGTTCCGCAGAACTCACCGCCGACGAGCTCCAGCTCGAGTCCCTTGGCCACAAGGGCGAGCTGAAGCGTCAGTTCTCCTTCCTGTCCATGCTGGGCCTTGCCTTCGCAATCCTCAATTCCTGGACCGCTCTCTCCACCTCGCTCTCCCTTGCCCTGCCGTCCGGCGGGCCTACTAGCGTTGTCTGGGGTTTGATTACTGCCGGCATCTGCAACCTCTGCCTGGCCGCCTCGCTTGCAGAATTTCTCTCCGCCTACCCCACCGCCGGCGGCCAGTACCACTGGGTTGCCGTCATCAGCTGGAAGGCTTGGGTGCCTGCTCTGAGCTGGACCACGGGATGGATCAACACCTTCGGCTGGATCGCCCTCGTCTGCACCGGCGGCCTGCTGGGTAGCCAGCTTGTCGTCGGCGTCATCTCCCTGGAGAACCCCAACTACGAGCCGCAGGCCTGGCACCAGTTCCTCATCTACATCGGCTACAACGTCCTGGCCTTCTGCATCAACGCCTTTGCCAACTCGTCCCTGCCGTACGTCAACAAGGCCGCCATTACCTGGTCCATTGCCGGCTTCGCCATCATTTGCATCACCATCCTGGCATGCGCCTCCCCCAACTACTCCACTGGGGACTTTGTTTTCCGCAAGTTCATCAACGAGACGGGTTGGCCCGATGGTATTGCCTGGCTTCTTGGTCTCCTGCAGGGCGGTCTCGGTCTCACTGGCTTCGACGCCGTTGCCCACATGATCGAGGAAATCCCCAACGCCGCAGTCGAGGGCCCCAAGATCATGGTGTACTGCGTCCTCATCGGCACGTTCACCGGCTTCATCTTCCTCGTCAGCCTTCTGTTCGTCGCTGGCAACATCGACGATGTCATCTCTTCCTCGGCCGGTCCGCTGCTGCAGATTCTCTTCAACGCCACCAACTCCCACGCTGGCGCCATCTGCCTGCTCATCTTCCCTCTCGTCTGCATGCTCTTCGCCACCACCTCCATCATGACCACTTCGTCGCGCATGGTCTATGCCTTCGCACGTGACGGCGGTCTTCCCTTCTCGAGGCATCTGTCCAAGGTCCATCACGGCCTTGATATCCCGCTCAACGCCCTGCTCTTCACCACTTCCTGGGTCATCATTTTCGGGTGCATCTTCCTTGGTTCCGACAGTGCCTTCAACGCCATCACTGCCGCCTCCGTTGTCTCTCTTGGTATCTCGTATGGACTTCCCATCGCCATCAACTGCATGCGCGGCCGCAAGATGCTGCCACCGCGGAGCTGGACCCTGTCTGAACCGGTTGCGTGGGTTGCCAACTTGGTAAGCGTCCCCTCTACCTCACTTCTTGCACCGAAACTCAACTAATACTGTTTTCTCCGTTAGATTGGCGTCGCATATGTCATCGTTACCACCGTTTTGTTCGTCTTCCCGCCCGAGCTCCCCGTCTCAGGCTCCAACATGAACTACTGCATTGTCGTCTTTGCCATTGTCATTCTCATCAGCAGCATAACGTGGATTTTCGATGGCAGGAAGAACTACCGTGGCCCCAAGATCGACGAGGGCTTGGAGGTGATAGAAGCGACCAAGGTTGGTCCTAACGGCAGCGTGGAAGGCGACAACAAGGCGCATATGGATGATCCGGACTCGAAATATCCGGTGGAGGCTTGATCTTTGAGATGTTTGTTTCGCCTTTTTTTTATATATAGCATGGGTCTGGCACTGGGTTGGAGTATTGCAATTTGTACATACTCTTGTGCTGTTTCGATATGATTACGATTGTGCACAAAGAATAGAATTACGTTCGATATGATGGACAAGGAGTGCCGAGTTGTGCAACAGAGATATCGTATTCACTGACATGTCTCGCTAAACCCTACCAGAAAGGGAAGGAGGGAAAAATTCTCACTTGAAGTGGTTCGATCCGTCTCATCTTATATACTCGTCCATGTTTAACGTCACTATACGCGCCTGTGCTGCAGGTCACTATACACGCCTATATGCTACTCATCGTTATAGACACTATCCACTCGGTCTCGTCTCACTTTCCCTGATCAGACTAAGCGTTATCACATAGTGCAATCGGGGTTTTTGAAGTGTAAAATGATCAATAACTTCATTAGTGCAATGTCACAATGCGCAACAAACTCCTATGAGCCCAGTAAAAACAACTGAGTACCGGAGAAGAAAGAAGAACAGTAACCGTCCGGACGCCCCGAAAAAAAAAAGACATCTGGAGCTCCACTCACTTCCTTCTCTAACGACAATAACAACAACAACAACCTCAACCCCATCCATCCCCCTCCCCACCGGGTTAAACCACCATCACTCATCACCACCACCACCACCCTCCACCACAACCGACGCCGCCGACGCCGCCGCCGACGAGCCCTCCCCCTCCCCCACCACCCTCGCCCCACCCCTCCCCAACACCCACCCCGCCATCTCCCGATCCTCCCTCAACAACACCACCTCCAACCGCCCCAGCTCATCCTCCTCCAACACCTTCCCCCTGACCTCCCCCCCACCCCCCCTATTGACCCACCGCCACCTGCTCCCCTCCTTCCCCTCCTTCCCCCCCTCTTCCACCTTCTCAAGCACCCACCCGCCCGCACCGCCCGCACCGCCCGGCCCCATCAACGCATCCGCGCCATACGTCCCCACTTGCACCCGCGCCCGCACGCTCGCGTGCACCCGCTCGTGCGTGTTGCGCAGCAGCGCCGGCAGCGGCCGCCCTGTTTCGTACGATGTGCGGTGCGTGGCGAGGGGGTGGCGGGGCGCGAGGCCGCCGAGGGCGGTGACGTTGAAGGAGAGGGAGGAGAGGAAGGATGAGAAGGAGGAGAAAGAAAAGGAGGAGGAGGAGGAAGAGTGGAGGCGGGTGAGGGCCCAGTGGGGTTCGGAGGGGTCGAGGGGGGGGGTGGTGGAATAGGGGGGGGGGGAAGAGGGGGAGGGGGAGGAGGGGGTTTTGTGGTGGTGTTTGGGTGTGGTGGAGGTGGATTGGGGGAGGGGGAGGAGGGGGAGGAGGGAGAGCGGGGAGCGGAGGAGGCGGAGGAGGGTGGCGGAGGCGGTGGCGAGGAAGGTGGGGTTGCGGTGGGAAGATGCTGCTGCTGCTGCGCGGTCGGCGTACTCCAATCGGTTCAGCCGCCACTGGTCTGCGAGATAGGTCTCGTCGAACTCGAGCCCGGCGGTTTCGAGCTGGCTCATCATCCAGGCGAGCGACACGTCTGCGAGCCCGCTGTCGGCTTCGCTGCCGCCGACGTCGGTGTGTACGCCGGGGAACCAGACTTGCTTGAGCACGGTGCGGGAGGAGCCGGGCCTGGTGGATTCGTCGTTGTCGTCGTCCGAGTCCGAGTCCGGTTGCTCCCAGATGGTTGGTGTGAAGGCGGAGCGGCGCTCGTCGAGGGCGAGCGCCTGGAAGGCGTAGCGTACGTTTTTGCCGATGGTTGTGTCGGTGAAGCGGTAGGGGTTGGGTGTCATGAGTGGGTCGGCTAGGAAGGCGGGAAGGCCGATGCGTTGGAGGAGCGCGATGGTGGGGATACCCAGGGCGCCTAGTGCTACGTGATTAGCGTGATGAAGGCTGGCAGATGACGAACGAAACTCAAACGGGAGCTCGGAAGCGAAGTGGATGGCGGAAGGGAGAAGGAAAGGGAAGTCATCACTGAAAGCGTCGAGAGAAAGTGATCTTACCGACGGTATCCCAAACCCCGATTGCTTGGATGGGGATTTCTCGCGTCTTGTGCAGCCGCTTCAGTTCCTTGAAGTATTGTGCAAGATACTCCTTTCTCCTTTCGACCAACGACTTCCCCGCCGAGGATATCTCGATGTGGAACTCCGGGACCTCCTCCGTGATGGACGTCCCATAGCCGTCCTCGCCCGCGCGCTCAAAGTCCTTGAACACGCGGTAGAAGTGACGCATGGCGGTCTTGGTCAGCAGGCCGACTGCGTCGATGAGAGCGACGATGCAGCGGGCGGTGAAGGCGCCGCGCGAGAAGCCCGTCAGGTAGACGGCGTCGCCGTCCTGATAGTTGTTCGCCAGGAAGCCGTACGCCTCCCGCACGTTCTCCGACAGACCGCTGCCCGTGCTGCCGCCCACGAGCTTCTCGACCAAGCTCGGCCCCGTGCCGACGCCGGCCTGGTAGTAGACAATCTGCGGCCGCTGCTGCGAGTCCGAGCACGGCAGCGCCCGGCCGATGCGCGTCACATTGGACGGGTCCTGCACTTCCAACTTGGGGTGGAAAAGAGTGCCGTTGTCTTCTAGCTTGCTGTTATCGCTGTCCTTGATGGGTGTGAGCTACTGGTGGATGAGAGATTTGGGGTTTGCCACATACGATCCATGTTCCTGTTTCCTGTTAGTTTAAGCATCGAGAGCGGAGAGCGATGAGAGGCCGAGGGAGATCCTAGCCTTATTCTTCCCGTGGATACATGGATCTGGACGACATCCAAAGCAGGCAAGACAAAGGAGAGAAGTGACTTGGAAGCCGTACTCACCATCACAACAAACAATCAGTTTCTTCGGTCTGTTCAAGTTAGACACGTCTCCATACATCTTGACGGTATACAGAGTGGTCGAGTGTATCGTGCCTTTCCACCCGTTGCAGGTGTTTGGGTTCGAGGCTTAAGTATGTCGGCGGGCTGGGTGCAGTTGCACAGAGAACAGGTGCTTCGTCGAGTCGGTCGGGTAACAAAGAAGTAGCAACCCAAGAATTACACCAACCAACGCTCGAGGGGAAGCAAGCGTGAAGGCAAACATCCAACCCTTATATCCCTTCGGCCAACCAGCATCCTCCGTGACCACTCCGCCACGCTTCCGCAGCTAAGCCATCCTTTGCTCAGGCGAGCTGAGGTGAACACAATGCTCGTCTTGGCAAGCGATTGTGGCAGGGGGGTCGGCGGCGGCGGCGGTGCCATAATAGGGCTAGCACACGCATAGTAAACCTCTGTCATCACATCCCCACTCTCTATAAAGAGGTCTCGGCCACTGGCGGGAATGCTGCACGTCGTACACAGTGGCGCATGGGAAGTAGGTGGACCGCTTTTATTGGCAGAGCTAAGCAGTAAAGAGAAAGAGCAGGCAGCGGATGAGCTCAGCCCTAAACAAGGCTGTGCATGCTTCTTGTCTCCTCGCATTATTGCAAAGCCGACAATCCTCACAGACAGGGGGGCTCCAGCAACCGCCTTAAAAAGGGCGTAAACACCGACAGAACAGCGGATGGCTAGGTAGGGCGGTAGGGCGGTAGAGCGCGGGGTGGTGAGACATGCACCCATTGTTGCTATGCGACCCAAAAGTCAGTTTGTCTTCCTCATAAGTTTGCAGGACAGGCCGAATGATATGTCTGTGCGATTGTTCGATTGTTAGTGATGTCACGCAAGGCTGACGAATGAGACGGTAACAATCGTGAAGAAGTTAGAGGGTAGCTGGAAAGAGTGAGAGATCTTGAGGGGAGCTGCATGGTTGGTGAGAGGAGAGAGTGTCAAGCGGGGGCTGAGATGAGCGGCTGCGGCTGAGAGGGCCAAATTCTTGGGGTCTTGTGACGGCGGTGCTGATTGGTTAGGCATCCGTAAGGCAGACGGAAGGATGGCTGCAATGCGTCTGCCTTCGCGCCATGGGGCTGAAGAAAGACAAAAGCCACTGTGATACGAATAGGCAGCCAATAATTCCGCATTTGCATACTCACACGTGAAGGCCTGGACACAGGACGTCAGAACTCAGCACAGTCGTGCAATGCTTTTCTTCGAACTACACATGCCATGCCTTAATATGCATGCTCTGAAATCGTCGTTACTTTTCGCCGTTTTTCTGAATAGTTAATCACAGTAAAGAGCCCCTGTCCATGAGCACCACCGACCCTGAAGAAACTACTGCTCCAAATAACTCACTCTATCACGAAACACCGCCTAGTATGCGAAGCGCGTCCTCTGATCGCCAATCTTCCTCTCAACTTCGCGCACGCTGCGGTCCAGCTCACCCGCAATCTGCTCCTTCTTGTCTCTCGGTAGCCGCAAAAACCTCTCGCACAGGTCACCGTCGATTACACCCTTGACCGGAACGTAGTAGCTGCGGAAAGCCAGGTGGTCCCTGCCAGCGATCGGCGGGTCTTCGGTGCGCAGTTGCTGCTCCAGGCTCTGGAAAAAGTCCACATCTTCACGGCTGACGAACGGAATGAAGATCCCAATCGTGCCCTGAAGGCCGCTCCATAGGAGAAGCTCGCGACCGCCCGCAACCAGAGACGTCTTCTGAATCGACGTGGGGATGTCCTGCGTGTAGAAGTGCGCAAGAAGGTCAAGACGGTTTGGCGTACCCTGAAGGTATGGCCGCTCATTGATAAGATGCAGCCCAGAACCCTCTTCGTCCGCTTCTTCAGACGTCTTGAGCGGGCAGCGGATAAGCCAGATGTTGCCAAACTTGTCACCACCCGCCGTTGTTTCGTAGTCGACCATGGTTGTGCACGTCGTCCATCGATGAATGTTGTCGTCGCAGAAGGGAATCAGCCGATTCTCGACGTGCTTGTACACAACGTACGTGACCGACTCCTGTACGTCCGAGCAGATGATGCGGCTGCCTTGCGTCTGAAGTCCAGTCAAGATGTTCGGGACGACGTTGAGAGACTGGGCCTTTCGCAGCAGCTGGCGAAGACCGAGATCGTACAGCCGAAGGTCGGCGTGAACCGCCACCAATAGCTTTCCCTGGAACGCCAGAAGAGCCATAGGAGGCGCTTCCATCTTAGTTTTGTGAATGAATTCGAGCTCCCGACCGTTCTCCAGTAGACGGTAAATATGGACATAACCGCAAGTGTACGACCTGGGTGCCACGACCAAATCCTTGGCAGTGCCAACCACAAGGAACGTCTCATCGCTCTGAGATTGGAATGGAGCAAGGCAGACACTGACTGCAGACTCGTTCTCCTCCAGCTCAAGCGTGTAGATCACCTCTTTTCGCTCGATAGGGTCTACCACCTGGATTGCCGAAGCCCAGTGGCCAGTGCCTTGGGGATAACCGAATTCCTCCGCAGAAAGCTCCTTCGCGTCACCGTTGACTGTCGCCGGATCATTGAGAAGCTGGTTGCGAGTGCTCGTTGCCAAGGTATTGTTGTCAGATTCAATTACGTAGAAAAGCGGTTCCGTAGGGTGGCGGACAAGGTTTCGCGGCGTGTACATCAAAGGAACGTTCTCAAAGAGAAGGTTGGTAGAGAGATTCTCGATGGTGAAGATCCTGGTCATTCTTGTCAGTTTTTCGAGAGCAGACAGTAGCAGTTACCGAATAAGGCAACGTAGCTTCCCGGGAAAGTATGTCACTTGGAAAAATTATAGCATAGGAGCGGCCAGGTATGCACTTACCGAAGGTGTTGTCCCTGGATACCAACCATACCCTGAGGGCACTGGTCGCTATTGAAGCTCCAGCTCCACTCCAGTGGAGCATACGCCAGAGGGGTAAGAGTGAAAGCCTTGGTTTGCTGATCAGAGTATCCGAGCCAGGAACGAGAGCTGGTTGCTAGGATGGCGCTCTGATCTTGGACCGTCACTCTGAACAGTTTGACCGGCTTGGCACCCAAGAAACGAGTGCGAGTGTCAGTCAGCTCGCCAGTGATTTCATCAATGACAGTGCGCAGGTAGACCCCGGAGTACAGTCCAATGTGCAAGTAAAGGGTAGAGCCACCCGAAGATGAATCAGCCATTGCCATGATGCTCAACGCCGAAGGTGCGGAAGTCAGCGCCTGGACCGACTTGTTCTCAAGTGTAGACTCCGGATCCAAACTGAGGATACGGACGGTGGAATCATCACATCCTACGGCAAGGAATGAGCTGCGAACCTTACCGGGGGGCACCTCAGCTAAACTAAGGCACGTAACGGTGCCGCTCATTTCCTTCTTCTCATCGTATTCGGCCAGAGATCCGTCCGTGTCCATCTCAAAGTAGACGATTTCACCGGAGCTGAGCGCAACAGCCACCTGACGCTCGTTTGTTGTGGCAGCAACAATGGTCCTGTGCTGTGGTGCAGGCCATTCATTGATACGGCCCTCTGCCTGAATATGACGAATACCCCTCGGATGGACTTGAATTAGAGCATCCTCGCCAAGCTGCTGAATGGCAAGGGTACGGGTTGATGACAAAAACCCAGTATCCGTGACTTCTTCCACAGTCTCACCGATGCTGAGGACAAGGGTACCATTGGAGAAGGAGAGGATGATGTAGGAATCATACTCGTCGTCCCTCCGGATTTTAGTCGTCCAAACAGCCTCAGGCACGCTGGGAAGCTCCGACTCAACGATCTCAGAAACCTCCAACCCGTGCTTGAGAGTCTTGAAAGAGCTACGCGCTCCAGTCCCAGAAACCGTGTAGATCTGGGGCGCGTCATCGTCTGTGAGATTTGCGACCTTGCATGCGAGAGTCGGATTCATGCTTGGAACACTGTGAGCCAGCAGGATGTTCTCAGCAGGTCGCGGATGGAAGAAAACGGGCTCATAGGGTGCGTCCGGCTCCGGGCTGAAGTTGTCGCTGAGAAATTCAATCTCGTCGTCGTCGTCACCCAGCTTCTCGAATTGGAAGAACAGATGATTGCCAGACTCTACTGTGATGTACAGGTAACCGCTCTTCAAGATGCAGAGACTAGTGGCTCTGGGGACAGTATCAAAGTACTTGATGCGGATCCTGCTCACATCGCCCGTAGGCTGGCCCTGTTCATCTTCGATCATGTCGATGGTAAGCTTGAACAGATCACCGTCTTCGGTCTGAAGCAGGAAGAAGAAAGCACCGCGCATCTTGTGCATAACGCCCGCGGTGATGAAGCGCTTCCTCTGCGGATTCTCCGTTGCTCCCTTGCGGCGTGGGATGGGAACGCGGAAGGCGTCCTGGTTGATGTGACGGTAGGTGATGGTCTCCTCACCGCAGACAAGGACACCGCTGGGACCATCTGTGCCTCCCGGGACCTGGAAAAGCATGTTCGCTGTTCTGTCCACGGTGTCGGACCACTTGCGCACGACGTGATTCAGGCCAAGGTCCAGCTCATAGTAGACCAACTCCTTCTGCTTGCTTGCGGCGACCTCGCCGGTAGGGTCTTGGTCCACATCGTCGTAGTCAATCTCCAGCGCGGCGAAGATGGGGTTCTCGTACCCCACATCCAGACCGATCAGCGAAAAGACGAAAGTCTGCGGTCTGTGGGCCTCAAGCGGCGACGAGATGGTCAGACTGGCGTTGGAGTCGCGGTTGAGGACGTAGACGAGCTTGTTCTTCTCGACGGATGCGATCATACACGCGCGGCCCTTGGGATCGGTGGCGAGGTACTGGCCTGGGACCACGCGGCGGACGCCCGACTTTCCAAAGGTCTCGAGCTTCAGTTGAACGAAGATGTTCTTCTGCGGGTTGTACTCGAGGACGGCGATGCGGCCAGAGTCGGAGGCGACGATTATGTAGTCTGTGTTCCAAGCGACAATATTTAGCACTGTTCTTCAACCAAAGACTGCCGTCTCTCTCTCGTCTCCCGCGGGACGTCGCATTCAAGCAGGCTGAGGGAGCGCGATGCGAAGTTGCTGGTCGCGGACTTGAAGAATCACTATAAAGCCCTGAATAAAGAGTGCTAGCTAGAACATACCTTTGGACGAACCGGCCAGCCTGAAGGCAGCCAGGGCGCGGATGATGCCGAAGACATCGTGAGTGAGGATGGTGGTAATCCTCTGGGCCTGCGCGTCAGCGCGTTGCAGGATCAAGCGCGAGCCACAGGCGGAGATGATCTGCTGCTCCTTGGTGCCAGCGAATTGACCGAGAATAGCCTGGTGCACAGCGGTGGGCGGCTGGATGGTCAAGGAGTACATGAACAGGTTGGACGTGGTCGCCATGGCGGAAGATGCTGTCGGCCTGGCGGCCTCGAGCAGATCGCAGGGTCAGGTTCGCAGGGGGCGATCGAAGCGCAAGGGAAGCTCGAGGCGGAGGCGACGCGGCGGCGAGGGCGGTGGCGAGAGGTGGACGGCGCGGGGCGTGGTGTTGGCTGGGTCGGCGACGCGTTGCGGCGGAGCTTCAATTGAGCTTCGACAAGTCGAAATTCCGGCGCCCGCTGTGATTGGCCCGCCGCCCGCCCACCAGGAATACATCACCTCATGCGCCGCTACCCTTCGCATCTCCAGCGTCGCCGACCACGCTGCTCCCACGCCCGCCATGCGCTCCCGCTACACGTGCCAGCAATGCCTGGCCTCCATCCAGCGCCGTCTCCGTCCCCACCGGCCCTCGTCTGTCCCGCAATTGCACGCTGGCGCCCGGCGATGGCAGAGCACCCAGCCCGCTGCCCGCGCATCAGCAGTAGCACAGCCTACCCCTTCCGCAAGGCGCGAGCTGGGCACTCAGAGCCAGGCCGCCAACAATGAAGCCCACCGCATGCCGCCTACACCCCCGGGCCTCGAGAACGCCCCCACCACCGCCAGCCAAGCTCGCAGCGTGCTGCTGAAGCGGAAGAACCTCTTCCATTCCTTCTCCAATTCGCCCTCGCCCGAGATCCGCCGTCGCGCCGCCTTCATCAAGCAGCATGCCTACTGCCCGCACCATAGCCATCGCCAGACCCGCGTAGTCAACGATCCCGAAGACCCTGAGGCGCAAAAGGCTGTCCACGGCACCCTCCCGCCGGCGCATGTGCGATATGAATGCCCGGACTGTGGCATTCCTGTGAGCTGCAGTGAGGAACACTTCGCAGACGACTACGAACGGCACCTAGAGATTTGTGACACCCTGCGGGAGATCAACGAGGATGACCATGATCTGAGGTCTGGCCGCTTCTTCCCGGAGTTTGAGTACCCGGGAATGCAGATGGAGGAGGCACTGATCAACTTCACCAATTGGGACACATATCTCTATTCGAGAGAGCACCAGGCCATCAACGACGACCGTAGTCTACGTCAAGCCACAAGACTCTTGACCTACCCTGTCACAATTGGCAGCGTCCTGCATGAGCTCTCGCCCTACAACGCCAAGAGCGGCGGTAGATTGACCGTTGAGGGGCTCAAGTCCTTGTCTGGTATATTTCTCTCCTTCTGGAGCTTTATTCGAGTTAACAGAGACCTCACTAACTGTATGCAGCACTTCGCTACACTCTTCACCCTCCACGCTCAGGCGCCGGTGGTGACATCAAGGGCCTTCGCCCCAACCCCCCTCCGATGCGCGTCTTCATCGTTGGCGCGCGGGCTGAATCCTCTCTCCCGCGTGAAGTCTGGATCCAATTGTCGCACATGTTCCCGCGTGTCTCGTTCCATCTGAACTTCATCGGACCCGAATCCATGGCCAACCGCGACGACGAGTTCCCTCTGCCGGAGCGCACGCCTTCCAACCCGTTCGGCGCCGTCGTCGAGGACCGCATCTCGCACGAGCTCAAGATCAGCACCTTCGTGGAGTACTACCACACCCTCCACCGCGCCGGCCACTTTTACCCTTACGACCCGTACTTCGACTGCTTCATGCTCTTCCACCCCGGTCTGGGCCACCCCGCCAGCTCTGCGGAATGGGAAGAGACATTACCGCTGCTGCTCGAGACCAAAGTGCCCATTCTTGTCTCCGGCTACACCGAATTCGACATGCAGCGCGACTTGAAGTGGGTTCAGGACAAGATGGGCGGCGAGGTCGACATCCTGCTCCAGCCTGGCGAGAACAGATTCAGGAGCTTGAGATGGGATCTCAACGACCTCGATCCGCAGGACATCAGCTGTGGCAACTGGGGTCTTTGGGCGTTCAGGGGCAAGCGCTACGAGACGACGACCAAGGACGAGGCATAGACCGAGTAGTCTGTTGTATTCCAGTGAACTCAGTGTCGTGGCTGATTGTGTAGAGTGAAGCCGCAGAGGGTCGGCTCGCTACTGAGATGAAATTCTCAGATATATATGTGTCGTCTGGAGCGAATGTATAAAAAAAAAATGGTTAACCCTTCTTCACGCAAAGAAAATGTCTGACTCGAAATTTCCCTTGAAAATGCGCCGATAATAACGCGCGCCGTAATTCAGCGAGTGGGTTTACTGATTGCGATATTGGTTCACGTCACATGAAAGTTATTCTAGTTAGCAAAGCTACGCAAGTTTGCATGTAGGCCGGATGATAGTTTTGTAGGCAGTGGCTGTGGTTGATCAGAACAACCGAGTTCAGGCTCTACACTGGTGTGAATTATGTCGCATCTCCATGAGGGAGATTGAGGACTGTTTCGGGATAATCTTGCATTATACATTTCTATGAAGTATTTGCATTACACCTCTCCACTCGATTAAATCCCGTCCCAAGTTTACATCATACTATTGAAGACCCCTCAGCCTCACAGGTCAAACTGCAGAACAGTGATGGAGTGAATTGGTACAGTCCAGATGAAGCTTCCATTGGAAGATTTGGCAGGCAGCGCAGTGCCGTTGGCGCCCAGCGGATAAGGCACGATAGCCGTTTGGTTGTTTACAAAGTTGAAACCGTTGAGGTCGTCGTGCTGCATGATGGTGCCGTTAACCTTGCTGTATGCAGCGTCGATGGTGACACTTAGAGGCATCGTCTGGTTGCCAGCATTGATGACCTTCAGATAGACTGAACCAGTGGTTTCCTCGATGCTGCTCTGCCAGTAAACCGGGTTGAAGTCGCCCTGCGAGTTGGTGACAGGCAGGGTCTCAGTCCCCCGGTAGTGTGCGAACAGCAGCTGCTGCCAGTAGCTGGTGCTGAGCACGGTTTTGGTGGGGTCGGCCTCGAAGCTAATCATGTTGGGGGTCCAGTTGTACCAGTTTCGGTTCTGCAGGCTGGGAGCGTAGCTGCTGAGCTTGACCGTCTTCGGGTTGCGTTCGCCACCCAGCGCGTAAACACCTTCCGCAATCGCAGAGATCATACGCGGGTAGAACACGTGGACATCCGCCGGGTTGGAGAAGTTGACAACACCATCGGGCGTGTCAAGCTGGTAGACGCTGAACTCCCCGAGCAACACACCGACGTCTTCGTTCTCGGTGTCGGTTTGCCAGTTGTCGTAGAAGTCAAAGTTGCTAAGGAAATAGCTTGGTTCCTACAGGAGATAGATTAATCAAGTGTGCGCAGTTGAGAAACATATGGAGACTTACCTCATAGTGGTGAGTGTCCCAATAGGCGCCGGCAGGGATGTCAATGGTGTACTCGGAGTTTTCGTTGTAGGCCGTGGAAATGTAAGTGATGTTGGGGTACGCAGCTTTCAGGCCTTCGTACATGAACGTGAACCTGCGCGGATAGGTGGAGGAGAACCAATCCTCATTGCCAATCTCGACGAACTTGATGTTGAACGGCTCCGGGTGTCCAAATTCAGCGCGCTTGGCACCCCACTTGGTCGAGGTATCACCCATGCAAAACTCAAGCTCGTCAATCGCCTCCTGGAGGACTTCAGGCATTCTGTCCTGTGGCCAGTCCATGCCAGCTTGACCCCAGATATCAAGCGAGAAACCAGCGTAGACAGCGAGCACGGGCTCAATCTCCATATCCTCACACCACTCAAGGTATTCCATAAGGCCGAGTCCATCAGTGTTGAAGTAGTTCCAGTTGCCGGGTCGGCCAGCACGGTCCTTGAGCGGGCCGATTGTCTTCCACCACTTCCAGCGCGTATCCACAGAGACGCCCTCGAGGTTGTTACCACCAGGAAAGCGCAGAAACTGCGGCTTCATATCGTAGAAGGCCTGAGCGATGTCCTTCCGCAGACCATTTGGCCGGTCCTTGAAGGTCTCGGGGAAGAGCGAGAAGAGCCCGAAGTACAGAGTCTGGCCGGCGACGTCAGAAGCATCCATGGTGAGAGCAAAGGTGTTGTTCGAGTTGGGGGCCGTGACAGTGTTGACTATCGAAGCGTTTAGCTGGGTGTAGTCGAAAGTCGAGACGGTCACAGGCCCAATCTGCTCCGAAACGAAGGTCTCTCCCGTAAGGTTAGACCTCAATGAGACGGTGAAGGTTGTCTGGTTGTTGTAGTATCGCGGCTCGTTGGCCAAGACGTAGAAGGAAGCGTTGTATGTCTGAGGGGATACGTCCATTCCCCACCACCCGTAGTTCAGGATACCAACCTCCCCAGTGGCGTTCGCTGGAATGTCGACCTGAAGAACGGTGGGGAGAGCGTCGGAGAGGGGGTGGAGCACGTCCAGTGTCAACCGCACATCTCCAATGGGTGCCCATCCGGTCAGGACCGGCCCGTAGGGGACGACTGGGTTCTCACTGTCGACAATGACATTGCCGATGAGGCCATCTACTGTACGCGGCTCGACATTTGAACCTGATAGGTGTTAGTACGTGGCTCAATGGGTTCTCGCAGTCACCACAAACCTTGAAAGGCCCTGTTGGTGAGCAGCTCAGCATAGATGCCGCCGTCGCCCGAATGGCTGATGTCCTCGTGCATCAAGCCATAGAGGTATGGCGCTGTAGTGTTGCGGAGCGACGTGTCCTTGGTGTTGATCGACAGCGCAACACTGCTGACATTGGTGGCCGTGGCATTGATGAATTGAGGAGCTGAAACCTGGCGTGGTAGCCGCGGAATGCGAGCATGAGTGGATGGCAAGAGAATGGCCAGGCCAAAGAGGCCCACAGAGAACGAGCTCAACATGGCGGCGGGCGGCAATGACAGACGCAGCGAGTGCAGCACAGAGCGACATGGTGAGAGCGGGGCACGATTCTAAATAGCATCTTTCGCGCAGAGCGGAAATTGGTGGCACTCGACACGCGGGGACGAAGCTCGGCAGACGCGCCTCTATCATGCGGACGCGATGCAGGTACCGGCCGTTAAACACGAGAGCCACGCGGTGAGCTGACCGGCGCAGCTAATGGATGACGAGGGGTGGAGGCCGGATAAATGGCTAATCCATGTTAGATGCGGAGAATTCTGGGGCACTGGGGTAAGGGCTCCGCGGTTGGGGTGTGGCCCGTCCTCTCGGCGGCCGTGTTGGTGAACAGTTCGTCTGCGCTAACGACATGCAAGAGGCATCGCTACCGGTCCATAAGCTTCCGGCATCATATAGGAAGTTTTTCCACGAGTCGCGTGTCTGGTTGCGCCAACCGGGCTGGTGGACGGCGCCCCGCATACCGGTGCAAATGCCCAGATGCGCTAAAACGATGTTCGATCCACCGGAGAGGCGACTCGTTGGACCGAGAAACACAGCATCCAAGCGTATGATCGCCGGTGGGAGAACAAATCTAAAGCTGCTGGATTGCAAGGACTCCCGCCCAGCTCCTACACCACGTATTTACCTTTTTACGCCATGACGGAACAGCCGCCCACCCCCCAGCCATGAAATCTCACTCACTGGTTGACTCCGATCCAATGCTTTCCAGTTGCCAGACAATTCTTATTCCTCCTCTTCCTCGCTGTCCTCGAGATCCGTTCTCTCAACAATCAGATTGCCACTTCGGCCGATGCGTTCCATGACGGTACCTCCCTTCTCCAGCCCAAACTCTTCGCGCGGCATGGGCGAGACGAGGACAAACTTGTACTCGTGATCATATGATGAGGGCTTCTCCACTCCGGGCTCTGCCGCGTCGTCTTGCAGAAAGTCGTAGCACTCGACGAAAGCATAGAGGTCTTCGATCGGGGTGTCCGGTGCAAACCTGCGCACGACTCTGTCGCCCGACGGCATTCGCAGACTGATCCTAACGACTTCCTGGACGTCGCTACCAGGCTCCGAAGGGATAGACTGTACCCTCCATTTCCTCCACTGCTCAAGATTGCGGGCCTCTCTTTCCTTTGCCTCTTGCCTCTCGCGTTCTTCCTGCTCGGCGCGTCTTTTGGCCTCCTCTGCTTCCCGCTTCTGCTTTGCTCTCTCTCTATCCTGTGCGAGTGACCTCTCATATGCCGTGTCCTGAGCCTGACGGATATTGCGCGCAGCCTGCTGCTCCGCCCGCGTGGCCCGCACCCGGTTCAACGGTTCTGAATTTTGGGCGATGGCAGTTTGAAGCCTGGACATGAACGTAGATGGTGGGGTTGGACCAACGACACGAGCAACGACGGACATTGCTGTAGATGAGACCGAGGGAGTGTGCACTATGAGGCCTGCAAACGGGAGCTTCGTGCAGTTCAGCGCATTGGATACCTGGTATGCCTCGGCGTCTTGAACATTTCCAGCCCAAACGATAATGTTGTTTTGAGGGTCCTTCAAGAAGTCCACCACCTCGGGTGCCAGCAATGTCTCCCGCACATGCGATGCAGTGTCGTCATGCTCCGGGGACAGCAAGATGACCAGGAAGAACTTGAGGTCCTTTTTGGCCACATCGAACGCCTGCGCGTAGCCGCCTTCGAAGAATGGCAGCTCGTGACTCCCGTATTCTTCCTCAAACTCGCGGATGAACCTGGCGGCCGTGTCTCGAGGGCTGAGCGAACGGCGCCCGCTTGTGTCTCTCCTGCGTCCTTGCGAGGCGGCGCGGCTTGCGAAGAGGCGCGAAAGGAACGGGAACAGGTACGAGAAGAGGTTTAAGAAGCGCGAGCCGATACCGTATACGAATCGGAAAGGGAAGATGATGACGGAGAGCAGCAAGTGCACCTGCTGGACAGTCTGATTCTCTGGTTGCGGCACAATGCGTGGTGCGGGCTCCAGGTTCCGCCTGCCTTCTGACGACGAGCGAGACGAAGAGCCAAAACCGTTGGCGAGTGTTTCTCTGCGGCGCGGGTCCTGAGGCACGGGGATGGACTCCTCTGGAACAACGGGTTCAGCGGGCTCGCCATCAAAGAACCTAGATATTGCGATCTTGCATTAAGTTAACAATGCAACCTTTCGGAGGAGAGGGGGCGTGCATGGGCGCACCTGGACGTTCCATTGGCAACGTTGCAGGAGCGGGATGGCCTGCTCAACGGCTTGGTCGGTCACCGCGGTGAACTGCTGAAGTGCCAGCTGTTGATCCTCGGACAGCTGGCCGATGTCGACACTGGGCGCAGCCATGGCGCGGGCGAGAGTGGGCCGGAACCGCGCGGAGCAGCAGCAGCAGCAACAGCAACGAGGCCGAGGATGCGCAGGCGTGCAGGCGCTTTGGAGGGTGTTGTTGGTTGGGGTTGGGCGAGAGCGGAACGGCCAAGGTGTCTGGTCGAGGGCTGCGGGCGCACTAGCTGATATGACGCATGCCGGAGGCGGTGACCGGGGGTGTTCGAAGCTTCCGATCACAGCGGGTAAGCGGGCGAGAGCGAGCGCGCGGCCGGGGGCGCTGCTCTGGCATCAGCGCACCTTCGCCCACTGCAGCCCGCCGACGCGCCCAAGGCGTTCGACGCTCAACCCTCCTGCCCGCGCCCTGGTCCCCGATGGATGGGCTTTGTTCGTCCCGCCCGCGACATCTCTGCCACAGCCACCCCGGCCCAGCCTCCGCCGCCGAAGGAGGCCGCCGCACCCGCTCGCTCGACTCGTAGCCTCCTCACCCCGCGCGCTGCCCGACCATGCTGCATGAACTCCGCTTGCGCTGATGGCAGCAATTGGAGGAAGCCCGGGTGACAGCCGCCGGGCAGTCGCTTCGCCGAGACCTAACAAAGGACGTGGTACTGCCCCGAGCGACGACCCGCCCCCGTTCCTCGCCCGCCGCTGACCGTGCCCCGCCAGACTACAACCCCAAGAGCAACATTCTCTGCCGGAATGTCACCATCTACGGCCATTGCCGCCACGAGCACAATGGCTGCGTCTTCCAGCACGATCCCTCCAAGATAGCCCAGCAGCAGGCCGAGAACGCGAAGAAGCGCTTCAACGTCGACTCTCCCTCTTTCACCCCCCTCCAGCCATCCACCAACGGCGTCACCTCCTCGCCCCGCCAAACCACCATATCCCCCAAGGCCGCAAATGCCGCCATCTTTACCCCCAAGTCGCAGGCCAAGGCGAGCCTCGCCGTCCTTGCGAAGGAACCGACACCGGAGTGGCACGGGCACGACTTCCAGGAGTTCGTGCCCCAGGGCTTTGACGTACCGGTGAGTTCATCTCTAGAGTGCATCTCCGCCGTATCCTCTGCCCTCCCAGCTGCGTTGCGCCCCTCCTGTTTGAATCGGCGTGCATGCATCTCCTGAGCATGTTTCAGGCTGTGCTCCAAGATCGGCCAACGTCACATGCTGTGCTGCGGGCAGCGTGGCTGATGTCTGACATCTGCAAACCTGCTCCTTAATGCTGCATCGTATCATACAATACCATTTATAGTGCAGATCGGTTGAGACTCTCTTTAGATACCTAACAGCTTCCAGGGCGACAGCGCGGTCCAAGCTGCTGCCTTGAACCCCTACGACACCTTCGCAGCATCTTCTGCCATAGGTGGCATGAGCCCTGCCAACCATGCCGCTCAGCTCAATCCATATACTCAGGAAGCCGCCGCGATGAGCGGTGCCGCCTTCTTCCAGAACACTGCCGGCTTTACCCAACCTATCCAATATCACCTTTACGCTCCCATGGGCCCACACCCCGAGAACCTCCTGGCTTATCAGAAAACGACACACGACTTCTTCATTCCTGACCACCTTCGAGAGGACTTGCAGCGCAAGTCGGAAGCAACTCGACAAATTCTCCCCAACTCTTCTCTTCCCAATGCCGTAGACCATTTTCACTCTCTTGTTCCTTTGGACACGAACAACCAGAAAAACGCTTCACTTTTTGGGTATCCCACTTGGGTCTACAAGGCCGTGTCGAGCAAAGACGGTCTTACCTACACTCTCCGGAGGCTCGAAGGGTATCGTTTGACCAGCGAGCAAGCCATCTTCTCCGTGAGGCCCTGGAAACGCATTGATAACGGAAGTATTGTGGCTATCCATGACGCATTCACCACGCGCGCCTTCGGTGATAGTTCGCTCATTTTCGTAACCGACTATCATCCCCTGTCGAAGACGCTTTCAGAGCAGCATCTCAACGTTGCCCCCCGTGGATTCCACAACCGCGCCAATCCGCACACGGTGCCTGAAGCGGTGATCTGGGGATACGTCGTTCAAATCGCGTCGGCGCTGAAAGCCGTTCACAGCAACAATTTGGCGGCAAGGTTAATTCACCCAAGCAAGGTCCTGGTTACGTCCAAGAACCGCATTCGTCTGAACAGCTGTGCGATCCTCGATCTGCTCCAGTTTGATAACACTCGCTCTGTGCAGGAGCTCCAGCAAGAAGATTTCCAGCAGTTTGGGCGCCTCATCATCACAATAGCAAGCAACAACTCGATCAACCCGGTCAATGTGCAGAAGGCGTTGGACATACTTTCGCGAAGTTACAGTAAGGACCTCATCGAGAGCGTCTCCTGGCTCCTGAGCCCGCCACCAGTCATACAGACGCCGGGAGTTCCTTGCAAAGACATTTCTACATTCATTCGGTCGATTTCTGACAAAATGACCATTCTTCTTGATAATACATTCCACGCTGAGGACACTCTGACTTCCAACCTGGGACGCGAGCTCGAAAACGGGCGCCTAGTCCGGCTTATGGCCAAGCTCAACCTGATCAACGAGCGCCCCGAGTTTGAGAACAACCCGCAGTGGTCTGAGACAGGAGAGCGGTACTATCTTAAGCTGTTCCGCGACTACGTCTTCCACCAGGTGGATGCAAGTGGACACCCGGTGGTGGACCTTGGGCATGTGATCAGCTGTCTCAACAAGCTCGACGTGGGCAGCGATGAAAAGATATCGTTAGTCAGCCGGGACGAGCAGAATGTGCTTGTGGTCAGCTACAGGGAGGTCAAGAGAGGCGTTGAGCAGGCCTTCAATGAGTTGATCAAACCTAAGAGACGATGAAGAGACTGTTTCCAGAGAACACAAAGTCTGCTCGGTAGAGAAACAGAAGTGACGGGGTTCAGACATGAGTGATATACGTTGGCGGCGGATGAATGGATGACTGACATGATCGGCAAGCTTGGTTGAACTGCAAGGCGGTTGTTGGTAGATTCACGAAATACAAATTCATTCGACTAGACGCATCCACAAATAGCTAGAGATAGGCCAAAGTAACGAGTCAGTGTCGTCAAGATGGAGGGCCACGTCTGCTCCTATGAGAATCGACAAACGACGGCTTTTCCAGCAATGGAGCCGCCAGTGACCCATGACGGGGACGAAAAAGGGCAGGAACAATGTGCATCGCTTCCATGACGCGTCGTCAGTGTGAATAGGTAATGTGCTTTGTTTGAGCAATTGACGTGATCGGGGAGATGCCGAAGAAGCCGGCTTCGGTCAGCTCCGGGAGCTCTCCATTCGCTACCACGAGTCCCGACTCCCCGCACTCAACGCCCTTCACTCCACTTCTCAGCAACCATGACTCTTACGCCTCTCTATATCTCCGCCTCCGGTCCGTTGAGCCCTTCAATACTCGATTCCACACTCTCAACGCTGCCTTGAGCCGCCCCCCCTCTTCAATCCGGCCATCCAACTCAACCTCAAACCTCCATCGCCGCCACCATGCCCAAGAAGCTCATCAAGCTCGCCGTCGCGCAAGCCCGCACCCTCGACACCACCGCCGAGACGGTCCGCGCGCTCGAGCAGACGACGCGCAAAGCCGCCGCCCAAGGCGTCGACCTCATCCTCTTCCCAGAAGCGTACCTGGGCGGCTACCCGCGCACGTGCAGCTTCGGCACCTCCGTCGGGGCGCGCGACCCGGCCGGCCGCGACCAGTTCCTCGCGTACTTCCAGGCCGCCGTCGACCTCGGCGACACGCCGCTGGACGCGGGCGACGAGTGGGTGGAGAGGCGGCTGCCCGTGGCGCGCGGGGCCAAGGGGCGCCGCGGCGACGGCACGCGCGAGGAGCTGGAGCGCATCGCGCGCGAGACGGGCGTCTTCGTCGTCACGGGGCTCGTCGAGCGCTGCGCCGGCAGCCTGTACTGCGCCGTCGTGTACGTCTGTCCGCTGCGCGGCGCCGTGGGCAAGCGCCGCAAGCTGATGCCCACCGGCACCGAGCGCCTGATCTGGGCGCAGGGCCAGCCCAAGACGCTGCGCGCCGTGACGGCCGACATCAAGGGCGTGAGGTTGACGTTTGCGGCCGCCATCTGCTGGGAGAACTTCATGCCGCTGACGCGGTTCGCCATTTACGCGCAGAATGTCAACTTGTACTTGGCGCCGACGGCGGACGCGAGGGACACGTGGTTGCCGCTCATGCGGACGGTTGCGAATGAGAGCAGGGCGTATGTCCTCTCCTCCAACCAGTGCGTCAGGAGGAAGCACCTGCCGGCTTGGATCCGGGATCCCCAGGGGCTGCTGCAGCAGAAGAAGGAGCATGGCCACCACGTCGTGGAGGCGAAGTCCAAGTCGTCGGGGAGGAGGAGGTCCACGGTGACGATCGAGGAAGGCCACGAGATCTGCATCCCTAACCCGGAGGTCAATGGTCACGGTGCCAGTTCGTCCGCCATCTCCGAAGATGACCTGGAAGTGAAGCCGGCCCTCTCGGTGCCGCAATCCTCCTCTGCCGCGGATGAGGAATTTCTTTGCAGGGGCGGCTCTTGCATCATCGGCCCCTACGGAGAGATTTTGGCAGGGCCTTCGTGGGAGAACGAGGATGACCTTCTGGCGGTTGAGGTGGATTTCGATGAGTGCGACAAAGGCCGCCTGGATTTCGACGTCGCGGGTCACTATGCTCGAAGTGATTCTTTCAAGCTCACTGTCGAGGGTTTGGATCTCATCCCGCCTCCGTGAACGGCCTCGACAAGTTTGTACGAGAGCGACTTGGAAATCCACCGGTTTGTTATTGTACTGTACATACACGCGCTCTCGCCAGCACCGTTGGAGATACTGGAACAATCAATTGCCACCATTAATTCCGCAACGTTTTACATTATACATTATGGCACCATGATTATAGTCTTGGCCTATACGGCTTGCCAAAAAACAAGAAATTGTCGCAATCTCAGGTAAAAGACTCGTTCGGTAATTGCTATGCGTAGAGCGGAGGACTGAAACAGCAAAGCTTGGGAAGGAAGCCAAAGACGCGCTTGAAGAAACGCCTTACCTTTCCCGGTGTGAATGTTTCCTCCTGGTTCAAAGGTTCCGGATTTGCTGGCGGATGGCCGTCACCTAAGGTTTGTGTCCTAGGTTGCGGTGGAACGGTCTTCCTGGAGCGAGGAACGCTGCAGCGGGCTTCGTGCTGCGTCCCCTGCGGATGTATGGGACCGCTCGAATGCACCTGACTACTCCGCGGGGAATCCGTAAGAGTCAGTTCAAAACTAGGGGAAATGGACAAAAGAGCCTCAGCACTGTTATCCCCGAGGACATCACCAGCAGTTCGCAACGCTTCAGAGGCAGTGCATGGTGAGTTCTTTTTCTTCCGTACGCGAGGAGTCCTTTTGAGCGATACAGTGATTGATGTATGGCCATCGGATTCAGAAGCTCTCGAAGCTGTTTCTGTCCGCAGAGAGCGGGCGTCTTTCACGGCGGTATGGCCAGCTTGCATCACTTCCTGCAATACTGCCATCTCGGTGCCCTCTCCATAAAATGCACAGTGTGGCATGTCTTCGCCCCCTCTGGTGCCGGCATCCCCGGGCAGGTCCGATGGTTGCGGCGCCTTGTCCTTTTGAGACGGGCATTGCGCAGCACTGGAAGATGGCTGGGGATGCACAGCGCACGCCGAAATTTCTTGCCATTTGCGTTTGAGCGACTCGAAATCCTCTTCGAGAGCGGTGCGTTGGTTGTCGTGTTGTTCCTCGTTGCCCGCTTGGATGTGATAGGCTGGTTGGCCTTGGGAGGGTTCGCCGTGCACCGTTGCTTCAACGTTCCTTGGTTCCGAGGGCAGTTTGAGCTCGAACATATCCATGTCTGCATCGAAACGGATTATTTTTGTTGTCTCTGATGTTGCCTCTACCTCGCAAGCAGGCTCAGCTGCTTGGTCTTTCTCCTGCTGTCGGTGGCCAAGCGCATCATCGCCCCCGTCAAGTTTAGATGTACCGCTTGCAGACTGAGTCACCTCCCCAGTACTCTTTCTCATCACTTCAGGACCCGAAGTCTCATAAAGAAGAGGTTCTTTCCTACTCTCTGCATCGTCTTCAAGCTCGACGGTCTCGGCGGCTTGCTCAACCTCTGTGTCGCCTTCAAACTCAACGATCTCGGCGTGTTGCTCCACATTGGCAAGCCTCGGTGTTGCTCCTCTCCAGATGTTCAAAGCCGGCTCTCGGCTTATGAGTCCACGGTTAAGCATGCTTTCTCGTCGTACTGGGATGGCGTTGGCTGACGTATCGAACCAAGTTGGAAGCTCGGGCTGTGGAGGCGGTCGCGACGACTGAATGAGGCGCGGAACGAGTTCTTGAATTCTCATTGGAACGACAGTCCCTATGTGTGTATCCTTCAGCCTCTCGCCCCAGTCCATGGGATCGTCGGGCAGGATGACCATCTCGCACACTCGGCCCCCCTTCAGTCTCGCTTCGAATGCCGCCCGGCTGCGCACCAACCGAGCCTTGACTTCTGTTATTCTGCCAAGGAGGGATTGCTCGGTACAGTCTCTCGGGGGGGTTGGTTCGCGGACGATGTCGGTGAAGTCGATCGTGTCCCAGTTGATGCTGGCGTATGCACACGTGGTACATGGCAACGGGGGGAGCGGCTTGTCTGCTCCATCAAGCCTCTGCCGCGAGGGACTGCCAATGCAGCTACTGCCGCACTCCTCGTGGTATTTGGTCTCAACGACGTGGCTGCAGTCGAGGCAGTGTAGGCGGCCGCCTTCGGGGTGCTGGTCGCATGTCACGCACGGCGTCAAGCACTGTACACAGCCCACCATCTCTCCCAAGGTCGAGCCCAGCTCCTGCACGATGGAGGCGGTAAGTGAAGAATAGAGGTAGAAGGTCGGCGGTAGATCGATCAGCGTCGGCCTGGAAGACGAACGACGCAACTGGAAAGGTCGCATCGCGAAACGGACGGCTTGAGACTGCGTCGTGGGCGGCGGCAGATATACTCCCGTGTTTTGGCGATTTGCCTGGCTCATCCGGAGCCTAGGACGGTGGTTGATCCATGGTATCGACTTCGTTGGGACAATTCTTATCTTGTCATAGTGCCCCGGAAATAGCATCCGTGAAGACCCTTGTTTCGTAGAGAGGGCAATCCGCGGCACATTGTTCTCGCTTGCAGGGTCCACGGCTTGCAGCTCGCAACAATGGCGGCTGGACAAGCGGGCGTCAAAGGCGCTGAAAGGAAAGGGCGACTGGGCTCAGGTGAACAATGCAAGCAATGCACCTTCAGTCAGTATAAAACTTGCCCAAGCATCCGTTAAGCTTTGCACTTCCCTTGGTAACCGGCGTTTCTGAACCTTTCCACGTGCCCTAACGCCATATTAACGTTCTCAATATAAGTAGCCTCCAGAGGACTCTCGACTGACGCAACATGCCATCATTGATCGCCAGACTCGGCCCCATGAAGGAGAAGGACAGGAAGAAGAAGAGAAACAGCATCCATCATACCTTCGCCATCCTCCGCCGCATTCCCGACAATGGTCCTCCCGCCGGCCTACGCTCACTGATCCCGAGCATCACCCACGCCCTCCACCCTCGCCCGACGCTCCGGCTGATCACCGCAGGAACGACGTCGCTCCCATCATCTTCCGCCCGCAATTCGCCCTCCACAACCACTAAATCTTCCACCACCACCACCACCACCACCCCGGACACCAGCACCAAAACCAACTCCAACTCCAACTCCAACTCCAACTCCGCCCCACCAACCCCGCTCCACCGGCCCAGCCCGCCGCCGCCGCCGCCGCCGCCCTCTGCCGTCCCCTGGCCGCCCCAGATCTGCGCCGCACCGCTATCGACGCACCACCGGCTCGCGCCCTGCGCGCACGTCGTGCGCACGCCCTTCCTCACTCCCTGCGGCGCCAACTGCGCGCACGTCTTCGTCGTCTCCGCCGCCGCCACCGTCGCCTCGCCAATGGCGCCGTTCGTCACCGACGAGCCGTTCGCGTGCGCCGCGTGCCTCGACGAGGTGATGCGGAGGGAGGCGGAGAGGAGGAGGGAGGCGTTTGGGGGGTTGTTGGAGCGGAATGGGGACGCGTTGTTGGAGGGGGAGAGGGAGGTCGTGGCGGAGGCGCATGAGAGGGGGTTGGCGGTTGAGATGGAGGAGGTGAGGGGGTGGGTGAGGGAGAGGGTTGGGGGGCGGTGGTGCGAGGTGGCTGACGAGAGGGACGGGCATGGGAGGAGCTGTCCGTGAGTGAGGTGAGGTCATGAGGTGAGGTGAGGGGAGGGGCGGTTGGCCGGCTGGCCGGCTGGCTGGGGATTATTCATTGTAGAGCGCGGTGTGAGCGCGCGCGTAGTTTTAGTTGTTGTGGGAATCTGAGTTTATCGTTTTCTGGGAAGGAGATGTCCGGCTTTTGCGTGATCGGGTTGTTTCGACGAAGTGTCGGATGAAGAAGGCGGGCGGGCGGGCTGGCTGGCTGGCTGGCTCCCCGCCAAAACGTCTGATCGTTCGAACCGCACCCAGAGCAATCAACACTTGTTTTTCAGCATTTACGTATCGACCACCAAGAGACCAAAAAAGAAAATGGCAAAACTGTAGGCCCCCTGTCGGGCGCCCGCTTGCTTTGCCCGTATTCTATGCGGGAGCGGCGTTGCTACAGAAACCCCAGACACTGTCGCCGAGGGTTTTTTGGTGGGTTTTTTGGTGGTTGTTTAAGCTCTCAGTTCTTCTGCCACGGCCTGTATTAGATCAAGTTAGCCTGTTCTTCTTAGTTATAATTATGTGACTTGCCACTGCACCATGCGGCGCGTTGTATGCCCGTGGGCGACAGTTCGAGCCACCCTCAAGGTCTATATGCCCACCGTCAAATGCTATTCCCAGCAACCATGGCCTTTTCTGCCGCTCCGTTCACCATGCTGGCGGGTGTTCCGAGTCAACCTCGTCGTCGCCGGACATGCTTCACCCGCCTCTTCGACCACCTACCAGACACTTCTTGCATAACAACCGCCACACACACGAACGTTCACTTTGCACCAATGGGTTTTTCTTTGAGACAACAATCGTGTGGCTGCTAATAAAGCCAGACTCTTGGTTTACCTATGTTTAACTTTCTTTATCCCCATGACGAGCTTCCAACAACGGAAGACAAAGCGCGTCCGCGACACGCATACATGGCAAAGACAATTGCTTTGTCGGCCCAGCTCCAACATGTTTGTAAAAACAGCTTCACCTACATACCTTGCCTCTGCAAACTGCGCGTTCTTCAGTTCTTGTGCTTCACTTTCGTTACCTTTCGCGCCTCACTTGGAAAGCTCTGGCAGCTTGGCCCGCACCGTTCGCTGGCGGACGACAACCTTCGATAGGATACGATACCACCACAAGTCGAGCTTATTTTGAACTCGACGTACGTCCCACCGTCCCCCGACGTCAAGCTCCATTTGAGCTCGACATACGTCCCCCCGTCCCCCGACCCAATCCATCCGAGACGCGCACCGTAACTCCAACCCCACCATGACCGCCGCGCTCCACCAACCATCACCACCACGCTCACAAGCTTCTTCTAGACGCACGAACTGCGGCAAACCAAAGTACCGCTTCGGCTACGGAAAACACACAATCACTCTCACGACGCCCTGCTTCCAGCATCATTGCAACACTTGCGCTTCCCGACAACCCGCCATCGGCGTCTACGACGCGTCCAGCGACAACGACGACGACAACAACAGCAGCAGCAGCGCCATCGACGGAACCTCGCCGCACACCACGCCAGCCACCGCCGAGCACTTCACCGCAAGCAAACTCTATCGCCGCAAAGAGGATTCACGCCGCGCCGTCGACGAAAAGCTCCGCAAAATCAGTTTGCTCCACGTGCACAACGCTCCCGCAGTCAAGTTGAGGAAGACCAGAAGCGGACGCGTCGTAAAGAACAGGAACACGAAGGTCAAGAACACGATGTTGTCGTCGCCGCCGCCGCAGAGACAGAAACAGGACGAGATGGAGATGGCCAACACTAGCAGGTATGGTAATCGTTTTGTTTGCAGGAAACGGCTCGTTGTGCGGCTGCGAAGTGGGCTAAACGCATTTAGGGAGCTCTTGATGGACTTGGATAAAGGCAAGCTGAGCGAGAAGCAGAAGTTGGTGGTTGTGCTGAAGTTCAGCGATCAGCTCAAGAGGTTCGCCGAGATGTCGAAAGACTTTGAGAAGAAGAAGAAGGCGCCGATGCCGATGGAAGGCCAGAAGCTGTTCCTCATTGTTGGAAAGGGCGATACGTTGAGGTGTGAGTGGAGGTAGGTTCCTCTCACAAGGCTTTTGCCGAATATGGCTGGGGTGGAGTGGAAAGACTGCTGCTCCCGTTTCGCGGGTTTGCGGTTTGTTCGTCTCTGTCTGTTGGATAATCTTGAATAGCACTGATACGAGATCTAACAATGACTCCTGATGGTTGCTGTGATGCAAACGGTGACGACAAGAATCAAGATGGACCGGTCAGTCGGAGACTCCGGGGGGACACAAGCTTACGTAGTACTACACCGGTGGGTCGCGTGGGGGCGGAAGGATTCAGCGCGGATGGCTGGATCCACGCAGTGGAGATGGTTACGAAAGAGAAGGAATCACCTGTATCTGGATGCATTTGTACAGTTAACAGTCGTATTCCCATCCGGACATGAAAAGGTCGTTTGGACCGACATTTCGGTCGGCATAATTTCCTCAACCTCCCACGCAAAAGATCGCTGTAGGTCGATTGCTTCGTGTTGTGATGCTGTAAATGAATAGTCGGAGGTTGATGCGGCTCAGGCACCCGTCTCTGAGCAACGGCGGCCTGCTCTCACTGCAGTCAGCACCATCGGCACTTCTCACACCGCACTAGAAGGCCCAGTGCACAAATATGACCGAAGGTAAACAAAGCTGCGCCTGAGCGGGATTGGCCATCAAAGAAACGGTAGCTCGGCAACGGAAATAGCTTATCTCCATGACGGCACTAGGCCGGAAGCAGCTAGCTGGCGTGGAGGCATGCTGTTGTTTCCTGCGGGGCACACGGCGTTTCCGTTTCCCGTTCGACTTCGCCATCCTCGAGCCTCGCAGGAGTCGCAGCTGCGGGAATAAAATATGCAGCCCCCGGCTCTTCACCCGTCCGAGCGGTCCAGCTTGCATAACCCAGCCTGGTATATACGCTGCCTTCGCTCCTCCTGACGCCATGCCGCCCCTGTCTCTGCTCATACCCAGCACGACACCACTCCCAGACCGTTGCCGAGCAATTGACCTCTGCTAAGCTTTCGGCCCTGCGCCGAAACTTTGTGTGCCAACCAATTATGGCCGACGAGGGCCCCCGTCGCTTGTCACTCTCCCGCACCAGGAGCCGCCCGGACCGCCCCGAAAGCCCGGAACCCGTCTACTCCGTCGAACACCTCGACGATCACAGCATCTACCACCACGACCATGCTGCCGCCGAGTCAGACCGCCCCGCCACAGGTGACGATTCGGAAGTCGAGAAGAAGGACAACGGCCAAGATGACAACGGGAGTATCGAGGTCCCCGAAGTTCGAGACGGTATCCCCGACGTGAGGGACGTCGAGAAGGCCGACCTCGCCAAGGAACAGGCCAAGAGCGATGCTCCTCTAAAAGACCCTAACTCTGTCGGCTGGGATGGTCCCGAAGACCCCGCCAACCCGAAGAACTGGTCGATCCGTCGCAAGTGGGCCGCTTGCCTGGTCGTCTCCGCCTTCACCTTCATCTCGCCAGTCTCGTCCTCCATGGTCGCCCCCGCCCTCCCCGCCATCTCGAAGGACCTCGGCGTCAACAAGGACATCGAAGAAGCCCTCATTCTGTCAATCTTCGTTCTCGCCTACGCCGTTGGCCCCTTGGTCCTCGGCCCGCTCTCAGAGGTCTACGGACGAGTGCTGGTCTTGCAGTGCGCCAACGCATTCTACCTGGCCTGGAACCTTGGGTGCGGCTTCGCGAAGACCAAGGGCCAGATGATGGCCTTCCGCTTCCTTTCCGGCCTCGGCGGCTCCGCGCCCCTCGCCATCGGCGGTGGCACCCTCTCCGACATGTTCCTCCCAGAGCAGCGCGGCAAAGCCATCAGCATGTACAGCCTGGGGCCGCTCATCGGGCCCGCCGCCGGCCCCATCGCCGGCGGCTTCATCGCCCAGTACTCGACCTGGCGCTGGGCCTTCTGGGCGACGTCCATCGTCGACGCCGCCATCCAGATCCTCGGCTTCTTCTACCTGCAGGAGACGTACGCGCCCGTGCTGCTGAAGTGGAAGGCGGCGCGGCTGCGCAAGGAGACGGGCAACGCGGAGCTGCGATCCGAGTTCGACTCGGACAAGACCATCTCCAAGGTCCTCGGCGTCGCGCTGGTCCGCCCCTTCCGCCTGCTCTTCACCCAGCCCATCATCCAGTTCCTGGCCGCCTACATGGCCTTCCTGTACGGCCTCATGTACCTCGTGCTCTCCACCTTCCCCTCGCTCTGGACCACCGCCTACCACGAATCCGTCGCCATCGGCGGCCTCAACTTCATCTCGCTCGCCGTCGGCTTCTTCGTCGGCATCCAGGTCGCCGCCCGCCTCAACGACAAGATATACGTGCGCCTCAAGCGCCGCAACGCCGGCGTCGGCCTGCCCGAGTTCCGCGTCCCGCTCATGGTGCCCGGCGCGCTGCTCGTCCCCGTCGGCCTGTTGTGGTACGGCTGGTCGGCCCAGGCCCGGGTCCACTGGATCATGCCCGACATCGGCGCCGCCATCTTCGCCGCCGGCGTCATGGTCGCCTTCCAGTGCATCCAGACGTACCTCGTCGACTCGTACACGCGCTTCGCCGCCAGCGCCATCAGCGCCGCCACCGTCTTGCGCTCCCTGGCCGGCTTCGGCTTCCCCCTCTTCGCCCCGTACATGTACCAGGCGCTGGACGACGGCTGGGGGAACACGTTGCTCGGTCTCATCGGCGTCGTCCTGGGTCTGCCCGCGCCGGTGATCTTGTGGAAGTACGGCAAGGTGCTGAGGGCGAAGAGTCAGTTTGCCGCGGGCGGCTGAGTCGATGACGCGTGGTGGCGGATAAGGGCCAACCGTACAGGTGTGAGACGGGGTCAAGAAATGGCTAGATTTGGAGCGCTTGAGGACGATGATGCTGTTTTACATACATTAATGCGGGCTGGTTGGAAAATCACGGAGTTCGTTTGGGAACATCATCAAATGCATAGCGTGGTATGGGAAAGAAAGATAATGGGAAGAGAAGGTTCTAATACATTCACTAGATGTGCTTTCTTAAGCTCCGTTTAGAGCGGAGTAAACAACCAGAAATTAATCGTCTCGGCATAAGAAATTGCCCATCAAGATTGATTCTTTTTTTCTTTGCTTTCTTTCCAGGATCGTGAAAACCCAATAAGAGAGTAACTCACGGAGCGCACTCTGTCGTGCGCCACTATAACCTTGTTTGTCACTGACGTAGCTCTACCCGGGCGGAGTTGTCCTAAATATATTCCGTGCTGCATGCCATGAGTTTCATAATATGCCGCGAAGCTTAATGTCCAAGCACGTTGTACGACCAACGTCGACAATGAGCTGTAACGTCGGGGCATGCAGACAAATTACTCGGGTTGAGCTTGTGAGACGATCTGTGATGAACTGTTGAGCTTCCGTGTAACATGGCCTGACGCAGTACTTAGCCTTTGGCAAAGCCTCCCCGGCCCTTCCCTCTACCGCCGCCTCGACCAAAGCGGATGCTGGGCGGAACAAATTTGAGAGAGGACATGGACTTGGTGAGGCCTTCCATAGCATCAGACACGTCATCAACAGCTCGGGGTGAAAACACGGCACCGTCACGAGCATTGCCTATACCTGTGGTATCTCCGTGCTGTTCACCCTTGTTATTGACGTCCTTTTCCTTTCCTTTCTGCTGAGCATCTTTGGCAAGGGTAGAGGGTGGAAGCTTTGTGGCGTGCTTGGAAGCTGACAAACCGCTCGGGTGCTCGTTCTCATGGGACACCATCTCTACGTCCTGAACCGTGTTTGGAACAGATGGATCATCGCTAGTCGGGCAAACGACATCCATCGCATCCGATGGTTCTTGCGTTTGCTCCAACTTCAGCTGGGTGCTCTGGGGAGTACTGCCATCGTCGTTGAAGATGATGTGAGTCTTGGCGGATTTCTTCTCATCAGCCTTGGTCATTTCTGCCTTCGCTCTTGCTTTTCCGGCCGCTGGCTTGTTCGAATTGCGGGTGTAGATGTCCTTCCTGCTGCTGCGAAGCATGGAGCTACGGCCGTTAATGCCATCCTTGATTATAGCAAAGTCATATTCCTAACTACATATCAGTTGAATGAAGGCTGTGAGGAAGGAGCGGCTCAGACCAACCTCTGGGAACTGGTGCTTTGCCACCATGTGCATCCTACGCTTGGCCGGCGTGGAGCACTTCTTGTCACAGTCTTCGGCAAAGCAAGCGTACTTGTGAGCGGGTTAATACACGCTAGGTGGTTCCTGGAAATTACGACTTACGATCTTCTCGCCCCTTGCCTTACGAGCGTCATTAATGGGATCATGGACCTCGGCGAAGTGCAGACCCAATATCAAGTCCGAGGGGAAGTTCTTCCTGCACTCTGAGCAGCGGTTCACGTGAGTCTTGTGGTAATGGACATCGTAATCTTCATAGGTAGCAAACTCGAGCGGTGCGTGGCCCGGAAGCTGACACTCCATGACGGCCGTTGGCGAGCGGGAAGCGTCGGCCGAGTCGACATGGACGTACTTGACGACATGCGGCGCGGCGGGCTCAGAGGCGGCAGCGCCTGTGTGCGGCTGGTTTGCTTCTGGCTCGGGCGAGGCAGACCCCGCGCGTGAGCGTTTGGCCATGGGTTGTCGCCAGGCGAGCAAGAGCGGAATTCCAGGCTGGACGGTGCCGCGGGACCCTGTCAATAGCACGGCGCGGTGCGACCGTTGGGTAAGATTAATGGTGTTTCGGATGGCAATCCAGACAGCAGGCGCGGCGGCGCAGACGGGCAAGTTGCGGGTTGGGCAGCGGCCTGGAGAAGGGGGCCCGACTGCGAAGAGCAAGCGCCGGGCCAGCTGTAGCGGCTCGTGGAGGGCGTATTTATGGCAGCGACTGCTTGCGGAGGATGATGTGGTGCTTGGTGCTTGGTTGGTCCCTGGAGCTGGGCCCCGGCGAGCCGGCGCGGCTCTGGTTCGCTTGCGAGAGCTTCCTCCAGTCATTCATCTTCCGCTGCTCACCCACGTCCGTGACCCAACGCCCGCGCCGCGGCTCCTCTCGCAGTCAAAGCTGCTGCTGCTGCCCTTCCCAGCGCAGCTCCGACACCCTCCTCTCCCCCGGCCGTCTCGCCCGCCCCGCCGCCGCCCGCCACTGTCGCTGCGCCCGCGCCCGCGCCCGCGCTTCGCCTCTCTACGCCCCGCCGCTGCCTGTTGTTGCGTGCTCCAGGGAGACTGCGGCATGGATTGTGACGGCTCCCACGCACGCCCGCACTTCCGTTCCGTCGACTTTTGACCTAGAGGTGGCCGACCGCAAGGTCTTATATATGAGCTGCCCCCACCGCCCGAGGCATGGCCCCATCCGCCGAGCAAGCCGCGACGTGCGCCGCCCCATACCTCTGCCACGCCCGAAGCCATGTTGCTGAACACCGGTCATAGGCTCGCTCGTAAGACCGAGCAGGACTTGAACGCCAAGCTCGCCCAGCGAAACACCCGTCATGGAGAGATAATTTCTCTTCTCACCGAGTGCGCCATACGCTCTCCATTTCCTCCGCGCCGCTAATCGGGCCCCAGCTTCCGCGTCGCGTGCGAAAACACCATATTCGCCGACTTCAAATATGCTTCCGAGCAGAAAATCGAGACCCTGCTGTGGGCCGCCCACAGCAAGGTCAATGTCAATTTCCGAAAGCAGCTGAGCTCGGTACGCGCGCGGAATCGCCCTGGGCCGAAGGGCCGTCGGACTGTGCTAACGCACTCGTTTTGCGAACAGCTGAACAAGGAAGGCAAGAACAAGGCCGTTGAAACACGTCTCGTCACGAAGCAATACCTTGAGTTTATCAAAGCCAGCCAGCGTTTCTACCGTCAATACATTCTCCGCTTGGATCGCACCTTTGGAGGAATCCCCGAACTACGCGACATTGCCAGAACATGGAAGAGCGACAGTGCGTTGTTTGCTGCAGTCATCATGTCGTATGACACTAATCATGTTCAGTCTCCCGCGAGAGCCCCGTTCGGAATGTTTCGGCAGAAATCAAGCATCAAGTCAAAATGTCGCTTTACCAGACCATCATCTATCTCGGCGACCTCTCACGCTACCGCGAGCTTCAGAGACAAGAAAAGGACCGCAACTGGAGTTATGCTGTTGGATACTACGGTCTTGCAACCTCGATATACCCCGAATCTGGCATATCGCACAACCAGCAAGCAGTCATTGCGCTTGCGGACGGCAGTCATTTCCGCGCAACATACCACCTTTATCGTTCCCTTGCCACGAAAGAACCACATCCAGCTGCAAAGAACAATCTGGAACTGGAGTTCAAGAAAGTCATTCAGGCTTGGGATAAAGGAGAGCTTATCAATAGACAGGCTAACCGCGAAGGGACCGGTGCCAACCGCGCTCTGATTTCTTGGTTCGTGCGTTTGCACAGCAAGTGTTACAAGGGAGAAGAGTTCGCCGGCCACGATGAACTGGAGAGCGAGGTCCTGAGCCAACTGGCAGTTGAGTTGAAGGAAAGATCTTTGGACGGACTCTTGCAGAAATTTGTTTTGGTCAATGTTGCGGCCGAGTATTTTGCATCGGAGCAACTTCAAAGTGAGTTTGTGCCTCAGAATTATCTCGACCTTGCACTGACCATCATAGGTGGCCACACGGAACCACACAACCTGCGCTCTTACTTTTTCTTCCTTCGTCTGAACGTCAAGACCTTCTTTTCCCTGCTTCAGACCCTTCAACCTGAGCTCGAGCTGTTGACCGGAGAAGATGTCAACGGTGACGAGGACGACCAATCCCAGCAACTGTCCGACAAAGTTACAGCAGTCGCACGTCGAATCCTGCCTGGACTTCGCCTATACAGCGCCTGGTTTATGAACACCTGGCAAATCCTCTCCGCCGACATCGAAGGGTTTGAAGGATCCGTCTCTAAGGTGGAGGTTCAAGAGATGTGGAAGGCCTATGCTGAGACGTTGACCTTGCTCGTCTCGGCCTTCGAACCTGGCCGGCTTCCTATGGAGCAATACATGCTAGAGGAGGATGTTGACACAATTGGCTTCCAACCATTGGTAACGGAAAGAACGAGGAAAATATGGTACCTCGGTGAGGGGCTGAAGCCGAAGTGTTCCGACGAAGGCTTGGAACGGAACCACCCCAATGTGGAGATGCTGATGCGCATCCGCGATTTTCTTGTCGATGGACTTCAGTTGACCCAGGACCAGGTCGGTGAGAATCATGCATTAGAACCGTCGAGATGCTAATATGCAACCAGACTGCGCCTTTGGCTCTCGTGGGAACTCGCTTTGTCTACCAAGAAGCTGGCATCCCGTCTCAGCTCATGCCCAGCACAGAGCAGAAGGCCGAACCCGTTGCTCCTGTGGAAATCCCGATCGAAATCCCGCGTGGAGAGCCCAATGGCCCGGTCACAGATGACCAAATTTCTCACGGTGTTGCTCCGTCGGAGACTGCTTCTGTTGCCATTTCCAAGGATGTTGCGATGAATCGTATGGTGGATGAACTTCTCGGCCCTGACGACGGATTGGATCCTCTTCCTGAGGAGGACGAAAACATACCTCCAACGCCACCGGAGCAGACGTTCGAGGACACGGCCTTGATCGACGACCACTCTTATGGCATCACTCCTGTGACTGTCGGGGAATTTGTCAACATGGTCCGGAATTACAGCCAAGCTTCCTGCACTCCCGACGTGCACCACCGTAATTCTACTGCGTCCCCTGCCATGCGAAATCTGCCTTCGCTTCCGTCTCTACCGAATACATCTGACATCTGGAGCAAAACTTACGAGTCGCATATGCAAACAGCCCCTGCCGCACCCCCAGGCCTCAATGTGACCAGCGCAGCTCTGGGTCGCCGCAGCATCAGCCATTCTCGTCACGCGTCCCTCAGCAACTCGATGAATACTTTTTCGTGGGGCGGTCAGGGTCCAGTCCAACAAAGCCGCTCCGGTTCAATGGCCGATCCGTTCACTGCGCCTTATGACAGTCCTCTATCGAGTAATTTCCAGTTTCATGGCAACTATGTTCCTGGATCCAGCAGTGGTTACACGGGCCAGGTCCAAGGAGCTCCCCATGAGCTGAACTTGAGTCCATACCCCCACGACCAGACTGCCAGTCCTTCGGCTTTCGGCAACGATCCCTGGGGTAGCGGCAGTGGTGTATGGGGAACGGATCTGAGCCGCAGCCGCGGATCATTCACACACACCCCACCGAATGGACTGGGCGGCTGATGGAGACATGGCTTTCGCTACAGACGTAGCTGGAGTCATTCGGAAGCCACACATTATTGTTTTGACGCCACATCAGGAATGAACCGCTCACCTCCGTTTAACCGAGTTTTGAAGTGGGTGGTTGGTAAAATGCCGCGTGGTTATTGTCACCACCCGCGACTTAGGTTAGCGTCGGAGCAGCTCGTGTAGCAGTCGGTGCTGCCCACGAAGATGTTGCCAGCCTCGGGCGACGCAGCTGTCAGTTGGACGCCCTGCTCTGGCACACATTGAGCAGTAGGACTCGGACGTGCCAATCTATGTTTCTTGGGAACGGAGCGAAGAGGAGGGCCAAATTGACCACGGACACAGTCTTTGTCGTTCGCACGCATATTGCATATCACTCTCTAGTGCCTTGATCGTTGGGCCTTGACTTTTACTTAGCAAATTGATCCGAGCAGTAGTAACTTTCCAGTTGAGGCAGTGAAATTGCAATCGTAGGAGCTGCGCCATCTGGTGAAATGGGACCGGGAGGAAGTAGATGTGGCGTCGCACTTGCGCGGAGTGTCAAGAACTGTGGCATGCGCAATGCAGGTACAGGGGACAAGTGACAGCTGCTCGGAATATTCGAGGCGTAGAGCATTGGTCAATTGCCCATGACGAGCCATGTGGACAACGGGAAGCGTCGTATGACATCACGGGACGCTGTTGCCCAAGCATTCAAAAGCACGCAATTGTAGTCGCGATGCGGATGTACGCCTCTCGGTCACAATCTCATCCTGTTGCCGATTCAAGATGACAAGCATGCTTATGCCGCGCGCTCTGGTGTCGAAGAAGGCGCCGACTATGCTCCGAGCACCGCAATGGGCCGAAGCGGGGCGTCGGCGCTTTTTTTGGGCTTGGACAGCAGCAGCCCCTCCGATTTCTTCGAAGCACCCCGCCATCCGCCTCTCTCCGCAATCCATCCACACATCCCGTCACTACACAATGGCTTCCACCGGCAACTACGAGCTCCTCTGCTTGGAGAACCCTCTCCTCGACATCCAGGCCGTCGGGTAAGCTGTTCGCGACAAGTCCCGCATGCCCAATGGCTGACGATGAACTCTGCGCAGCAATGAGAAGCTCCTCGAGAAGTACGGCCTGAAGGCCAACGACGCCATCCTCGCCGAGGAGAAGCACATGGGCCTGTACGACGACTTGCTTCAGAACTACGATGCGAAGCTTATCGCCGGCGGCGCCGCCCAGAACACGGCAAGAGGCGCTCAGGTACGTGGGCACCTTGATCTGATGCCAGAGCGCTCCCCACTGACGCGCAAGCTCTCCCGCAGTACATCCTCCCTCCCAACTCTGCCGTCTACATCGGCTGCGTCGGCAAGGACAAGTACTCCGAGACCCTGAAGGACACTGTCAAGCAGGTCGGCCTTCGCGTCGAGTACCGCTACGATGAGCAGCAGCCCACCGGCCGCTGCGGCGTCATCATCACCGGCCACAACCGTAGCATGTGCACCGACCTGGCTGCTGCCAACCACTACAAGATCGAGCACTTGAAGCAGCCCGAGATCTGGAGCCTCGTCGAGGCCGCCAAGGTCTACTACGTTGGTGGCTACCACCTGACGGTCTGCGTGCCCGCCATCCTGGCCCTGGCTGAGGAGGCTGCTGCGAAGAACAAGGTACGATTTCCCACGGCGATGGCTGAGTGCGCGACACTAATGCTGCCTGGCTTGTAGGTCTTCATCCTCTCCCTCTCTGCTCCGTTCATCCCCCAGTTTTTCAAGGACCAGCTTGCCCAGACGGCTCCCTACTGGGACTACGTTATTGGCAACGAGACCGAGGCGCTCGCTTGGGCCGAGAACAACGGCCACGACACCAAGGACATCCCGGCCATTGCCAAGCTCATGGCGGCGCTGCCCAAGGCCAACAAGTCCCGCCCTCGCACCGTCATCATCACCCAGGGCACCGAGCCCACGGTGGTGGCCATCGGCAAGGAGGGCGGCGAGGCCGAGGTCAAGCAGTTCCCCGTCCACGCCATCAGCAAGGACCAGATCAACGATACCAACGGTGCGGGCGATGCCTTCGCCGGCGGCTTCGTGGCGGGTGTCGTCCAGGGCAAGGATCTCGAGACCAGCATCGACATGGGCCAGTGGCTCGCCAAGCTCAGCATCCAGGAGCTCGGCCCGTCGTACCCCTTCCCCAAGCAGAGCTACTCCAAGTCTGCTTGAGTGAAATGGACCGAATGCAGCGCAGGCGCTTCTGATCAGGGATTCTCGTGTTTTCAACAAAATCATGAGCCTAGACCCCTCTCTTTCTCGTTGGAGAGAGAAGAGCAGGGGAACGACTATTTTTTATTGCTTCTTATGCATGTGGAACGGAGCGTTATCAGGGCGTTTTCAACAAAGGACTTTTCTTGGAAAGGAAAACGGTCTGGAGAAGACGACTTATGGTCGATGAATCAACTTCACTGAAAACGATGGACAGGGTGCGGATTAGGATATCGACGTATGCACCAGGAAAGCCTACCAAGAGCTGTGGTGTTTGCTGTTCCAATGTACAAGAATTCAACGAGTCAACTGCACAGAAAGGGCGCTATGGCGGAGGTGTTTCGCTATGACTAAGTGAGCCACGACGTCTTTCCCCAAGAGGCAAGGTGCGGCGGCTTGCGTGAATCAGCTTTCACATGGCCCCCGGTCAGTGTGTCAACCTATCACCTCATCACCGTCCTTGGCGCGGATCTCCCGCCGACACGTTTGAACCGGCCTGGACGCCGACACATTTTCTTTTACGCAATCGCCGCCGCGTCAAGAAGCGCCCAGAGACGATGATGTCAACAAGCTGCTACGGGCGCGCCATGGCTACGCTTCCCCCTCGACGCCATGGCAGCCAAAGCCCGCTCCATCATGCCGCAGCCTTGCCCTCGACGGCCTCTGTGTCTACTTTGCGACCTCTCCGACACTCCCAAGGGCACTACTGGTACTAACACAGTCGGCGACCCGCTCCCATATGGGTCTTCGAATAGCGGTCAGACAACGGGGAGTTGGCACTTAAGCGGCCTCGGGCCTCCATGTAAGGTCTGCAGCAACAGGAAATGGCACGTCCAACGTTCGCTTCCCAGCGAGACGGGACCCGGAAAACGGCCGTACATCAAGAGCAGGGAAATCGAGGCCGACACCCGCTGCAACCATCCTATCTGTGCGACCGTGAAGAGATAGCCTTTCACGCCAGGACCGACCCTGAGAATGGCGGCCACCCCGTTCTCCACAGTCCACCAATGTCTCACTCCGAGAAGAGCATCGTTACGTGGGACGGCCCGGCCGACCCTGAGAACCCTTTCAACTGGCCTTCTTCGAGGAAATGGCGCGTCACTCTTCTCGCATGCTCCATGTACGTTTTCCTCGCTCAGTACCATCTCCAGCATGAATATCCTCTTTAAAATCCTTTGAGCGTATTCTCTCTTGTCCCTCACAACACTCCCATGCCGTTCTCCCCGTCTCCAACAGCCCCCGTCCCACCCACAAAGCGTTGCCATCTCTCAGAATTTACCAAAAAACTCACAACCCGTCCCATTCCTTCTTCACCAACAGAACCTTCCTCTCCGGCCTGTCAGGCACAGCTCTCGCGCCCACAGCCCCACTCCTAACCGCGACCTTCCACCTCCCGCCGGACTCCAGCCGCACCATCCCGCCGACATACTACCCCATCTTCGCATGGACGCTGTCCGCCGGCGTTGTCCCTCTGCTTCTGCTCCCTCTCATGGAGACGCGCTACGGCGTGCGAACACCATACATCCTCTGCGTGCTCGTTCTCGCCCTCTCCACCATCCCACAAGCCCTTGCCCCAGGCGGAGCTTACCCCCTCCTTGTTGCCATCCGCGTCCTGAGCGGCGGCGCGGCAGGTGTGCTGCAGAACGTCACTGGCGGTATCGTCGGCGACGTATGGGCGGGCCCCCGCGCGCGCAGCTTGCCCGTCGCGCTGTACATCTGGGCGCTGGTTGGTGGGCTGATGGCCGGGACGGTGGCCGGGGGCGGAACGGTTTGGGGGGCCAACGTCGATGACGAAGGAAAAGAAGGGGTCGGCAAAGGAGGCCTCAGCTGGCGCTACGTCTGCTGGTGGCAGCTCGCCGTCTACGCCGCCCTGGTCCCCATCGCCTACCTCGCCCTCCCCGAAACCCGCGGCAGCGTCATCCTCTCCCGGCGCGCCGCCTCGGTCCGGCACTCCACCGGCCGCCAGGACGTCCGTGCCGAAGGCGAAGAAGAAGAGCACCACCTCTCGATCGTCGCGCTCCTCCAGGACGCCGTCGGCCGCCCGCTGCGCATGCTGACGACCGAGCCGCTGGTGGCGTGCAGCACGCTGTGGTCCGCCTTTTGCTTCGGCAACGCTCTGCTCTTCACCCAGAGCATCCCGCGCGTCTACGGCGAGCTGTACGGCTGGGAGAGCTGGCGTTCGGGCGTCGTCCAGGCGGGCCTGCTCACCGGCGTCACGCTCGGGCTCGTCGTCGGCGCGCCGGTGCAGGACGCGTGGTACTTCACAACATCATCATCCGCCAAAACGACCGAGTGCCAGTCCCCAGACAGCGAGAAGGCGGCGGAGAACGGAGTCGGAGTCGGAGGAGCAGAAGAAGAAGAAGAAGAAGAAACCTTCCTCCCCGAAGCCCGCCTCTACCTCGCGGTGCCGGCCTCGTTCCTCTGCCTCGCCGGCGGCCTCTTCCTCTACGCCTGGACCGCGCTGCCCGCGCTCCACTGGCTCGCCCCCACCGCCGGGCTCGTCCTCGTCGGCGCCGGCATCTTCACCGTCGTCACCGCCGCCAGCAACTACGTCGAGGACGCGTACTCGCGCTACGCCGCCAGCGCCCTCGCCGGCGTCGCCTTCGGCGAGAACCTCACCGGCGCTTTCTTGCCGCTCGCCGAGCAGGCGCTGTATGCGCGGCTCGGTTTGCGTTGGGCGGGCTGTCTGCTGGCGTTTGTGGCGGTGGGGCTGAGCTTCGCGCCGGTCGTGTTGGTGTGGAAGGGTGGGGCGATTAGGGCGAGGAGTCCGTTTATTGGGGAGGCGATGTATGAGAATGGACGAGGGGTGGTGGCGGTGGTGGGGTCTTCTTCGTCGGATCGGACGCTTTGAGTGTGAAGTGGCTGTCGGGGCTGAGATGTAGAAGGACGTAACTTTGGGCGTGTGTTTGTCGTCGGGCGGGATGTGAGGTCGCTGGTATGGCGTTTATGACCTTTGGACAGAATTTTATGAGCATGACGACTGCGAATTAGACGGGAGCACAGTGTGTTGGAGAATCAATTGACCCACATACATATCTCGTGTGCGTGGGTGGTGGGGTCCAGTTTGCGGATGCGTTTTCACAGCTTCAACACTCGCATCTATGCCCGGACATCTGCTTCGGCTACTCATGATGAAATTGTGTTTAATCCTACACTACGTTCGGATATCTACTTTCACCGACTAGGTGGGGGAAAAAAGGGTGTGTTGAAATCCACATCTCTGTTTGCACACATGCTGCGGTTGCTTATGGCAATAGTTTGTTCATATCTGAATCTACGTCCGAATACTTGCCTCGATTGCCCCATATATCGGAAGAGGATAGTCGTACATCAACTTTCTTCCCCGATCCACTGTGCGCGGTGGAGGAGCCATGACATCAACCTGGAAAAAACCGCCCGCCCTCGACGAAATGCAATCCTCCCGCGCGCGCGCGCTCCATTGCAGTCCACACCACGACTTGCTTTCCTTTCCCCACCTCGCCTCGCCCTCTCTGTCCCGCTCTGCTTACCTCGCCCACCCCGCTCTCCCTGTCTCGTCCTACCTACCTCGCTCCACACATCCCTCCCTCACCCCATCCACACGACGTACACGACACTCGATGCAACACAACACGCAGCAATCCCATCCCATCCGATCAACCCATCTTCGTGACATGCCGCCTAGCCTCGACATCATCATCGCCACCACCATCCACCGTACCACGGTACCCCGTCGTCGTCTTCCCCGCCCCCCGCCCCCCGCCCGTCGTTATCAAAGTGGTACAGCTCGGGCGCGGGCGCGGGCATCGAGCCCTTGCGGCGGCGGCAGAAGCACAGGACGTAGCGCCTCGTCCACCAGGGCAGCACTTCAAAGAGCTGGTAGCGGGCGTGGGTGCGGGTGGGCACGGCGAAGACGTAGTCGAGCTCCTCGAGGGTGCGCTGTTTGGTTTCGGGGAGGAAGAGGAAGACTTTGCGGTTTCTTTTTTGTGGGTGAGCAAAAGGAGAAGGAATATATATAAGAACACGAGGAAGAACGAAGAAGAAGAAGAAGAAGAAGAAGAAGAAGAAGAAGAAGAAGGGATACTTGGCACGTACTCAGAACCAATGCTACGATGTTGAGGCCGGCGTAGAAGCCGAACGCGCCCTGCGGCTGGAAGGCGCCGAGCAGCCGCGGGAAGGTGATGCTCAGGACGCTGGCCCAGAAGTTGTTGGTGGCGACCGCCCAGGACATGCCGAGTTCGCGGTGGCTTAGGGGGAAGACTTCGGCGGAGTACTGGTGGATGGGAAAAAGAAAAAAAGGGGCTGGGTGTCAGTGACGATAGTGGACTCTCGACGTGTCTGCGACCTCGACTAACTCACCGTGAATGGTACTGGGCCTTCTCCTGGCGAGTAAAACGCAGCGAAGAGGTACACGAAAAACGCAATAAGCCCGAGATGCGCGTCGCTTTCCTTTGGGATGTAGAAGCAGAAGCCTCCGGCCAACAGCGTCCAGAACATCTGCGGGAAAGTGAAGAGCAGCAGGCCGCGTCTGCCGAACGTGTCGATCGTCCAGACGGCCGGCCAGGCGAACAGGAAGTTGATGAGGCCGAAGCCGAAGGTGGCCATGAGCGAGCCGAAGGTGCTGGCGCCGGCTTGCTCGAAGATGGTGCTCGAGTAGAAGGACATGATGTTGATGCCGCACATCTGCTGGGCTATCATGACGATGCCGGACGCCTGCGTCGCGCGTCGGACGCGGGGGATGGTGAACAGTTCGAGGAAACGCGTCGCGATGTTGTTCGCGTTGGTGAGACCAGACTCCCGGACGAGCTCCTCCTCGAACTCGAGCTGCGCGTTGATGTAGTAGAGATCGCGAGCGGCCTGGAGTGGGGTCCTGCGGAGACGGAGGAGGGAATTGTACGCCTTCCTGTACTTCTTCTTTTTCAGGTACCAACCTTGAAAGTTTGTGTGAGCGGCGGCGGTGGGTGCAGGCGGTCGTGCGTGGATACTTACGGGGGGACTCGGGACAGAACCAAATGCCGAGGACGAGCGGTACAGCTGGAATAAAGGCGCTGGCAAGCTGCAAGCGCCAGGCAATGCGTCCGACGCGGTACACGCTGCACTGGTCAGTTACACCAAGCTTTTGGCGCGAACGGATTGGAGAGGCTTACGCAAGGTTGGCGCAAGTGCCCAAGAAGATGCCAAAAGCCGTCCAGAGCTGCCAGCTCATGACCAAACCACCGCGGACGATGGCCGGTGCAGTCTCGGCTGAGAAGACGGGAACGGTGACTTCCTTCAGACCCATTCCGATGCCGAGCAGTATACGGCAGGCAATAAGCTGCCCCCAATTCTGGGTAACAGCCATGCCGAACGGAGCTATGAGCGAGAAGATGGCGCCGAGAAAGATGGTCCCGCGACGGCCAATGAAGTCATTGAAGGGGTCGGAGATCCACGCCGCACTGCCTGTCTGTTAGGTAGAGTCGGCCAGCATTGACGAGAGGGACATACAAGAGCCAGATGGCTATGTAGGGCATTGAATTGACAACGCCTACGATCCATTCGTTCTTCTCACATGTGCCTTGGGGTCCACAGACCTCTGGCCTGGTTGATATGCCGAACTCGTCTGGGAAGGCGAGATTTGCTCCATTGGAACCGGTCTGATCCCAGCCTGTATCAAGCAGTTAAGCACCGTCTGTCCGGTACCAAAGCATCTTATGCGAGAGACGAACCTTGGATAGCGGCGGCGACCGAGTTCAGGATGATGGTGAAGTACAGCGACCAAGGGTGGCTCCACCTGTGTGTGCGTTCGTGCCGGATGGCCTCTTTATCCGCCTCGTCCAGCTCGTCAACGTCCTCGAAGCCATTCGGGTCGCGAGCGATCAGGGCGCCTTTACGGAGCAGCGGGAGGATGTCATTTAGGTCGTTCTTCTCGGCCCATGCGTCGACTTCATTCAGAAGCTGTGGGACAGGGATACCGGCGAGAGGGTTCTTGACTCTGTGGCAGAGAGATGCGGTCAGCAGTTGTAACAGTTGGCCTATTAATGATGGTCGCCTACTCTCCAGACGTATTCTCGGGGAGCTCGACAACGCTTTGCTTCCGTGTACGTTCGGGAACCAGGGCGTGCTCATGGTGGATGCCTGCGGCACTGTCGCGCTTGCTGAAGTAATGGTCAGCATGCTCCAACTTTCAATATGCTTCCTGGATTTCTCACTCTTCCTTGGGGTCCATGATGCATCAGCTGAGCTTCGGTGACACGAACTGTGAGTTTCTGAAAGACGATCAGTACTCGTGCGGTACAGACAATATATAGCAGCATCAGAGCAGTTCTATGAGTGAGCTGGGCCCCGACTCCGACCCCGCAGATTGGCGGAATGGAACCATTGACGGATTCGGGATCGGGGTCATCACTCACCAACAGCACGCGCTGAGAAAAAAATGGGGGGCCCCGCTCTTGGGATGGCAGAGAAAGATTGGTTGGTGAGCAAGGGTATGATACTCGGTCTCGCTGCCGTACTCCCGGGGCGGACAACGGCTGTTTAAACAAGCCAAAGAGCTCGCCAGACCTGGAAGCAGATGGATTGTGCAACGTCGTGCCATCTCACGATTCGCCACGGCTGTTTTGTGTTCGTGACATGAAGAGGGGCACGGCTGAATGAGACAAGGATTGGCTAAGCTCATCTGGACAAGGCCTTCACAGCAAATCTTGTCCTGCCTTGTCTAGACTTGGTTCGTGATGCCTTGTTCACCCGAAAGCGAGGGCTCGCATTACTTGCAGGACCCCCCTGGCGCATCCCCGGCGAGCTGGCGGCGCCTCCACGCCCCAGAATGCTCGGCGCGCGTAATAGACGTATCTCACGGCTCGCTTGTGGTACGGGAGGCGGCAGTCATGGGGGCTCACACGAGTCACGAGGACAGCCCGGATTGCTGCAGGTCGGGATGTGCTCGACGGCGAGCATTGGTTGCTCAAACGACAGGCAGGTGGCGTCCTGGGTGCAGGTTTGAATAGTTCATGCGGGTGTGGTTGAGAAAAAGGTTTGGGGCTAAGGCGAGCCGCGTCGTCCCCTGCCCGCTTGCGGTGGTGCGTTAGTCTGCTGCGGGGGAGCCCAGCTGAGGGGAGCCTTGTTGGTGCTATGTACTGCTTAGGTACTTTCTCGCGTGTCATCCAACCCCGGAACACGGCTTCGAGTCGCACAAGCAGAGGTTCTATCTACCGGCAAGACGGCCCTGGGGCCGATTCCAGGGAAGGTGTATGCAGCCTCTAGGAGCGAGAGCGTGGTGCACGCAGACGCTGGAGCACCCTCTCCCCCGCCTTGTCACTCCACCGTCGGGGGTATGGCAGCAAGCACGGCGGACGTGCAGCAAATTGGCGAACCCGATTGCCGAATGCCCATGCAATCCACTACTTCCCGCGCCCTCCATGTCCAGCCCTTCTCCCCCGGCTCTTTCGCACCAATCAGCAGTTCCGCAGTCACTGCCCACGTTTTCGTCAAAAGATGCGCACTTGGCCCTCAGCAGTTAGCATGGCTTTGCTTGACGGGACGGAAGGGAGCCCCGCGGGGCGGTGGTGGCGCTGTCCATTCTCCAGCAACCCGCCTTTAGCCTTCCCCGGCCGGAATGCTGGATCCGGCATGCCTCTGTTCTCTTTATGTGTGCACCTCCCTGGTAGCCAGACCACATGATCACGATGATCGTTTGCTGATATCGCAGTGCTCCCGCAGGACCATTGATGAGGGGCTGTAATACGCCGGCGTAGGCATTATTATTCTGGCGCGCTGATCGAGAGCAGGCGAGCCATGGGTGGTCAGTGGACAATCTGCTGGCAGCACTTCTCGTCAAGGCGATGCAAACGTAAGATGCACTGCGGCAGATAAGCTCGTCTCTCAAGACGCTGAAACTGTCGCCAAGAGGTCAGCAAAACTTGGGTTGCGTCTGTTGCCTCTTCGAATACCACTTTGCATCTCGACTATCGTGTCTGCCAGAGACGAGTTGCCGGGCATCAGCCCTCACCGCGTCGTGGCGCATGCTATCTCACAGGGGCTCTGGCGGATCAATCATCAGGCTGACGGCGTGGTGCTGCACGTCATCCCTTGTCTCTCGCCCGGCAGGGAATGAATCACTGCCGGGATGGGGCAAGTAGATCCCCCACACATCGTACCCACGGTTTCCTATCCAGGATATCTCATGCAAGGGGCCGAAGTCTGCGAGCAAGGTTAAATTCCACCTCTAATAACTGCATCACTCAGCCCGACCAGACGAAGGTTGCCGCAATTTCTACACCCCTGGAATCCTTGCCAAACCTGGCATCGCGCGGAACCCATAGCTACAGGACGCGTGCGGGCATGCAATTGCTGTCACCGGGACAGGAAATGGCCATGTGACGAGAACGTGTCGGCTTGGGCGGAGCCGGGAATGTTCGGTATTCTGTGGAGAACTTTCCCCCCATGTAATCTCCGGATCCTGAGCGCAAGCGTGACACCATTTCGGCCTATCAGCAGAGAAGAGGATTATGAGCTGGAAATTATCCCGCCAACCTATTCAGTCGACGATTTGGTCGTAGCCGAAGGTCGACAAGTTATGTACAGAATACTCCCCGGTCGCCGTGTCATACGTCAAGTTGGTCTGGAGAACCTTTCCACACTTCACTGCTCCGCTTTCAACGACTCCACCGGCAATGGGCCGCTGCACAGCATTGGCATCCCGCAGGACTGTAAAGTTGGCTAGGCTCACTTCCAATGGAGTACGTTGGACAAGCGTGGGAACACCATAGTACCTCGCGTGGACGGCTTTCTGACTGTATCCCGACCCTGATCAGCCTGAGCATGCAAGTACGGGGAAGGCCATTGCTTACCTTATCGTCAGTTCGTAGTATCCACGGTAATACATCTCTTGCCACAGGAGCTCGCGGTTCCCCGCCACAAGAGCTGCACTGTTCCTATTCGCTTCGTCGATTGTTATGTTTTGGCCATGCGGGCAAGGGCTGCTGACTGCCGAGCCGGAAAATTCAACCCCCACCGAGCCAGCCCCTGTTTCTGGGTCGTAGTCATGTTCATCCAGCCACACAAGGTCCGAGGCCCAATTCATGTGGCTGTCACCAGCCATGACAATGTTGTTAGTGATGTTATTGTTGTAAAGATGCTGAAACGTGCGGTTTCGATTGGCCTGGTAACCATCCCAGGTATCCATATTATACTGGGGGTTGAGGGACATGTCAGTGGCCATCCAGAAAATCACGCAGGCGAACGTACAGGATCATCAGCAAAGCCTGTAGTGGATTGGTTCAAGCGCGAGAAAACAACCTGAGATCCGATTAGACGCCATGCGGCTCCGCGGTTCTTAGACTTTGAGAGTTGATTGTAGAACCTGCAGGAATTAGTGAAAAAAAAAAATGGAACATGCACTGGAGAGATACAGACCAATTCTCCTGGCGACTTCCCATGAGTGACCTTCCCGCATCGTTCTGGATCTCATGGATATATTCAGAGTTCCAGTATAGATCTGTAATAGATCTATCGTACTGCCGGGTGTCGAGCATGATGATGTCCACGAGGTTGCCAAGGGAGAATGACCGCCAAATGCGGAGGTTATCGTCCATTTCGACCTGGCGGATGGGCATCCATTCAAAATACTTTGCCACACATCAGCCACAATTCGCGGATCGGATAATGCTGCGACACGTACCGCGCGCACGGCGTTCATCTTTCTTTGGTCGAATGATAGGCCTGAACCGCCATACATAAGTCCGTCTTGGATGAAGGAATCTTCAGTATTATTGTGATCCGCCATGCCATCACGCCAAGTGTTGTCTCCCACCTCTAAGGCAACCATCAGCACTGTACGGTCCAGTCTCGGCGTCGAAGCTCACCGTGGTCGTCCCAGACAGGTATCCATGCATAGCTCGCAAAGCTCAGGAAGGCGTCGGAATCGGCACGATAGGACGCATGCCTCCTGCGGTAGTCGTAGAGGGTGCGGATCTCCTTGTTTGGCTGAGAAACTCGGTCAATGGCCCAGCCCCATCCATAGGCGCCTTCGGCGTACTCGTAAATGAAGTCGCCCAGATGCAGGACATAATCCACCGAGTCCTTTCGCACGGAGTGGCCGAAGGCGTTGAAGAAACCGAAGGCTGAGATATAATCAGCCTTCTTTCATTCATTCAATGAAGGATGATGCAGAAGACTCACGGTAGTTCGAGCACGAATAGACGGCCACGGAGAGCTCCGAGACATCATCGTCGGGGGCTGGGGCAGTCTTGGTCCGGCCAACCGGGCTAGCGTTGTCCGAGTCACAGACAATGAACTGGTAGTAGTATTGCGTGAAAGGCTTCAGGCCTGTGGCTTCGACCTGGAATCCGTGAGCTGACGAGTCAACGAGTCGAGCTTCTTGCTCACCTTGAGGGTCCAATCAATATCCGAGGAAGTGTAAGCCTGGCCCGAAGTGACAACATCAATCATGTTCCGGTCGGTTGCCACTTCGTAATTCACGCAGACGGGAGCCGTGGAAATGCGCACTTGACTGCTCGTCAGCCCCCGCGACAAAACCCGTTGCTTCAGTGCCTTAGCTACCGTATTCTTGGGTGTCGTGATTGAACAGGGGCACAGTTCCCGACACCGTGGCTGGGGAACGCGTTAGTCAATTGTGTATTATGATGTGGTACCATAGCGTCGGGATTACTGTTGCTCTTGTCATTGTCATACTCCGGGGAAACTCGAGTCCAGAGGATCACAGAGGTCGCATACGGATCGCCCGAGGCGACTCCATGGGTAAAGTTCAAGGCTGCGGCATCAATGGACCGGACTGCGGCGTCGTGCCGGCGAACGACCTTGTACAAAGAGATACCGAGAAACGGGTGATGGGCTGACGGGGAGTGGTAGTTCAAATTGGCGGTATACCGGGCAGCGGCGACACCAATGGAGCCGAGGACAACGAGCGCATTGAGCTTCATGGTGTTCTGCTTCTCACGGCGGAAGGATGATGGGATTCAGCGGCTTCTCGCCCTTTTGTAGCTGGGGTGAGAGCTGCGGCCAAAGACACGGCGCGCATCGAACAAGGGGTGGGCGGAGTCGAGGCTGGACAGGCCGGCTCCCCAACCACGGTGGAGCGAATGAGAGGACGAAGATTAGACGTGCTGGCAAGGAATCTGAGGTTGCGAGGTGAATAGGTGTTCGATTCTTTGTGCCCTGCGTGAGGTACTTGTGCAAAGCAGGCATAACCCGAACGCGAGGCCAATAGGTGCGGCGGGAAGTGGCATGACCGACGTAGCTGATGGGTCAAGCGGGTCATTGGTGCGTTGGAGAAGCGGAGATTGTTAGGCGGGGAAGAGCACGTTGCTTGGGGCGTGTCAGCGATTGCTCACATGCTTCTCGGCCACCGTTTATAGGCTACGTCATCGCCCAACTGTACCGGTTATCACTGGTCTTAATGGAAGCCGCGGACCACCAGATACGTGCATAGCGCTTGTCCGTCTTGTCGAAAATCCCACCAATGCCTCTCTGCATGTGCCTTCACGTGATGCTTTCCGAACAACTCACCAATCATCATCATCTCAGCACCTGTTGCCATACACTCCCCCCACTTGACGAACCATTTTCTGGACCGCCTGGTTGATCATGATAGTCTCGCAGATCGTTTTCTTAGCTTACCTTGCTATTGTTGGCTAGGGCATGGGAACGGAAAACCATTGTAGGGATTAGATGCCAACATATTGTATATCTGGCGTGGTGTTATAAACCTACAAATCAGCGTGTCCCATGGCACCACACGACTTACTCTGCTATGTGCCATGTCCAACATGCATTCAAGCCGACCTTCAGTCGCAAGTATGGTCGCAAGCAGAGAGCTCGTCTTTCTCTCACATTCCTTGGAGATTGGAATCTGCGTCGACATTTGAAGCAATTCGGATGCCATGCCGAGCGGTCCAGCCATTACTTATTTCGGTGACATCTATCGGCTTGAATAGCCGATAGATCGGCCTCGTCCGGCGATATTTCAAACCGGCCATTGGATGCTGAAAGCGCTAAGGAAACGCACTCTCGGCTGGAACATGCTTGTTCCCCGTTGTAACGTCACCCGCATGGCGAGTTAGCGAACATTGGAGTCGGATGCCTCAACCGGGCAAAATCAGGCGGGAGCGGTACGGAGGCGCGACTGGATCCTCAGCAGCCAGGACCCCAGCGCAGAGGCAAGCCATGGGTCCACGATTCCAGGACGACTGGGCGGGCGCCAGCGACGTCGTGTGAGGGCAGGACGAGGACAGGACGAGGATGGTGCCAGGCGTCGCCGTGTCGCGCGGTGGGTTGCAGCTCCCGCCGGCGGCGGATCAGCCCAGTACTAAGCGCGGAGCGGAGGAGCGGGCACCTCCGCCGACATGCGGCGTCACAACAGCTCCGGGATCGGATGAGCGTCGAAAGCTTAAACATTTTTGTATCGCGCAGCTCGAGGAGATGCGACTCTCTCAGTCATAAACACCAAGCGCCGCGCATTCCTCGCCTGCCCCTCGCGTCGTCGCACGGCAAACACTCCGCAGTCGAGCCTCTCTTTAGCCGCAAGCTACCTCGGCCAATTGTGCCTCTCGCCGCTCGACCGCGCTAGGAGCCTCTTGCGCAAGCCGACATCAGCTCCGCCATCCCACGCCGCAAGACCTTTCCCGAGGCCTGAGTCCGCTATCTACCCCTCGCTGCGTGCCATTGCCGCGTGCGCAGAACCCTGCTGCCGGATACCGTTCAATAGCCGCCCGTTCCCCCGCCATTGCGCACTTTTTAGCCCATCATGCGCCCTTCCACCCTCTCCGCCAGCACTGCCTCCAGGCTATTCCGCTGCCCTGCTCCTGTCTCCCGTTACCCCGCTGTCCCCAGGGCCTTCTCTTCCTTCAGCGCCACCCGCCCCGCTGCGAAGTCCGCCGTTAGCCCCGCCCCGAGCTCCCGCCTCGCCTCTGCCCTCTTTTCCGCCAACCAGACCGGCTTCACTGCCCCCGCTGCGCTAGGTTTCGCACGCCAGACCAGGACCATGGCCACCGCCAAGAAGATCCAGGTCAAGAACCCCGTCGTCGAGCTGGACGGCGACGAGATGACCAGGATTATCTGGCAGGCCATCAAGGACAAGGTAAGGCCCGCCGCCCATATCATGCCAAAAGCAACGAGACTGACACTTTCACCCAACACAGTTCATCCACCCGTGAGTACCGCGCAAACTGTCCTTACTCTCCGCGACAGCTCCTGACCCAGCTTGAAGTTACCTGGACATCGACCTCAAGTACTACGACTTGGTACGTACAATGCCAGCTGCCGTGACGAGAGCGGGGTGGCTGATAAGGAACTAGGGAATCTTGTACCGTGATGAGACCAACGACCAGGTCACTGTGGATGCTGCCGAGGCCATCCAGAAGTACTCGGTCGGTGTGAAGTGCGCTACCATCACCCCCGATGAGGCCCGTGTCAAGGAGTTCAACCTCAAGAAGATGTGGCTCTCGCCCAATGGCACCATCAGGAACATTCTTGGCGGTACCGTGTTCCGCGAGCCCATTGTCATCCCCCGCATTCCTCGTCTTGTACCCGGTTGGAAGCAGCCGATCATCATCGGTCGCCACGCGTTCGGTGACCAGTACCGCGCTAAGGACCGTGTCATTGAGGGCGAGGGTACCCTCGAGATGGTCTTCACCCCCAAGGGCGGCAAGCCCGAGACCATCAAGGTCTATGACTTCCCCAACGGCGGCGGTGTTGCTCAGACCCAGTACAACACTGCCGAGTCCATTTCTGGTTTCGCCCACGCCTGCTTCAAGTATGCTCTGTCCAAGAACATGCCTCTGTACATGAGCACCAAGAACACCATCCTGAAGAAGTACGATGGTCGCTTCAAGGACATCTTCGAGGAGATTTATGAGAAGGATTACAAGTCGGAGTTTGAGGCCAAGAAGATCTGGTACGAGCACCGTCTCATCGACGACATGGTCGCCCAGATGATCAAGAGCGAGGGTGGCTTCGTCGCCGCTCTCAAGAGTAGGTGACCCTTTGGAATTCGCAGGCCGCTGCTCGTGCTAACGTTTGCCAGACTACGACGGTGATGTCCAGTCTGACATCGTGGCTCAAGGCTTCGGCAGCCTGGGTCTCATGACCTCAGTCCTCATCACTCCCGACGGTAAGACCTTCGAGTCTGAGGCTGCGCACGGAACTGTCACCCGCCACTTCCGCGAGCATCAGAAGGGCAAGGAGACTAGCACCAACCCCATTGCCTCCATCTTCGCCTGGACCCGTGGTCTGGCCAAGCGTGGAGAGCTGGATGGTACCCCCGAGGTTGTTGCCTTCGCCGAGGCCCTCGAGAAGGCTTGCGTCGACACCGTCGACGTTGACGGAATCATGACCAAGGATCTGGCTATCGCTTGCGGTAAGAAGGACAGAGACGCGTACGTCACCACCAATGGCTACCTCGATGCCGTTGAGAGGCGGTTGAAGCAGCAACTCAAGGAGAAGTTGTAAGCAGCGGGCGATGGATGTAAGACGCGATGTAGCGGATGTAAAGACATAGAGAGGTGTTCAGCGCGGCGAAATGGGTGTATATAAACAAAATGACTTGGGATAACCCGGAGAGTTGGCGAACCGGCAGAATCTCTGTAGATACAGAGCCCAAACAGAACAAATCAATTACGTCCAAATTCAACGACCGTGGATGCCAGCTAGTTCGGGCTTTGCCTGGACGCTGTGAGTCAAGATGGAATGTGAGTCAAAGGCTTCAGGCAGAAAGCGGCATTCGACGAAAAATCATCATTCTCACTCATTCTCACTCATTTTGAGTCGCGATGGTGGCGGAGGGCCGGGATGACTCCGGCGGTGTGGCCTGTGCGCACAGACGGCGAAATCCCACCCACTTCGGCGCGGGCGTCGACATTTGAAGGCGAGCAGCACAAGCACACCTCCACACCAGTTGCCCACCATGAGACCCATCTTGCTGTCCGGCCATGTAAGCTTTCGCTCAGGTCCGCTCAATGCAGGCACATGTAACCCAATACTGACGCGCCGCCCAGGAACGTGCCCTTACCCAAGTAAAGTATGCTTTTGCACGCACACAGCTCGCTCGCGCACCGCGAAACTGACGGCGACCCCCCACCAGATTCAACCCCGATGGCGACATCATCTTCTCCGTCTCCAAGGACCACGTCGTGTGCGCCTGGTTCAGCGCCAACGGCGAGCGTCTTGGAACCTACCACGGCCACGTCGGTGCGCTATGGACCGTCGACGTGAACCTAGACTCCACCCTGCTCGCGACCGGTGGCGCCGACAACACCATGCGCCTGTGGGAGGTGCAGACCGGCCGCATGCTCAAGACCTGGGAATTCGATACGTCCATCAAGCGCGTCGAGTTCTCGCCCGACGGCCGCCAGTTGCTCGGCGTGACGGAGAAGCGCTCCGGCCACCTTTCCACCATTGTCGTTTACGACATCAACCCGGATATCGAGGCAGAGCAGACGGACGAGAGGCGCCTCAGAATCCTCTGTGAGGAGAGCAAGGCCACCGTCGCTGGCTTCAGCTATGGCGCCAAGTACATCATCTCGGGCCACGAGGACGGTACCGTTTCGCAGTTCGATGCCAAGGTGAGCACGACGGGTTGAAAGGGCGCGAAGTCCTGTATGCTAACCTGCATGGCAGACGGGCGATCTTCTGAACATGATTGAGGCCCACGAGATCGACACGCAGATTACGGACCTGCAGTGGTCTGCCGACAGGACTTACTTCATCACTGCTGGCAAGGACAAGAACGCCAAGGTCAGTAGCTTTCTGCACCACAGGGCGCTTGAAGGATGAACATTGACACGGTGGTTTTCCAGCTCATTGCTACGGACGACTTGCAAATCCTCCACACGTACGTTGCCGATACGCCGCTGAACAGCGCTGCCATCACGCCTATCAAGGACTACGTCATCCTTGGTGGTGGTCAGGCTGCCATGGATGTCACGACCACGTCGTCTCGCCAGGGTAAATTCGAGGCCCGTTTCTACCACAAGATTTTCGAGGAGGAGATTGGTCGTGTGCGTGGCCACTTCGGCCCGCTCAACTACATTGCGGTGCACCCCAAGGGCACTGCGTACTGCTCGGGCGGTGAGGACGGTTACGTGCGCGTGCACCACTTCGACAAGCCGTACTTTGATTTCCTGTACGAGGTCGAGAGGGAGAGGGAGCAGGCGAACTTGTAAACGGCTCTAGGCGGGGTTCTTGCTGAAGTCTTTTTCACTCTTGGTTCTCATGATATCAGCATGTCAGGCGTTAGGCGGGAGGTTGGGCCAGCTACAGCCCATAAAAAGTATCGGATGACGTGATGGCTCCTGTAGAAAGGAATGCGCTTGAAGTAGAGTCGCGATACACTATTAGAAGCAGAGTTTGGATGGCCGTCTGACTTTGAGATGCTCCTCTGCCTCGTAGCAAGATAGCAGGAATTCAGCTGCGGAAGGAGACCCCCGCTGCAAGGCACGGTAGCGCACGGCATGCGATTGCCCAGCAGAACCCACGCGGCTGTGGCGCGGGCTGCCGAGATCACGTTCCTGAGCCATTGGCTCCGGCTGCCGTCACCGCCCGGCTCCACATCTGTCGCATGCCCCCAACCATGCCGCCTATTCGATCGCACCTCTGCCATGCTGCAGTTGCATAGAGCTCTTAATTTCCGTCGACGGCGCTTCGCTTGGAATATCAGGACAGTCGTGTAGGTGCTCGCTCGTCGCTCAAAAGCCGCCCCGCTGCCCTTTGCCAGCCGTTCTGGCTCAGATCGCACGGCGTCATTCCTCCCCCGTTCCCTCCAAGTCCCGTGAATTTCTGGACGAGAAACCAACATGCCAAACAGTCCTATTCTTTTCTTCACTACCGTCCTACTTGCCCTTGTCTTCAGCATGGGCGAGGCAACGCAACCGTACGACGTGTCGTCGTCGAACACCTCGCACATCAACTACACCACCGTCACCGGCTATTTCCTCCAAGACGACCCGGCCACAGACCCAAGCACCTTTGACTACGTACGTCCATCAACGACGACGCCTCGGCACCACCACCACCCGAGCGTCTGATTCTATCCGTCTTCTTCCCCCCCTCCCCCTCCCCCCAAAACAGTCAAACCCCCCATTCTCACGCGCTTCCCCCCAAACCAAACACCAGACCAAACTCAACCTCGGCCTCATAAACCGCACCTACCCCAGCGACGACACCTTCCCATCACCCTCCCCCTCCTCCCCCTCCACCACCCAAGCGACGCCCTCGACCCCCCCAACCCAATGGCAGCGCTTCGCCCACCACGTGTCGCAACTAAACCGGCACGCCGCCCCCACCGTGCGCTACAAAGTGCTCGTCATGGGCCGGCACGGCGAGGGCGACCACAACGTCGCCGAAGCCTTCTACGGCACGCCCGCGTGGGACTGCCACTGGAGCCTGCGCGACGGCAACGGCACGAGCGTGTGGGCCGACGCGCGGCTCACGCCCGCGGGCGTGGCGCAGGCGCGCGTCGCGCACGCGTTTTGGGCGGGTGCGCTGGGGGCGGGTGGCGATGAGGGAAGTGCGCGGATCCCCGCGCCTGAGAGGTACTACGTCTCGCCGTTGGCGAGGTGTTTGGCTACGGCGGAGCATACGTTTGGTGGGTTGGAGGAAGGGGGGTTGTTGCCGCCGGGAAGGCCGTTCAGGCCGGTTGTGAAGGAGTTGTTGAGGGAGTCGTTGGGGCTGCATACGTGCGATCGGAGGAGCTCGAGGACGTGGATCGCGGAGAATTATCCCGGGTGGGAGATTGAGGAGGGGTTTGCGGAGGAGGATGAGCTGTGGAGCGCTACATTGCGGGAGTCGTCGACGGGTAAGTCGCGGATGTCCATCGTAGTAGAGGGAGAAGCGCAGGGGAACATCGGAAGAGAAAAGGAAGGGGGGAAAACCCCCCCAAACGAGAGAGTGACAAGTGGGAGAAAGAGAAGAGAAAAAAAGACTGACCCAGCGCACACTACCAGCACAAATCGCCCGCCTCAAAACTTTCCTCGACGACATATTCACGCACGACCCCGACAGCACCTTCATCTCCCTCACCAGCCATTCCGGCTCCATCCGTTCCCTGCTGAAGGCCGTCGGCCACCGCGACTTCTCCCTCCTCACCGGCGCCGTCATCCCCGTCCTCATCCGCGCCGAGACGCTGCTCGGCCCCGCGCCGCCGACGACCATCGACCCGCCGACCACGGCCCCGACTTGTACGGTGGATCCGACGGCGGCGGCGGGGAGTGGGGCTGTGTAGGGCAGCGCAGGGAGAAAGATTGCGGTGGCGGGGCGGGGTGTGGGTATTGGTGGGCGGGTTTTGGTGTGTTCAGTTGGTATCCAGACAGACTCGTTCCCCTCGAAATGCAAGAATCGAAGAACTTTTTGAGTCAGCATACGCGTTTTTTCTTTGATGAGCAAAGTAGAAAGCAAGCTCAGTTATTTCTGTGTGTGTGGGGTATCGTACAAGATTGCAATCTATGCAGAAGCAAGCTAAAAGATCGATCGCCATACCGATGCTGCTGGAACTGGGAAAACTCCTGAGAGTAGAGCCGTTTCGGGTGATGGTGACTCAGAAAATGAGATGAAGAGAATTTTGGAGAAAGGAGAGAGAAAGAGAAAAAGAAAAAGAGAAAAGAAAAGGGGAAACAGCAAGCTGTTTACAGACCGAAGAGAGAGAAAAAACTAGGAATGGCCAATATGGTCGGGGGAAGAAAAGAAAAACGAGCCATGTCTTTCCCTGTCTGAAGATACAATGCAGAGAAAAAAGAAAAGCCTCGTCTGCGTACTAGTACTTAGACTTCCGGGCCAGCAGCAAACGCCATTGTTATTTTGTTTTTTGATGCAAACCCCCTTACATAAGAAACTTACTTGTTCCTCATACTCATAGTCTTATCACACACGCTACTTTTCCTCATCTTTTCTGCATTTGGGTGTACCGCCGGACCTAACATGAGCTTACAGCCCTGTGGCTTTCCTTTGTTTTCATTCCGTTCCCTGCACCGCTTTTGTACCTACGACAGGCTGTGAGGGGCGCCGCTTGGCAGTGTAATCCCTCGGCACGCACTCCTCCGGTGCCACGTTTGCCTTCGCGCAGCGGGTGCACGGGTGTTTTGTGTCGAGGTCGCACGCACCGTGCTGCTTGACACAACGTACGCAGCGCTGCTTCTTGACCGAGCGCGAGGCAGTCGACGCGCTGTTTGGACTATCCGTTGCCTTTTTCTTCAGGGCCTTGCTACTCGGCGGCTTATTCTCTTTCGCGACGGATGATGTGCGGGCAGCAGCTGAAAGGATTGGGGTCTGAGGCTTAGTCACCGTGAATGATGTGGGGAGAGGTATGGGAGTTTTTCGAAACGCGGGGGCGTTGATCGAGATGGGTGTCGCGGTCAGGATGGGCGAATCGATCTTCGGGGTGGAGAGGTCGGGCGAGGTGTTCTTGGAAGTGGCGAGGGAGGACGAGCCAGCCTTGGATGTAGTTACCGTGGGTGAGTCGTCTTCCCGTGCGAATGTGTTTGGCGGAGTGACTCTTGAAAGCTGCGGCGATGCACTGGACTTGATATGTGATGCAACGGGAAAGGAAGCTGACTGGATGGTGGGTACGAGGCCGGTTGCTGGTGAAGGAGGCGGTGCGATGGTGACATTAGGCGGGCTGGTGAAAGACGGAGGCAATCCGATAGTCCAGTGCGGCTGCCATTGGGGATGATCTTGCTCAGGCGGAGAGGATGGCAGGATTGCACGCTTGTTGGTATTATGGCGGTCAATGGGAGAATCAGGTAGCTGAGCGATGGCGATGGCAGTCCTGGCGTCATCAGTGACTTGGTCACGCCCGACCGTTTGGGCGGAATCGGCAACTGGTGGTGAGGTCGGTGGCGGCATCGTAGTTCCAGGTACAGCATCGCGGTCGGGGCCTTCATAAAAGGCGTCGATAAGAGCTAGACCGTCCTCAAAGGACATGTCCTGGTTCCGGCTCGGTGTCCAGCTGAAGGGGTTTGCCATGGTCGGTTTCACCCTCGGGGCCTCGGTGGAATATCTGACAGTGGTGTGAAAAGTATGGAGGTCGGCCAGGCCGGGAAGTTTATATGTCGATGTGGCTTGTGATTAATTTGCAAGCAGCCGCAATCACCAAGCCACAGGGTCCAACCGAAGGTCCCGTGGGCAGGTCATCAATCGAGAAAGTCACAGCTGTTTCTCGAGCGCGTAACTCTTACGCCAAGACAAACCCCGTGACGATGCGAAGATTGGGTCCAGGCTACGGCACGGCAGTAGGTATCGAGGACCAGCGGAGTGTTTAGACGAAGACTGCTCAGAGAATATCGCCACAGCTTAGATTTGGAAAGGGCTGACAGCTATTGACAATACCGCACTCGGCTGAAACTGCAGTATTGTCAGCTAAAACTCTTGCACGGCTACCATTTACCACGGAAACGATCTGTATGAGGAAACCCTCCATCGTTTCAGCGGGCAGAGAACTGCCAGTCGGCCGACGAACATGACTTGGGGCCTGTGAGGTGAAGGGGAGACGCGTACGAATCACGCGTATCACGACAAACGGAACAAGGAGTGAGAGCGGCTCCTTTGGGGTGGATTATGACGGCTCCTTGATGACATTAAAAGCTTCAATTGACGTTGACACGCACCTCTGGGTTGGGTCTAACGACATCAAGCGCGCAAAAGCGGCAAAGGCCGGATAGTCCCGAATCAACGGACAAGTGGAGACCGTTTCCATAGGATATGTTGTGTCTCGGCGATGATGCAGCGGAAAGCTGCAGGTGCACGTGTTCGGACGCTGACGCGCAAGTGCCGAACTCCGTGGGACATTCGACAGGGCCAATCGTTTCAGGTGCGCGGCTGAGGCGGGTGTCATGCCACGCCGGGCGGTCAATGGCGAGCAGAAGGGTCGGAGACGGGTACGGTGGGAGATGCCAGTCGTGGCAGGTTCGTCGGGGTGGCAGGCGTTATCGACATCGCTCACCTCGGCTTGGCGGCCCAGAACGGCAATCACGCCAGGTGACGCCGGTGGCCGCTGCTCCTTTTCACTGTGCACTAGCTGAGGATGGTCTGGGGCCTTGCCCGATGTCCTCGGTCGCGATTTCGTCTCGGATTGTTTTCACGAGGGCGCCAATCCGTTACGTTGCCTGACTTCTGCCGCATGTACCCGGAACCACCGCCTAAGTCTGCGCTTGACGGGCCTCATTGGCGCACGGCGGGAGTCGTGTTCGGAATGGACAAGACTCGCCGATTCCTGCCTGTCCAATCAGGGCGGGGCGGGCAGGCGGGCGCGCAGAGGATGGGAAAAAGGATGGAATTGAAAGAAGCGTCGTCGAGACCGCCCGATAAGATATACCAACCACTGGCAGCTACGGCCAAATATGCACCAACTCCAGCATTAGAAACCACCCTCCAGCGCCAAGAAAGTATCAAAGTTCCCAGGGATTCCACAGCCGACCCCGCTCTACATGGATTCTTCCGGCCGTCACGTCATGATTATATGGGTATCGCGTTGCTGACTGCGCCACTGGTATCAGCCGGTGCGGCGAGCATCCTATATAAAGTCTCCTTATCAGCCATGCCGCCCCGCAGCGATTGCGACAACGGTGCTCACTTCTTGCCGGCGTCGGTCATACAGCAGCCGCAGAGGATGGACGCGGGCCAGCAAACGATGGCCATGACAACCGCGACCCCGAAACCGAGCGTCGGACCGACGACCTTGCAGTGGCAGGGGTTCTGGTCGCTGGATGCGAGGAAGGCATAGTCAGCATTCATCGCGGCGCGGGCAATTTCCTCCAGAGGCTTGTTTGGGGCAGGAGACCTACGTTCCGCACTGGAAACAGAGAATGGGCAGAGGAATGCAATCCATGGCGAATAGCCGCGTTCAGGACAATCGGAAGCCGGCGACGGTAGAATTGGCAATGCGCGACCGCGACTGGATAAGGCAGAAGCTGGAGAGCGGGCGGGCTGAGCTGCGCGACGGTGGGGGGGGGGGGGGGGGGGG